AGAAGTGTGGGTGGGAGGCAATGGTTAACGTGGATGGAGATATCAGATGGGTTTATTTAGGTTGTTGCAAATGGAAAAGCATGCACAACCGCCAACATCACCATATGCTCAAGTAGGAGTTCTCGAAATTCAACCTAATTGCTTGTTAAAGTGACTGTAAAGGGGTAAATTCTACGCCTTACATATTCTTTTAAGTATTATGATTTTAAGTATTTTAGCGAATTGGTTACCGTTGCTTAGTTATGTGTATGATTGATTATTTGTGCTTTGCTTGAGTTATGGTTTGAGGTGATTTTGTGCTATTTGATGTAATTTGAGGTGATTTTGTGCTATTTACCTTAAAGAGTTATGTTTAATTTATTGTTAAAGTTTAAGAAACAAGTTCTTTTTTAAGAAGTAACTCACATTTAAGAAGGTGAAGTCGTTTTAAGTGTTTTTCGTCACTAGCGCCAGTCTGTTGCCATTTGAGATTTTCAGATAGAGCAGCAGTTATGCTCTTGAGATCTTTGACACAGAGCAGCAGTTATGCTCTTGAGATATTTAAGTTGAGCAACATTTATGCTATTGAGATTTTTAAGATGAGCAGCAGTTATGCTCTTGAGAATCGTGGAAGAAGAGCCTTCCACGATAAGTTTAAGGAAAGCCCTGGTGGCTTCTCATACGTATGAGTTGGTAACCGGACTAGCTAGTGAGGGATCCCCGTGTCAGTCAAGAATTTAAGTTGAGATTTGAGCTTTAAGAATAATAAGAGTTAAGCTTTTTAATAGTGGAAGTACAAAACAACTTTGACTCAGTTAAGTAAAGTGATTAAGTATTAATAAGATGTTAAACGTAAGGGCGTAGACTGACCCCATCTCACTCACCAGTTTGAAGAGCTAGAGGAGGACCTAGAGGAGCAGTTAGTGAGCAGCGAGTTCGAGGGCAGCCAGCTAGAGGAGGGTAGTATAAGCGTCACAGATGATGCTTAGTCAAGGTTTCAGTAGCAACAACATTAGAGATTATTAGTTATTTACATTTATGATTATGAGTATAGACTGGAAATCATTTTGAGTTTTTAAGTATTGAGTTTGCCCCTGTGTTAGGGCGTTGCTTTAAATTACAAGTGCGTGTTTTCAATATTTTATTTAGTAAATTTTTTTTTCCAGTTGCAATTTAAGATTTGAGTATTTTATTTATCAAGGGCATTTTAGTAAAATTAGTGCTCGGCCGGGCTAGCGTGTTACATTTTGGTATCAGAGTCGGTGATCCTCTGTTCCTTGGTTTCCAAGGAATACTGGAATTTTGGTCTCAGTTTTCAAAGGTTTTGTTTTAAAGGAAAGGAAAATGAGTTAAGGGTCTCCTTTTAAGAATCTATAGAATCTCCAGTCTACTCTAATTGTATTAAGATAAATAACTCTTGTCCTAATAAAAGGGTGCGGAAATCACAAAGTTCTATCCCGAGGTATAGGTACGAGGAATCAAAGGAGTTAAATGAGCACTACGAGGATTTTTCAACTTAGCTACTAGAATGTGATCTAATAGGTTAAGATATACAAATAGGAGAACTATGAATCTCCGAAGAAAGAGGTACAATCACTAGATGTCACTAGCTATAATGACGAGAGAATTTCACGGTCCTTGACCCTAAATAGTGGCGATTCAAGAAACGAAGAGGTACTACGAGAAGTCCCTCAAATAGTTTTAGTGGTCAACGCTATTACAACACCGTGACAAGGAGTAGTGGGCAGCTTAGACTTCAAGAAAAGCTAGGGTAGTATAAATGAAGTAAAGGAGGAAATAAGTAGGTTACAGGGAGTATGAAAGGACGTCAAGAAGTCAAAAGGGTCAAGGCGGAGAGGAGGTATGGTCGTTTACATATAACGATAAAGGAACCCTTATAGATAGGGCTGCAAATGAGCCGAGCTGTTCGCGAGCGGCATGGTGTTCGACTCGAGAAAAGCTCGTTCGAAACTCGGCTCGTTAATAAACGAGCCGAACATGAGCTTAGCTTTCTTCAGCTCGTGAAGCTCGCGAGTTAGCTCGACTCGGTGGCTTGTTGAGCTAAACTCGTGAGCTGGCTCGTTTAGAGCTCATGATATGTCTCAACATGTGGCTAGAGAGCCAACTGGATTACCGACTTATGGACGAATCAATATATATCTTATGTTTTAAATTCATATGGTTGTTAAATTATATATCTCGCCATATATAAATTTTAAAACGTTGAGTATGTGAGCAAATATATCTTATTTTCTACTTTAAAAAAATTATGTATCATAAATTGCTTCGTTACTATGAAATAACATGATTTGGAGTAGTTAAAATTTATTAACTAAATGATATATGATACCAACAAAGTATAATATGATATTAGCTCACAAAATAAATCATGTGCATAATGAAATACAAAATGAAGTACCAAATAAAAGTTAAGATTTTAGTAAACAAGCTAGCTCGAGCTCGACTCGACTCGCTCGTTAATAAATGAGCTGAGCTCGAGCTAGGCTCGTTTATTAACGAGCCGTGCTCAAGCTGGGGTAAAACTCGACTCGGCTCGGCTCATTTGCAGCCCTACTTATAGATAAACTACGTCACTAGAGAAGAGGGTACACGACCCTGGGGGTGAGGCCGATGACAAGCCGTTAGAAGGAACCAGACAAGCAACGAGGTAAATGATGTAGAGGATAAGTTATGGTCTCAGTACGACCACCGTTAGACGAGACATGGGGGAAAGTGCCACCAAAGTCTAAATCATACTTGGTAGAAGACAATGGGGAGTCAATAAGTAAGAAAAGATATGGAATGTGAGAGGGAATAACAGTTAGCTAGTAAATGGCAGTACGAATAGAGAACCACTTCTCAACAATGCGTGAGTTGAATACTAAGTCAACACAGAGCTAGAATAATGATATTAGAGACCCTACAAACTACCCAGATCATGAAAGGTCAGGAGGTCGTTGGGATCACCTGTTGGAAGGGGAATGCAGAGTTCGTGATGACCTGTTATGGGATTGTCCTATCATGAATGGAGGGATCACCTAGCCGCCTCGGGTACATGAGGGGTGTCGGAAGGAGGAACCTCTATTCGTAAGTAGGAACTAGCAGCCTAAGAGCTAGAGTCTCGGAACTAGCTATAGGACTAAGTCATTCAACCAACCAAGTATAGACAAACAAGTAGAACGTTCATTGGAAGTTTTAATAAATTTTAGAGAATTCGAGGAGGATTCCCAACGGTCGTGATAAAGAAAAATTGCGTACAATACAAAGAAAATGCAAGAAGGACAGAGGAAGTTCGACTAGATTTCATGAAGTCAATTGGTGAAGAAGTCAATTAGTCAATTGGGAAGCAATCTTGAAGTAGTACTGACTTCGGTAAGCCGTCTTTAAGGCCATAACTATGAAGTGGCATTAGTCATGTCGTAGAGAGTTTGTAGTCAAGGAAGGACATGAAAGTTCCTGATAAAGGATTGGGAATATGTGTAAGTGTCCCGAGTTCAAAGAGATGGGGGAAAATAGTTAGGAAGGGTCGAAGCAGAAATGCAGAAGACATCAATGAAGTATTAGGTTGAGTACGAGTGGAAAACAATTGATCCATAGGAAGTCCATCGAGAAATTTCAATCAATATTAAAGTGGAATCAATGTCGTCAAGAATAGTGGAAAGGTAAACCATATAGGCCAAAGTACATAAGTGAGAAGAGGATATAGGAACCTAGAGGACTATGTCGCGAACAAGGGACATATAAAAAACCAAGAAAGGATCATCAAGAAGAAGAGTCACGAGTAACGAAGTAAGAGGGCTATAAGTTTAGGGAACTTGATAGAATACCACAAAGTGAAACCAAGATCGCCTATGCTGGTGAAATGTGTCAATCTCTTAGGTAAAACTCTATTGGACGGGGAAACTGTATGAGGAATTTCAGCTAGGGCCTAAGAGTAGCAGAATGGATAGTAAGAGAACTTCAAATTCAGGTGGCGATAAGGAAGTGCTAAGTGAGGCGCCAGGATTGAACAGGTAAGCCAAAGGGAAGTTCATGACTCTTGAAGGGAGTTATATAGTTGTTAGCAAGCTAGAGAAAGATGCAAAGGATGCTTTAATGCATCAGGAAGTAAAAGCAGTAGTATGAGATTTCAGAGTTAATCAAGAAGTAACTAGGAGATGACCACTCAATTTATGGTTAAAGGATAAGACAAGGCATCAAGGAAGAAAGTAAGAGATGCAAAGTTAGGAGATACAAGGACCTAGGTTACCTATGAGGTCAACTCCGGACTAGAGTTACAGTAAAAGAGTTTTAACATCTGACTAGATAGAGGATAAGCCACCACATGTAACCTTGGGGTAAGAGAGAAGCATTAACATCTCGTATTCCGAATACAGAGATAGTTATTGTTTCAACATATGTCCACGATGCAGCATAAGTGATGCGAGGGGTTAAGAAACCATCAAAACATTGGAGGTTGCCAGGAAATGGAAAAAAGGATTTTCAGCTCATGTCGTATAAGTTAAAGGAAATACAAATCCTCGAAGTGAAAATGATTACCACAAGCAATGCTTAGGGTAATCACATTGGACAAATTTCGAGGGCAAAATTTCTATAAGTGGGGAGGAAATGTGATACCTCGACTTCGATTTAGGTTCAACATCAAGTACTGAATCAGTTGGACCAAATAAATTGAGCCAAAATTTTGTCCCATCACGTCCCGGGCCAAGTTGTGAATTTAAAAGGGCAATGAGTCACTCAAAACTACTCGGTGCTACAGAATTAGGTGAGAGTACTTCTTATGGTCAAGAGAAAATATAAGAAGTATTAGTAAACTGTACGAGACAACCGAAGGACACCATTGAAGTTCATATAGAAAGAATAAAATTCTTGAGCTAAGGAAACACGGGAATGAGGAGTATGAAAGGATGAGTCCGATCAAATTTCGAGGACGAAATTTTTATAAAGGGGAGGAAATGTAACACCCTGAATTTTTGATTTGGGTTCAACCCAAAAATAAATTAATGGATCCAATTAACTCTATTTAACCGAGCCCTTTAATCCCCTTCATTGTTGCATCAGTTACTAGGTTTCCCTTGAAATTAAGCCTAGCAATAAAAATTATAATAATCCCTAAAGCGAGAGAAAGCAACTCTTTTCTTCTTCTCAACTTCCCACCTTCACGGCAAGCACTATACAGTTACAGCCGCTCGAAACTGAGAGCAATGACAAGTGAGATTGCGAAGGTGGGTTGTTGGTGGACCGAGTGGGAAATCAAAAGGAATAGCTAGGAAGCTATTACGGCGACCAAAGAGGCCGGCGGGGAACGTGAAGGGTTGACAGTGGTGGATTGCTCCCACAACGATGTGATGACTACGATTGATATGGATCCGCAATTCCTGGTGGCGAGTTAATTAATTTGGAGCACTATGGTTTGGTTCTTGACGTCTCGTGAGGATCGGAACTATGCAGATGGTGCCGGCGACAAGTAGAGAGAGGCGTGGAGTGGAGGCGGCAGCTTTATTTAGAAAGATGGATTGTGCCATGTATGGGTATGACGTGATTGAGATTATGCTTTCCAATGATTATAGACTCTTATGGATGGGAGGGGAAAGATTAATTTCATTGTGTCCTTGGGGGATAATTGAGAGGGAGCGAGGAACGCTTTACACGACAACCATTATGGAATTAGGTAAGCTCTAGATTCACCCTTCTCCCTCTGGTTGTTATTTGGTAATTGAGGATGGTCAATTAAGTGAGAAGTGGGTGGGAGGCAATGGTTAACGTGGATGGAGATATCGGATGGGTTTATTTAGGTTGTTGCAAATGGAAAAGCATGTACAACCGCCAACATCACCATATGCTAAGTAGGAGTTCTCGAAATTCAACCTAATTGCTTGTTAAAGTGAGTGTAAAAGGGGTAAATTCTACGCCTTATGTATTCTTTTAAGTATTATGATTTTAAGTATTTTAGCGAATTGGTTACCATTGCTTAGTTATGTGTATGATTGATTATTTGTGCTTTGCTTGAGTTATGGTTTGAGGTGATTTTATGCTATTTGATGTGATTTGAGGTGATTTTGTTCTATTTACCTTAAAGCGTTATGTTTAATTTATTGTTAAAGTTTAAGAACAAGTTATTTTTAAGAAGTAACTCACATTTAAGAAGGTGAAGTCATTTTAAGTGTTTTTCGTCACTAGCGCCAGTCCGTTGCCATTTGAGATTTTCAGATAGAGCAGCACTTATGCTCTTGAGATCTTTGAGACAGAGCAGCAGTTATGCTCTTCAGATATTTAAGTAGAGCATCAGTTATGCTCTTGAGATTTTTAAGATGAGCAGCAGTTATGCTCTTGAGAATCGTGGAAGAAGAGCCTTCCACGATAAGTTTAAGTTTAAGGAAAGCCCTAGTGGCTTCTCATACGTATGAGTTGGCAACCGGACTAGCTAGTGAGTGATCCCCGTGTCAGTAAAGAATTTAAGTTGAGATTTGAGCTTTAAGAATAAATATTTAAGAGTTAAGCTTTTTAATAGTGGAAGTACAAAACAACTTCGACTCAGTTAAGTAAAGTGATCAAGTATTAATAAGATGTTAAACGTAAGGGCGTAGACTGACCCCATCTCACTCACCAGTTTGAAGAGCTAGAGGAGGACCTAGAGGAGCAGTTAGAGAGCAGCGAGTTCGAGGGCAGTATAAGCGTCACAGAGGATGCTTAGTCAAGGTTTCAGTAGTAACAACATTAGAGATTATTAGTTATTTACATTTATGATTACGAGTATAGACTGGAGATCATTTTGAGTTTTTAAGTATTGAGTTTGCCCATGTGTTAGGGCGTTGCTTTAAATTACAAGTGCGTGTTTTAAGTATTTTATTTAGTGAAATTTTTTTCCAGTTGCAATTTAAGATTTGAGTATTTTATTTATAAAGGGCATTTTAGTAAAATTAATGCTCGGCCGAGCTAGGGTGTCACAGGGAAAGCTAGTGGAATGCATTGTTTGGGGTAGGAATTATTTGGAGGAAGGAGGGGATTACTGGAGGAGACTGGGACGGGGATTCTTTGGAGGCGAATTGGAATTGGCACAACCTCTTGCGAGCGACTATCGACTGGACGGTAGCGAGCAGTAGCGGGGAACAAAAGGCTACTCGCGAGTAAATGACGAGCGACGATCAGGGATTGAAGCGAGAAGGAATTGGCCGAGATTACATCTGACATCTCAGTATTTTTCTTTTTAGCTTTAATTAATATGATGATGATTATAAACATGATTATATCTTTTGATTTCGTCATGAACTAAACCCCAATTTATGGGGTAAACACCATAGGATGTAGCTATTTCTATATTTGATGGATTGATTCATATATCTTTTCTTCCAATCTCTATTGCATGGAATTGCTTAATGCTTTCTGTTGCCTGGCCACCAATACAACGATTTGTAGTTAATTAGGTTATTAGGGACAGTGAAACCCTAATGACTCAACCTATTTCATGTGACATAGTAACTTATCGAAGCGACAGTGGATTAAATAAGGTGCTATGTGGTCTTGATTGGGATATCGGTCTTCAGGCTAAACAGTTAATTCATTGAGCTACGACAGTAGGATTTGATTTAATTATTTAGTACGTAGTAATTCTCGACAGGGATAGCTAGCACAATTGAGATATCCTGGTTGTAGAGAATTGGATTAAACTTATTAGAATATGTGAATTAATCTGGATATGATACGTAGTGAATTCCAGTGTTTCTCCCATTCATTTCAACCCGACAATTTTAGTTGCTTGTTTTGTTTAATTATTAGATAGTAGTTTCATCACTATAACTTTTTTACCTATAGTTTCCTCTATAAAATCGATAGAATATAAGGTTGTACCAGTCTCTGAGAGATGATACCCAGACTTTCCAGTTTTACTACGAGATAGTATTGAGGCATTACGCTTTTGCCCTATCAATTACTCTATGCAAAACTTCCACCTAATGTAACAATTAAGGTAGAAAGAGCTTTCGAAGAAGCTTTATACAAAGAAGAAACACCTTGTACTCTAGGAAGCGGGATACTAACCCTACAGGAAGGGCATAAACTAGCTTGCAACGAAAAAAATTTAGAAAGAAGCTAGAATAGAATTATGTTGCTCCCAAACAATAAACTAGGTAGGAAAATATGGTTGTAATGATAAAAGAATCTAGAAGAGAAAATTCAAAAAACAAAAATAAGAAGGATTCCTTAAAAAAAAAATACCAAGAAAACAAATTTAGAAAGCTTCAACGGTATTTCAGAAAAAGAAAGCAATTCAAACAAAAAAGTAAAAAGAAGGAATATTGCCCTGAAGTGAAACAAAATTGTAGATGTTGGCTTTGCAATGAAGAGGGCCACTACTCTAATAAGTGTCCAAAATGAAATAATAACAAAAACACGAAGTACTAAGAATAGCATATGATCATGGTTTTGAACCTATTGAAGAATTAGAGTTCTCATAATCAGATATAGAGATAATAGAAGTGTATACTGATTCAGAATCATACACCGATGAGTTCGAATAAGGTACTAACAAAAGGATATCCTAATGCAACATTCATTCAAATAACCAGTGATAATAGAAACTATCTAGCATACATCAACACTGGAGCAACCCTTTATTTTGCTAAAAGATCGACCATTAAAAATTGGGAAAAACTTGATAAACCATTAAAAATTGTGGTAGCTGATAAATCTATACATGAAATATGGTATGTTAAAAATTATGTACCCATAATTATAGAAAAAATATGTTTTTACTGCTAAGACAATATATCAACATGACTAAGGATTAGATATAATTATAGGAAATAATTTTCTTAAAATATATCAACCTTTCATTCAAAGAATAAAAAATATTAGCGGAAGGGCACCAAAAATGAAACATCAGGAGTAAAAAATGATTACTACTAGAATTATAACTAAGAACGAAGTTCTAAAAATTATTTTAAAAAATCTTAAAAACAAACTTGAATTTATTCAAATAAGTTATGGTATAATCGAAGAAGCCCTAGAAGAAGTCTGTAGTGAACATCCTCTAGATAATCAAAAAATAAAAATATTGAACTAATAGAAATAAAACTTAACAATCCTTTTATGAAAGTAAATGAACCTAATAAAATACAATATACCCAAAGATATGTAGAAGAATTTCAAAAATAATTGGATGAACTCTTAGAAAAAGGGATAATTAGAACCAGCAAAAGTCCACATAGTGTATCTGCATCCTATGCCGAAAATAACAATGAAATTAAATGAGGAAAAAGACGAATGGTCATTAACTACAAAAGTTAAATGAAACACTATTGGGGATAGTTATAAACTATCTAGAAAATATTATATTTTAGAAAGACTCAAGGGTAAAACTTGGTTTAGCAACCACCAAACCACTAACAACATTTTCTTGTCCACCACAAAAGCATTTCGAATGGAATGTTTTATCATTTGGACTTAAACAAGCACCGGCTATCTATCAACGTTTCATGGATAATATTTTAGAAGGATTTCATGACTTTTACCTAACATTGATGATATCATTATTTTTTCACAAACAACTAAAGAAGATCATCAAGTAAAGCTACTACGGATCTTACATAAAATTAATGAAAAAGGCCTAATCATTTCAAAAAAGAAATCAAAGCTTTTACAAACAGAAATATAATATTTAGGAATGAAAATTAATAGTTTTCAAGAAATAGAACTTTCTTCCAACATTAAAGAAAAACGTAATAAATTCCCTGATCAATTAGAAAATCGAAAATAAATTCAAAGATTTCTGGGTTGTCTAAACTACATAAGTGAGCAATGATTTTTGAAAGATCTAACAAAAGAACGAAAACATCTTCAGAAAAAAAAATTTGATAAAATTCCCTGGACTTGGACTGACCAAGACGCTAATACAGTTATAAAAATGAAACAAAAATGTCAGTTTTTACCAAAACTATATAATCCATGTGACAAGGATTTTCTAATATTACAAACTGATGCCTCAAAGGATGCATTGGCCGGTTGTATGCTTGCCATACAAAACGGCAAAAAACTATTCAAAATGGATCAATATGGAAACATTCAGTCTTCAGAAAACACAATTCATGAGCCTCAAAGCTTTGGCTATAAGCCTACTATCGAATCTTCATATTCATATTATTCAGTTATTATCAATAGCGAATTTCCCAAGAAACTGTGTAAATACATTTCTGGGACGTTTACCATTACCGAACAAAATTATCCTATACATGAACTCGAAACACTTTCTTGTCTTAGGACATTGAAAAAAATGAAAACTAGAATTACTATCAACTCGTTTCGAGTTACAAATAGATTCAAAATATGTAACAGGTTTTTGGAGATACAAGCTTCAAGCAGATTTCAATAAGGGACGATTGATTCGTTTGCAACAACAGGTTCACTACTTTCATCAATACCTCAAATATATCAGGTCAACAACCAATCTATTAGCATACACACTTACACAATAATGGAAGGAATAATCTAGAAACTCCAACATCAACTAAAACAAAAAAGAGACCAAATTACAACACTAGAGTCTCAACTTTCTCTTCGAAGAGGGGAGGAACAGGACATCATCAACACCATTAAAATTCTATAGAAACAATTGGGAATCATTACCAGTGATTCATCAATGTCAGACAACTCAGCTGTTCAAAAAGACAACAGACAAGCTCAATCAGTTATCACTACAAAGACAAAAGACAATCCGATGGGCCGACATCAGAGAAAGAGGTGGAAAAGAAGAAAAATAAAAATATAATAATTATATAGAAGATGACAGAAAGGAAAAGAACAAGTGGTATGTCATCTACAATGGTCCCTTAAGAGGACTATACAACAATTGAGCTTTAGCCTCACTACATATCTCAGGCAAGCCAATCCAACATCAATCATTCACCACTAAAGAAGGAGCTGAACAAGCCTTGGAACAATCACACAAGGCACTAGCCATGAAGAAACCAGTATCATCATCAGAATGACCATTCAAGATGATTCTGAAAATCCCCAGCGTAAAAAAGATCCCAACCACAAAGGAAAAATAAGAAATCAAGAAGTCAACATTCTAGACATTCAACATCAATTGGAATATTTTAGTCAACTACGAAGAAAAATACACCACCATGGGATTTTATCCAGTTATTAAAAGGAGGACCTAAGGTCGTTCTCACAGAGAAAGCCTCACCATTGCTAGTCCATGAATTCTATCAGTATGGACTAATCGACACCATCTACACTACCACTATGAAAACCTTTGAAGAATTTCCAATCAAGATTAAGGTAATTAACGAAAGATATTTCAAATCCTTTGCAAATGGAAGAGAAATATTCCTTAAGTACACATCAAGTTACCCAATATTTGATGAAGAGATCATATCCTGAAGACAAAAGCAGTAATTAAAATCAGAGTATCAAACAGTGGCTATCCAACAAGGGACGATCTCAGAGACTACGAAAAGAAACCAGATTATCATAACAAGGGATTAATGACTGCCTGCGGAACATTAACCAACATCAACCCTGAAAGCAATATCATGGTTAACTATAGTAGCAATAACATTATCATCATCAGTAGTATACAGAATATAATATCAGCAGAAGAATGGACAGTTGTTACAAAGATGACGGAAGATTTCACAAAACTGGAAGGATCACTGGCCCCATTGCTAGAAAATGTTAAGAGACAGCTGTGTGATGCACTCAGTTTTTATGAGAATCACCTTTGTACCATGTGCACAACATCCCGTTCCAGTGTTAAAGACTAAAGAAGAATCAAGGACAATAATGTGGGAAAAGAGAAATTGGGTGGCCAACTACCCTTAAACTTCAACAATTGTATCTTTTCATTATGCCCTACTGCTAATGGCTTTATGCACTTTGTGATGTAAGCAATGACGATTTCTCGCTACCCCTTCCACTATAAATAAGGGAGTGATGACTCGGTATTTGCACATGTTTTCCCCTTTGTTTCTTGATTGTTTGAGCTTGAATTATTGCGTCTTTGGCCTATTTTATGCTAGGTTGTGTTCCTTTGTCACATTTCAGGTCCTAGCACATAAAGTGAAGCATAGGCGCAAGTTTCAAGTCAATCAGAGATCAATTGACGATTCGAGAGAAGAAACTCGGGCATGACCTGAAGAGGAATGGATTTCTACCTCACTTTATGGACAAAGAATGCAAGCTTGTTATGAAACGAAAGAGGACAAGACTACGAGCGTCTGGGATCAAACGGCGACTGATTCGGAGTCTGGACGAGGGAGAAACAAAGCATTAAACAGAGGCTGAGCAAGTCACACGGGCAGAGCAGAAAATCTACACGGCCGTGCAAGGTGAGCTGCACGGTCGTGCGACCCTGGCCGTGCAAGAAGCCTGGAATTCAACTAATTGATACGCTGCCTTTTGACTCGCACGGGCAACTGGATGAGCTGCACGGCCGTGCGGCCTGCCCGTGTGAGTCGGGAATTGCTGTTTAAAACCCGATTTTCAGCCAAAGGAAAGGGGAGAGCTGGGTTTTGGATCCCAAACACCCAAGGGAGGAACCAAAAAGAGAGAGGGCGATCTGAGGGAATTCTAAGAGTGGAATTGGAGGATTTCTTCGCCTTGGAAGCTCGAGGAACAAGCCCGGACTTGAAGACTGATCATCTGAAGATTCTTACTGCAGTCTCTTTCTTCTCTATGGAGTAACTTCCCTTCACTTAGGTTTTGAGGAACCCTAGCTATGTTTGTTTGATTGGATGATTGTATGAGTACTCTGACTTGATAATCTTGAGTTCATATTCAATCTATGCATCTTTTCATGATTCAATTCTGCTTTAGTCGAGATTATTGATTCTGCTTTGATCCTATGAGAGGGAATACCTGATTAGGTCAATAGAGCACCATAGATTGATAGTAGTGGATCGATTGCTTTAGTCGAGGGTTGATTCACTGCTTTGTATCGATTGAGAACCTCATTCGATAGAGGGAATCTAGTTCAGAACGCCTTGATCGGTTGTTCTAGAGAAGGATACGTCCCTCTAGGCAATTGACTCAAGAGGGCCTTGTTCCTTTAGTCGAGACTCAAGGTCTAGTCAAGGATTCTCCGCATTGTGAATGAAAGTGAAACAAGTTAGAAATCAGCAATCGTTAGTCTGGCTAGTGGCTAGGGGGAATCATACCTAAGTGAGTTCCCAACCTGTAATTAGATTAACTTTAACTGTAGTTTGCTAGAGTAGTTTTAGTTCTTTCATCTTAATCTGGTTTGCTAAATAATAAAGTGAAGCTGAGTAATAATAACTCTAGAGACCCGTGGATTCGATATTTATCACTTGAGCCACTATACTACAGTCCCTTCCATTGGTTCCACTTGGCCATTGTTAGGTGTTGTGTCATAGCGAGTCAAGTTTTTGGCGCCGTTGCCGGGGACTTTCTAGAGTATTAGGAAAGACAGAAGTTTGTTACTTTAGAGTTTTTCTTTTCTTTTCTTTTCCACCCTTGCTTTTCACTTGGGTGTTTTTGTTTTTGTTGGTGCAGATCTGAATCATGGATCCTAATGGCTTCTCCACTCATTGGGGGTATCCACCACCATCCGGGTGGTATTACCCCGAGACTCCCTGGAGCAATCAAGGAGGAGAAGACTATGGATTCGGGTTCCAGTACCAACCCCCTTACTACGGAGAACAACCGGACCCCTGGGCATATCAAGAACAACCTCATTACCAAGAAGAATTTCTTCCACAACCAGAAGGGCCATCGGCGCTGGAGTTACCCATGGCGGCCTTCACGGGCCATTCTGCAGAGCCATGCTACACTCCACAGCCAGATCCACACTACGAATTAAGGCTTCTTATGGAGAGATCATGCTCCATGATGGATCATTGTGTCCAGGCCTTTCGTGAAACAGAGGAGATCCTCCTGAGCCTTAAGAAGAGTGTCGATGATCTTGAGCGATCTTTGGCACAACCTGCTCCAGATCACCCTTCTGCTACCATACAAGAAGAGGAGGAGGACGAAGAAGGCTACAAGGACATTGTGGAGCACACTGAAGTTGTCACGGAGAGCTCCCGTGATGATCATGATCAGGAGTGTCATGTCGTAGCCGACCACACCTTCCCACACCCCAAACTGAGCTTTGAAGAGGCGGGCTTGAGTGAGGAGATGCAAGAAGATCTCATGAAAGAAATTGCTTGGCAACTTGCTCTCCAATCCGTGCTAGAAGAAGAAGAGCAAGAAAGGGTGCAGAAAGAAGTTGTGGAGGATGACGAAAGTGAAGCAAGAGGAGTTCTTGATCATTTCCCAGGGGTGATACCACATGAAGAAGGAAGGGAGGTTGAAGAAGACATTTGCGTCCAGGCTGAGGATGGAGTTAAGGTGGAAGAGGCCTGCACCGGCCATGAGTTACATGTGATATCTCCACCAAACTTCGAGGAACTGCTTAGCAAGGACCCATTTGCAGTGTCTCTTTGCCAGACCAAGGTCACATCAACATCGGTCCCTCTTGGTGGACGCGATGGTGGCCAATCGATGCTGTCATATCTGGTTTGGGGCAATGAGACGAGAGAAGAGAAGAAGAGGTCTCGAGGGTGGAGACTTCATCTGCATCAAGTACATGAGCCTTCATCACCTGCCACACCACATGCTCGTGAATTGCGACTCCACCTCATTGACGAGAACCTCAACTTCAAGGAGGTTCTAGCATGGACCGAAACTTAGGAGCCATCGTCCGGCTCACAACGTGAAAGAAGCGCTTGTTGGGAGGCAACCCAACCAGTAGGTTTGCATATCTTTCTCTATTTCTCCTCGGTTGAGTCAGTTTTGCTATTTGATTTTAGAGTCAATAACTCAACCTTTGTGAGATTTTGTGTGGTGTTTGTGTCCTGATTACTCTCTCTTTCTAGAATGCCCCACCTGACACGTTCATCATCATTCACCCTTGATCTGGTAACTTCGTTCTACCCTCCTTATCTTTCCTCCATTGAGGACAATGTCATGCTTAAGTGTGGGGGGGGGGGGGGTGTTCGATTATTTATGCGGGTGAATGTTTGGCTGTTTGTGTGCTTGGAGCCTAGTCCACTGTCCAAATTTTTAAATTTGAGGGCTCCAAGTACGTGTTTCCTTGCAAATTGCCTGCTCAGTATGCTTTGAATTGACAGTCTTTATAGTAATCTGCAACCTAGGGAGGTAGTGTAGCACTATGGAGGATGTTGATGCATTTAAGAAGTCTCATTTCTTCTTCATATTGTGTTGGTTGATTGAGTGAATTAGTGATCTTAGGACCCTTGAATTTTGTGGTGTTGTGGATTCTCTACCTGTCATGGACTCTTGTATCATGTTTTGAAAATAACAGGTGCTCGAAAATGTGCTGAAAAATAACGTCTCCCGTGCGAATAGGGCGAAAGTGTGTAAGGGGAGACGGGAATTCGTTCCCAATTTCCACCTAATACCTCCAGCCCCCTTACATGTCTTTCCCCCGCACGAGGCTCGAGACATCCGCTCCTGGCATGGCCGGTAAGAGCAGGTTGGGACCCTTGGAAAAAAAAACCAGAAAACAAGCAAAACAGAAAAGAAAAGGGGTTCCAACCATCTTCAAGAAGAAAATAGAGCACCTTGAAAAATGTGAGTCCATGATCTTTTGTTTTTGAGAATCTCTTCATCCACAATTCATTTGTCCTCTGTTCACTATTTGCCATGATGCCGACTCGATACTAGTGCTCTCGCCGAAGAAGCTATGAGATGACTTGTGTGTCGGTTGGCCTCGTAAGCTGCTAAATGATCTAGGAAGTACTCTACCTACGATCTGGGTTGTTTGATAGACCGTTAGTTACACATGTTTTCACCCCTGTTCTTACACCCTTTGAGATGTGGTTTCTCGTGTTTTAGACCGATTTCACGCTAGGTTGTGCTTTTTTGGGATATTTCAGGTCCTGGCAAGTGAATGAAGGTTTAGGAGCGAGTTCGGGGTCGATTGGGCGAAGATCGGGCACGAGGCATGTCACAAAGGAAGTCGCACGGGCACACCCACAACCCACACGGCCGTGCAAGTGACCAGTTTGGCCGTGTGGGATTGTGTGAGAGCAAACACGGGCAGAGCAGAAAATCCACACGGCCGTGCAAGGTGAGCTGCACGGCCGTGCGACCCTGGCCGTGTAAGAAGCCTAGAAATCAACTAATCGATACGCTGCGTTTTGACTCGCACGGGCAACTGGGTGAGCTGCACGGCCATGCGGCCTGCCCGTGTGAGTCGGAAATTGCTGGTTAAAACCCGATTTTCAGCCAAAGGAAAGGGGAGAGCTGGGTTTTGGATCCCAAACACCCAAGGGACGAACCAAAGAGAGAGAGGGCGATCTGAGGGCATTCTAAGAGTGGAATTGGAGGATTTCTTCGCCTTGGAAGCTCGAGGAACAAGCCCGGACTTGAAGACTGATCATCTGAAGATTCTTACTGCAGTCTCTTTCTTCTCTATGGAGTACCTTCCCTTCACTTAGGTTTTGAGGAACCCTAGCTATGTTTGTTTGATTGGATGATTGTATGAGTACTCTGACTTGATAATCTTGATTTCATATTCAATCTATGCATGTTTTCATGATTCAATTCTGCTTAAGTCGAGATTATTGATTCTGCTTCGATCCTATGAGAGGGAATACCTGATTAGGTTAATAGAGCACCATAGATTGATAGTAGTGGATCGATTGCTTTAGTCGAGGGTTGATTCACTGCTTTGTATCGATTGAGAACCTCTTTCGATAGAGGGAGTCTAGTTCAGAACGCCTTGATCAGTTGTTCTAGAGAAGGATACGTCCCTCTAGGCAATTGACTCAAGAGGGCCTTGTTCCTTTAGTCGAGACTCAAGGTCTAGTCAAGGATTCTCCGCATTGTGAATGAAAGTGAAACAAGTTAGAAATCAGCAATCGTTAGTCTGGCTAGTGGCTAGGGGGAATCATACCTAAGTGAGTTCCCAACCTGTAATTAGATTAACTTTAACTGTAGTTTGCTAGAGTAGTTTTAGTTTTTTCATCTAATCTGGTTTGCTAAATAATAAACTGAAGCTGAGTAATAGTAACTTTAGAGACCCGTGGATTAGATATTTATCACTTGAGCCACTATACTGCAGTCCCTTCCATTGGTTCCACTTGGCCATTGCTCAACTTACTTTTTCAAACCTCTTATAAATTTGGAAGCACCATCTAAAACAGTAAGAATTGAACCTCCCCGTTCTAGTATAACTCGAGATCTAAGAATAATAACCCAAAAAGATGAAATCACTGAGATTAGAAACACTCCAATAATTAACAAAACCAAGGAGAAAGTGAAATAAACGAATTAAAATAAATAATAATAAATTTAGAAAAGAAAGTATAATTAAAAATGGCTTATAATCACCACATAAATAAGTTTATAGAAGGTTTAGATTTAATAGATCTCACCCCTTCCGAAGCTGTTTCTATTATTATAAATGAACTATCTAGTTTTGCAACAGAAAATTTAAGTTGAGCAATCTACTCATGGGATTGCAGAAACACTTATCTAAGTTATTCATAAATGGAACTTATAACCAATATCATTAAAATTTAGAGAAAATTAAACATAAAATTATTGATAGTACATCTTCATCGATAATAAATTAAAATTATGACAATAGGTGGGGAAATAAGAGCAATAAATCTGACAAATATAGAACACATACAACAACAAATAAGTGAATTACAAGGAGAATTATCCTATCAAATTAGAAGTCACCAAAACAATACAAGACACTTAAATATTAGATACTCAAATTATTTATATCAAGTAAGAATTCATATAATATATTTCTTTGAAGGCATAATTACATTATTAGAACTAAAATGGTAATAGAAAATACATATAATTAACTAACTTTGTTCTAAAAAATCACCACCATTAACAACCTCTTATGACTTTAAATCAATAACTAATCCTGATAAATCAAATTAATATAGAATACATTAGAATTAAAAATTAGATACTATAAGTTTGGTGGAGAGAGAGTAGAGAGAGAAGCTGAGCGATTCGGGTAGCGAGGTTCTTCGATCTATCGCTTCGTTGCCAGCTCCGGCATCTGCGCCGGAGCAGCTCCTTTCCCCCTCTTTTGCTATTCTGATGAGTGGTGAGACTGCAGTGAATCCTAACCCGGTGGGACCGAATGATGATGCGCGGGGGGTTCCGACAAAACCCTGGGCTTCATTGTTTGGAATTTCCGAGGCAAATCGCTTAACCTACATCCCACCTGAAGTAATCAAGGGAGGGCTTCGTATGCCGAGAGAGGTTCGTGAAGCTGGAGCTGCTCGATGGAAGAATTGCCTTGTAGGCCAATTTCTCCAGGATCCTCCTTCGCTTTATGTTCTTCGTCTGCTGGTGCATGGGAAAAGCAGAAGGGATCCTGAAGAGGTAGCTTTTCTAATCAAAGCTGAGATATGCTTTCTGGTGACAGGAAATGTGATGATGCGTAAAGAGTTGGAAAAGATAGGATATCTTTAGATAGTTTACTCATATATATTCACAGGTTTTGACAGTAGTATTGTATAGGGAGGACCACGAGCATTTTTGCTCTGCTCGTTGTATTGGCTCATTTCATTAATACGAAAGGGATCTGATTCAACGAAAAAAAAAATAGATAGTCACTAAGAACATTATATTTAGAAAGTATTATTTACTGGATAGAATTTGGGATCAATAAATTCTACAATGAGTACCCACGGATTATCCGTTAATACCCGTTTGGGTATTACGAGTACCCGTACTACCCGCCAAGTACAAAGAAATACAAGCACAATGAAGGGAACATATATTTTTCAATTACTTGGCCTTGGGAAGTTGGGATTGAGCCTTCCTTTGTCCTGATAGACAAACAAAGAAATAACAACCAATAAAGGGAGCTTCTTTTACCTAAGTAGAGGAGGCAAACGTATATGAAATCAACTAGTAATACAAAGAATATGTTTCCAAACGTTTAGCTAAAATCCAAGCTATTCATTTCCATTTGAGAGCTTGGAATGGGATGGGGGCCTATTAAGCTGCTCAATTATGTATAAGAGTCTGCTCAATACTCAATCACGTATTTCCCTGCACCAACAATCGTGTGTCATTTACATTTCAGAAACTCATGCTAGCTGTTAGTACAAGTTACGGGTTACCCACGTGTAACCGTTATCTGTGCTGTACGGGTAAAGGGTACCCTTTAATCCGTATGGGTTTGAAACATGGAATGGAGTTTTCTCTCCAAATGGGAATGGGTATCTATTTCAAATGGGACGGGTACCCAATCCCATCCCGCCCTAAAGAAATATTGGTTTTTTTGAAAATGAGGGAAGGGATTTTCCCCCATTTCCTCCACTATATTTAAATGAGTTCAGAGCTTCAAATCCCCTACTAGCCTTTTTCTTATTTCCCAAATAAAATTAGTTGTCTGTCGTCCTCAACCCATCCTGATTCTTCTAATTTCAGTTCTCCAATTCTCCAACTCCACACACCCGTCCCGAGTCCAGATTTGATGATGATGAGGTCCCCATTATCCCATCAAAGGTGGCAGGCTAATAACGTCAATGATTTGTTTCTTGGCCAATCGATATCTAGCTGCGGCGGGCTATTCATTACGGTGTTGACCATCGTTACTGTGTTCGATCTCACTTCTGCATCCGCTCTTCGCTTTCATGGTCGCCTGCTGCTCCATCAAGAAATTTGTTGCCTGGAAGAGGCAGAGTACGAGGAATTTTTTTCGGCTTGGGACGTGCTGTTGGGGTGGAGATCCACGTTGACTATCTTACCCGGTGTTTCGTTGTGGAAACTCGCGTGTTTAATGCGCTCGGTTCTCAAGGAAAATAAGACCAAGTAATGTGTGTTTAATGCGCTAAGTCGGTAGGGATTGACGGTGGTCAATGTCGTTTTGGTTAAATAACGTCGGCACCTGACACGCTAAAACACAATACCTAACAATGGCCAAGTTTAACCAATGAAAGGGACTGCAGTATAGTGGCACAAGTAATAAATATCGAATCCACGGGTCTCTAGAGTTACTATTACTCAGCTTCAGTTCATTATCTAGCAAACTAGATTAAGGATTGATTTACTAAACTACTCTACTAACTACTCTACTAATTACAAGTTGGGAACTCACTTAGGTATGATTCCCCCTAACTCCTCAATTAGGTCCAAGTTGCAATTGTTTTTGGTTGATCTGCTGTTGATTAAACTGCGGAAGATCCTAAATTAGCTTGGAATCTCTTAAGTTGACCAAGCCCTCTTAGACAGAATACCCGGCAGGCGACTAGCCTTAACCGCGATAGACTGCTAAGGCGATTCACACAGATCTCCACTACTGGAATGAATTCCAGTACAAAACAGTGAATTGATTGACTCTCGCACAACCAATTCACCACTATCAATCAAGGAAGCTCTCTTAACCTAATCAGATTCTATCTATCATAGGTTAAAGCAGAAATCAAGAGAAGATGATCAGCCTTCAATTGACTCTATAAATCATGCCTCAATCAATTATAATCAAACAATATAGCATCCAAAACTTCATACAAGAAAGATCCTAACACATGGAACTAGGGTTCCTCAAAACCTAAGTGAAGGGAAGTTACTCCATAGAGAAGAGAGAGACTGCAGAAATCTTATATAGATCTTCAATCTCCATCTCCAAGATTGATTCTCGAGCTCCAATGGCAAAGAAATCCTCCAAAATAGCTCCCAGAATGTTCCCAACTCGCTCTCTCTCTCTCTCTCTAGGGTTCGTCCCTTGGGTGTTTGGGATCCAAAAACGCAGCTCCACCTCTCCTTTGGCTCGAAATTGGCTTAAAATCAGCAATTCCCGACTCACACGGCCAGGCCACACGGCCGTGTGACTCTCCCAGGCTGCCCATGTGAGTTTGCAAAACGCAGCGTTTCGTTAAGTGACTTCAGGCTTCCTACACGACCACGACCCACACGGCCGTGTGGACTTCCAGGGTGCCAGTGTGAGTTCTCTGGAATTTCCACACGGCCACAAGGGGTCCCCTACACAGCCGTGTGGCTTTTAGGCATGCCCGTGTGGCTTCTCAGCTTCTCGCCAAACGTCCAAACTTCGTCCAATCGATCCTGAACTCGTTCCCAAACCTTCATTCACGTACTAGGACCTGAAATATCACAAACAAGCACAACCTAGCGTGAAATCGGCCTAAAACGCGAGAATCGACATCTCAAACGGCTCAAGAATAGGGGTAAAAACATGTGCAATTAACGGTCTATCAGCACCAAATCTCAACTTTGCAACATTGATGGTCCGACCTCATCTAAATGATGGCCCCTGCTCAACGACATTGCTCCCTTCCAAACAACACCATTTCTAATGTCGTGACGTCGCTGGGCCTATTCGACATTGTTTTCTTCACCAAACAACACTGTTTGTGTTTTACTATGCGACATTGTTTTATATTAAACACATTCGTTTGCTAATCAGTGGTGTTGTTCATACCTCTCGCAGCTTCGTTTTTTACTAAACAACGTGTTCCAAAAAATAATTATTAAAATATATAATTAACTGAGTTGGCCATTCTTGAGAATTCAGACAACACGAAGTCATGAATTAAACCCTGTCGCTCTTGGTTCCGAAACCCAGACTCACCCGCTTGGCCTGTCTAAACGACTTTGTTTGCTAGTATCGCGGCATTGTTGGGATTTTGACGATGTCATTGACCTCCGCTACATTGCTTATCACTGAACGGTGTTGTTTCTCTCCTCTTCCTACAAGGAATAAAAAAGCACTTATTTTCCAAACCCAACACCAACATCGCGAAACTGAATAAATCTGTATCCTAGGTTCGCAACATTGTTATTTTTTACTAAGACAACGTTGTTTCTATTACCGCGGTGTTATCGAGCTTCCTCGTGGTGTCGTTTAAACTCTCCACAACGTTGCTCGACTCCAAATGACACCATTTTTTGTCATGTGGTATCAAATTAAATGTCTAGAATAATTAATGCGGCATTTAATTAACCCAAAAATAATTTGAAGGTGTCAACACCCGGTTAGTTACCGCTACTACTACTGCTATAACAATCTGTATTTTTCTTGACTTTGTACAACTGGTCGTGTCTTTGTATAATTGGGCAGGATGCTATACTTGCAAATAGTATAATTAAGTGAAATTATGGTGGGTTGAGTCCCTAACTAATGGTTTGGAGTTGTTTGAAAATTATGTGATTCTTATTAAAAACTAAAAATCATGATTCGTGTTGTATGATGATCAATGAAAAAAATTGTGGCAATCAAGTATCGAGAAACATAATGAAGTAATTAGACATATTTTCATTCTCTGAATTCAGTTTTACAACTCACAAAAATACTCAGCTAAACAAGTTTTCTGCATTTTTCATTTATAAGAAATTAACAACTTCGTTTTCATTTTGATTTGTTTTTTTTTTTTTTTGTTGTGGCAACTAAGAAAAACGGAATGGCAAGTGAACGTGCTATAAGTATTCAGATTTGCTCCAACAGTTGTCACATTTTTTACCTTTCTCTGATTCTGATTCCCATCTATCGTATATAATCATCACAATATATAAACTCCATAATAAATTGAAGACGATCAGAACTCACAGTCTTTAGCTTTGCTTTGCAATTAATTAGAACAAATTAGGATTGCGGAGCCATCCATGGCGGAAACAGGAGAAGCAAGCTGCATCAACCAATTTGGCAAGAGGCGGAGGCCAATAAATGGGGGACCCACCTCATGGGACCGCCGACAGTTCACCCGGACAATCAAAAGGTGGAGTCTTGGAACGCCGGCGAACACCAGCACATCCCGGAGCATCCTTATATCGTCTACACCCCTGTGGAAAAACCTACCAACAGCAACCCTCTTGAGCATGTGACCCACATGTTCAACACCTGGAGTACTAAAGCTGAGACCAGTGAAAACAGGGGCGTCGGTGACCAAGTCGGCGTGGGGGAAAGTAAACCTGACGGCGAAAGCCATAATAGAGGGAGGATTCGAATCAATTTTTAAGCACAAATTTGAAATCCATCCCGACAGGAAGCTGAAGAAGACATTCGCGTGTTACCTTTCCACCACCACTGGCCCGGTGGCCGGAACTCTGTACCTCTCCACCGCACGTGTCGCGCTTCACTGTCCCATCAGGGAAGGAAGCATGGAGCTACTACAAGGTCAATTTACTTGCTTTCATGATTAATGCTAATCTCGGCTATGAAATAAATTCTGAAAACCAATCAATTATATGCACATGTTATGATTGCGGTGGAGAACATAAGCTCCGTAAGCCCTGTGGTATAGAAAGAGGATCCTTCGGAGAAGTACATCCAGATCACCACGATGGATGGTCACGAGTTTATGGTGGGGAGTTCACTAGTTTTGATTAAGAAACAAATAATGCATATGTTCCATCTCCAGAATAACAAAATCTGTGGGGAGAATAAACTTCCCCAACTTCACCAATACATTCTCCACCACTCCTTTTGGGATTTTTACTGATCGATCAGCCAATTGGAAAGTGATCCGAGTAGGCTTAATAACATCTCCCAATCCCAATTTCTTGTAGACTGAGTATGGCATCAAATTAATTCCTACTCCAAGATCACAAAGTGATTTATCGAACTCTCTACCTCCAATGACACATGGAATGGTGAAGCTTCCTGGATCATCCCTCTTTTCTGGTAATTTATTCTGAATCACGGCACTACATTCAGAAGTAACGGTTACCTTCTCCAGATCAGCCCATTTGCGCTTCTTCGTCAGCAACTCCCTTAAGAATTTAGCATATGTATGCATCTGTTCAAGTGCCTCCGCCAACTGTATGTTGATATGAAGTTGCTTGAAGATATTCACAAATTTCTTGAAGTTTGGGTCTTTCATGGGCTTCATTAACCTTTGAGGGAATGGTGCGGGAGGTTCATAAGGTTTTACCTCTTCATTCTTGAATTTTTCCACCTTTGGAGGTGCACAGGCAGAATGCTCATGCACAGGCAGATTGCATGTAGTTTGCCTGTGCAAGTCAAATTTTTCAGCTTTTGCACTTTCTTCCTCTGCAACTGCTTTGCCCTCATTTTCTACTGGATTTTTCTTGCCCTTTGGATCCTCCAACTCCTTCCCACTCCTCAATGTGACGGCTACAACCATGGCGTCCTTCGGATTCCTCTCGGTATTTGCTGGTGGAGTCCCTAGAATCCTACCTTGAATATCTGCCAAAGTTTGAGCCATCTGGCCTATTTGCCTCTCCATAGGTAGCATAGATGATTGCATATTATTATTGATGGCTAGCTGTTGAGTGACAAATTTATCAAGACCCTTGAAATTATTGTCTGTTTTCTACATATGAGCCAAAATCAACTCCTCCAGCTGGGGCTTCTTCTCTGGTTGAGGCTGCAGCTGTTGAAAACCAGGAGGTGGGATGTTTCGAACACCAACTGGATTATTGTTTGACCATGACATATTGGGGGGATGTCTCCATTGAGGGTTGTACGTATTTGAATACATACCACCCTGGCCTTGACTTCACGGATTATTGATGTATAGGACATCTTCCAACTGAGCAGCTCCCAGTGGACACATATCCCTATGATGAGCACCTTCGCAAAGTTCACGTAAAGCAACCTCCTCTTGTCTAACCAGAGCAATCTTGGCCAGCCTTCATTCGAGTGCATCGAACTTAGAATCCAGTTTGGCATTTATCTTGGCTTCTAGACTCGCAACTCTGTTTATCTCATGCATGCCTCCTCTTCTTTGAATATTGGTCTCACTACCCCATTCAGTGGCTTCTGAGCAGATCTTCTCTACTAGATCATATGTTCCTGGTGCATCCATGCTTGTGAAACCATTTCGAGAAGCATTGTTCAGGGCATCCCGGAACTCCCTTCTGATTCCATTGAAGAAAATAATGATCACGTTCCAATCTTCAAGACCATGGCTTGGGCATCTCATCAATAGCCCCTTATAGCGCTCCCATGCCTTAGTCAGACTCTCATCATCAGCCTGCTTAAAAATAACAATCTCTTCTTGCCTCTTCATTGCCAAGGAAGGTGGGAAGTATTTATCCAGAAAGACCTTCTCAAGCTGAGCCCATGTCGTGATGGAACGTGGTGTTAAGTTCGGAAACTAGTGTGATGCATTCCCTTTCAGGGAGAATGAGAACATCCGAAGACGGATTGCATCATCAGATATTATGGGGCTTTTCATGGTATCGCATATGCTCGCGAACCGGCAGAGATGCTCGTGAGGATCCTCACTGTTAGCCTCGGAGAAAGTATATCCATTGGTGATCATGTTTATAAATGCTGGGGTAATTTCCATGGTTGCATCCCCACCCGAAATGACAACACAAGAAGCTCAGGCTCTAGTCCTTCGATTCAAACGAGCCCTGATTGATCGATCCTCGTCTGCCATGATGTCTGGCTCAATGTCACGAGGTGGTGGTGTCAGTGGTGTAGGGACGACAGGTGATGAAGCCTGCCCTCTCTGTTGACGATTCTTGGTTAGGGAAGGCCTAGGAGTTGTGGTTGTGGTTGGCTGCTTCCCTAACTTGACCTGCTTCCTGTTCTGTCGGCAGGTCCTCTCTATCTCTGGATCAAGTGCCAGTAAATTGCCGGTCGTCCTCCTTGGCATGCACGAGGAGGATACACCTGAAAAATTCACCTGCACACTAACACCCAGATCAAAATAGTTCACTCACAAAAATCAACAAAAATAAGGTATGGCAGTCCCCGGCAACGGCGCAAAAAACTTGATAGGGCAAAAGCGTATAGCTTCAATTCCTATCTCGTAGTAAACCGGAAAGTCCGGGTATCGTCTCTCAGGGACTGGTACAACCTTAAGTTTTATCAATTTATGTGGAGCAAACTATAGGTGAAAATGGTTTAACGAGACTAATTATCTAAAAGCAAAATAAACTAATTAAGCAAAGTAAACTTGTCGAGGGAAATTCAATGAGAGAAAGATCTGGGAGAAACACCGGAATTCACTACCTATCATATCCAAATTAATTCACATATCCCAATCAATTTAATCCATATCTCTACAGCCAGGATATCACTACTGTGCTAGCTATCCCTGTCGGGAATTATTACGTACTAAACAATTAAATCAAATCCTACTGTCGTAGCTCAATGAGTTAATTATTCTTTTGAAGAACGATATCCCAATCAAGACCGCATAGTACCTTATATAATCCAGTGTCGCTTCGATAAGTTACTATGTCACATGAAATAGGTTCAGTTATTAGGGTTTCACTGTCGCTAATAACCTAATTAACTACAAATCAATGTATTGGTGGCTAGTCAACACAAAGCATTAAGCAATTTCATGCAATAGAGATTGGAAGAAAAGAAATAAGAATCAATCCATCAATTCTAGAAATAGCTACATCCTATGGTGTTTCCCCCTGCAAATCGGGGTTTAGTTCATGATGAAACTGAGATAAAACAATAGGGTTTTGTTCATCATGTTCTAAATCGACAATAAACAATAAGTTCGGTCTAGAAAATCCAACCAAAATAATCGCTCTTGTTGAAATCAGCTCAAACCTCCTTGGAAGATTGATCACCACTCGTCGCTGCGCCCTGCTTTTTCTCTCCCAAGAATTATGCCGCTCTCCAAGCTGCTTCTTTCCCGTCCAAAGAATTCCCCTCAATTAATTGCCTCCTTTCTCCTCCGCCCAGAATTCTCCCCAGAGATGTTTTTGTCCCCAAAATTGCCTCTCCCCCTAAATAATTATCTCTCCTCTCTCCTGTCTGTGTCCAAATCCTCCTGGCCCAACTTCAATTTCCTTTCCCCCCAGCCATTTCCGTGTCCAATTATTCCACCCAAAAAACCAATCTCCTCCGCAGAAGACCAAAAAAAATGGGCCTAAAAAATTCATCCAATAATTCCCTCAAGCCCACTCAATAATTCTCCCTGGTTCAAATTAATCCTCTAGCCGGTCCAAATCATTTGAAGAATAAACCAAACTGGTTTGGTTTTCGGTCGTGCCCTGGAGTGCTTTTCTATCATTAAGCATTTGCATTCATTTTTCCTTGCTTTCCACCTATAACGTATCAAAATTCTAACACATGGTGGTAATGGTCTTATAGCCATTCCAGGGGCAGTCGGCTCTAAAACAAGCATTATACGTCTCAAACATATCATTCAGTAATCACATTAAACACACAATATCAATATGTTTTCGACAATTATCATATAGGCACCCTGAGCATCATCCATGTTGTCCATTCCAGAACTCTGGCTCCTGCAAAACAAAGAAAGCTAACTGCCCCTACAAAGGCAAGCCAAGTTACCCGCGACAATGTCCAAATCATGGTAAAATTAGGGCACACAGCCTAATGAGCGCCAAGTAGGCCTGAGTAAAAGTCACATTTAACCATGGTAAAAAGGAAGCCAAGTAAAACAAAAAAACTGGTCCCACTCGGTAACCAAAGAAGCGGTAGAAGAAAAACAAATAATCAAATCAAAGGTTAATGACAATTAATCACCACCCTACCTCCCCTAATAGGAGCTTAAATGACAAATTAAAAGTATATATCAGTAAATGAATAAAAAAGACGGAAGCGGCAAAAAAAACAAAACAAAACAAAAAAAAACTGGCCACAAACGGGTAAGTTGAAGCAAAGGGTGATACTTATGACGCCACCACTACTGCTAGAGAGAGAGAAAAATCGGATGATGAATCCACAAGAAAAACAAAAAACGAATTCGCGACGCACCACCGCGTTAAGGGTAGTAACGACATAGTCGCACGCCAGCAAACTAATAAGAGGCAGAGGCCTCTTGCCCCAAAGATGAAAGGGTCAGCAAACCAAGAGAGAGAGAGAGAGAGAGTGTTCCTTTGTCGTCGTCGTAACTCTCCCACCAAGAGAAGGCCAAACGCGACCCTAACAAGAGAAGGATGATAACATGCAGCTCGGCGGTGCGTGTTATTTACTTGTCATTATTGTTAGATTGCGATGAACAACTGAAATCTACACTTCTACACTCTTAACCAAACTTGAAACATGAAAATGAATTCTTATTAATTATTATGATTTCTCTTCCATTCCCAAAATTATTTTGTATTAGTAAGCATAAGATATGATGTCTATGATCTAAAAGCTATTGCCCCCGAAGAAAACAAGACGTTGGAAATAAGCTCCAACATTTCCTTCATCAATCACCTTGTATCGATCACTATCTGCATAGGTGTCACACCCTGAAGGATCGTAATTGATTAGGTTATTTTCATTTACTGTCGAAATTAATTTAGCATAACCATCTTGTTTTGCACTCCCAACAGGCAAGTAGCCGGAACCCATTGGAGGAGGGGTGGTTCCTGGAGGACTATAAACTTCTCCTCCCCATTCTGCGTAGTTAGCAAAGGATGCTAATGAAGTGAAAATCTTCTTTGGCCGAACTCCCAAAATGTTATTGGAACCAACCCTGAGATACCAATCTCCATTTTCAGGATCCTGCTTTCACAACCAAATAACCATGAATCTAGATCATCTTTTAGGAGATTTTGTTTAAATCATCAATTCTAAATAATAATGAAACTATAGCATCTTCATAAATTAAATGAATAAAGAAAACTATTACATGTAGCTTCATTAATTAAGTATATTAATTACCTTACGAATAAAGAAATTTTCTCCGTATATGTTTCCACCTCTTTTTGAAACAGGGTTAAGAACAAGATCTATTGGTATATTATGACTCATAAGAACAAACCCAGGACAAAAGGTGTTGTAGCATCGCGAATCTTTTGTCTGAAAAGTAAATAAAAAAGAATGTGATACCTATTTAAGAGTAATTATGAATTGGAATACTTACGCAAGCATTTGGGTTTAACTCAATTGGAGAAATCATGATAACTGAAATCCCAAACAAATCTTGGGCTGTTTATGAATGTGTAATACTAATAATAGAGAAACTTACAGTTGTGTATATGAAGAGTCGAGTTTGGTTGTCTTGATACAAGCTTGGATTGACCTTACGCACAAAAAAGTAAGAAGAAGAACATAGGTAATTATACAAGTCTATAATTGGGCATTCATACATAGTCGTATCATTGGAAAATGGGGAAGCCTTGCTAGAAACAGTCAATTGTTAACTTACTACCCATCCTGCTGCAATACTATCGGGGCCATTTTGGAGTTTAATGCGGCTAGAGCTATATTGGTTGTCTTTGACGACAGGATTATATACACTCGTGAACATTCCGCCTCCGTAATATAGTTGTCCCCCAGTGGTGTGGAGCACTGCAACCTTTCAAATAGAATATGGTTCATCAAATCAAGGTGTATATAGATAATTATAGTACATGAAAAATAAGAATTCACATATTACTTCCGACCTAGTAGATGACAATCATTGCGATGTTAAACAAATTGAATTAGTGATGATCAATAGCTTACATGAACACCCGGATTGAGAATGACACCGGTGACCAAATTTGGTTGTAGCGAATCATTTTCTGTTATTCTTTTGATCGGCACCATCCCAATTGGACATCCTTTACCATTTAACCATATGTCTGATAATTTGCTACCAATTAATGATCTTGAATCGGTTGTTCTTCCTACCGAATCTTGGAAAGAAAAGTTCATCTAAATGTGAAATCAAAGAAAAAATTGTTATATAACCTTTACTCATTGAACATGTTAATTACCAAAAGAAAAAAATTGTTAAAGAAAAATGACATGTCCAACTCATACCTTAAAATTGAACTTATAATTCTTCAATAAAGGATGAGCAAACGCTGGCTGCTTATAGAAATCTACGCATTCATATGTATCCCCGTATCGGGTCTACTTCAAATGTAAACAGACCACGGAAGATTCAATCACTATTAGTCATGATCATTTATACCACAAAGAATACACAAGATGGGCTAAGTTGTTTCAATGATAAAACTGAGTTAGCAAACTATACTAATGGTAACCTGGATGGTGACAACTTCTTCAGATTTGTTCATCTTTTGACATGTTATGAAATTCTGGGTTGATAAAATTACACATAGCAACAGCAATAGTAGTAAGGTTGAATCCATGATGTTGCTCTTCATGTTCATCTTTCCTTGTAATTTTTTTATAAGATATGAACTTAGCAAATGAGAAATTTGGAAGATGGAAAACAAAACACTTCCACTTACTTCTGTAGACTATGAGACACTTATAATGCTTACTTTTGTTTTTTCTTTGGGATACGAGACACCATTACCTTTACCCACCAATGTCTGTATATATAAAGAGAGGATGTTACTAAAAAATTCATACTATCTCCTTTTGTCCATGTAATTAAAGGTAACATTATCAAAATATTTAATGTAATTAAAAATAAGGATGTAAATTTGTTTGCTGCATTTTAAGGTAATATTATGAACATATTCTCCTTTTCTTCCTTTGTTTCTTTAAATCTTTACATTAATTTTAAGTAACAAATATAAAATATCCTTCTGGTTTCTCCTTGATTTTAAATTTTAAAATAATTTAGAGAAAAAATAATAAAATTTTCGAAAATTAAAATTTGGAAAAATGTTTTTTGGCGGCGTGGCTTATAAATGGCAGGTAGCCACTTAAGCAAGCAATGTTGAGTCACTAACGGTTAAACAAGTTGTTCGTTAATGTCAACGATCAACTCAAATATTGGGTCAAAGTTGTTCATAATTATTAAATTTGAGACAAGTTTTGTCACTATTGAAAGTTGGTGTCAAAATTGGAGCCATATTAGAATATTTATCCTATTGTCAAAATTGTTCATTTATACAAAAAAAAAAATTCCACTCGAATCAAGCAATACTTAGAAGATAAAATTTCTAGGGTTGTGTATTCCCTCGGGTTTCCTGTCTTCACTACTTTGGACGGTATGTAATGTTCTAAAACCAACAAAACAATCGAAATGCAACATAAACAAGCAGAAAATAAATGAACTCGCAGTAAAGGAAGCCATTGCACAGAAAATACAATGAATTCTAGGCGAAATTGGTAAGAGAGTTATAAGTTTTTAAGGTGAAGTTCCCCTAGAGTTTACTAGAGAATTGAATCATGCCACTATATAGTATAATCAATTTTCAATTCCAATTCCTAACTTATCCCAATTCCCGTAATATTTTTTTATGAATGATGAGACTCAACTTTATTACTAAATCGAAGAAGGAAAACATGAAAATAAAAAAGAGAACCATGGCCACAAAAACGTGGAACCAAAAAAATCCAAAAAAAAGAAGAAGAAAAGAGGTAGATGATAACGTGCTATAAAAATAGAAAAAGGAAAAAACATGTCCACCCAACAAAGTCAATGCCCACCTACGATAATAGTCAAGAAAGGAGCACAAAAAAATTGAAAGGAAATAAAATTACACAAAAATTACAGATATTTACTCAACCTACCCCAACCCTCAACCATTGCTGAAAATAGTCATCAGAGATAAGTCCAAAGGCCTGCAACCATCTAAACAATCTTATTGCAAAACTCAGAGTGTGAAGCTTCCAAGTCACGAAAAATTCTATTGTTCCGCTCATTCTAGATGGACCAAAACAGTGCATGTGGTAAGACCTTGGCAAAATCCTTAAGTTTTGGATCACACCACAAGACCCTCCAAGTTGGGAGAAAACACCTGATATTAGATGGAAATGGACCGTGAAACTAAAAACATCTTTGTAAATTTTATCCAAATTGCCACCGAAAATGACAATGAGAACAAGATATGTGCGATGAACTTCTCTTGACATTTGCAGAGAGAGCACCAGTTGGTAAGAATCATTCCTCTCTTCCTCAGGTTGTCGATGGTTGAGATCTTCAAGAGGAATGCCATTCAGATGAAACAACAGATCTTGGAAGAATTGAAGAAATCCAAACCAATTTGGAAGAGTATAAGACATCAACTCCAAATGCACTATTAATGAGATTAGTTGTGAAAGAACTAACTGAAAAGACAGAGGACGACTCCAATGGCCAAACTAATCGCGCCGGTCCCATGGATATCCAATTTGATGGCAACAAAGATAATAACTCCATCAACTGAACACGCTCCGCTGTAGCTCCTCTTCTAAGAGAGATCATGAGGGGGATCTCGCAGTAAGGCTTATCAACAATAGGAAAAAACGTCAGAAACAAAAGCATCCCAAGACTGGACCACGAACCCAACCCTTAGGAAATCTCTCACAAGGTGTTTCACAGGAATCCACACATCATGCCAAAAAGAAATCCCACCCCAGGATCGACATAGGCAACATCCCAAAAGTAGGAGCTCTCATTAACTATTGCCCTCCATACAGAACACCCATAGGACCCTAAGTTCCAAGCAGGTCTCCACTCTGAAACCCCTTGTCAACACTTCACAACTAACAACTTCCTCCACCATGCCCCTCTCTCAATCCCAAGTCTCCGAGCCCATTTTCAAAGCAAAGAATGATTAACAATCTTAAGATCCAAAACACCCAAGCCTCCCCTATTTGACAATCACTAAGGCTGGGGCTTTGAAAATAGAAAGGAAGTAGATAGGTGGATTGGAGAGGACCTCTTTAATAAAACCAACCATCCACCAAATGAAAGTAACTTGGCCTTCCAAGATGCTAACCGCTTTTGCACTTTTTCAATCATTGGTTCCCAAATATTCAGTGAAGATATCCTAGCTCCCAATGGTAATCCAAGATATGTAGCTGGCATGGAACCTAATTAACAACCAAAAATGTATGCAAGTCGTTGTGGCTCTTCCACATCCCCTATAACCATCATGGAACTCTTCTGCAAATTCACCTTTATACTAGATATAGTATCAAAGAAGGCCAAAGAAGTAAGGAGGAATCGAACTTGCTCCTCTAAAGCATCACAAAAAAGCAAGGTGTCATCTGCATAGAGGATTTGTGTAACCTCCTCGTCCCTTAAATTCTCATTCATAAAGAAATCTTCAACAAGTCCATTGGATTGCGAGTTTTTAAGATACTATAAAGAACCTCCATCACAAGTATGAAAAGAAATGGGGAGAGAGAATCACCTTGCCTTAATCCTCTCTCACTCGAAAAAAACCCAGAAGCTTCACCATTGACCAAAACTGATAAATTGGGCGTCAATATACACCCTCGAATCCATGAAATCCACATAGGCGAGAAACCCATACTCTTCAAAACAGAAAAGAGAAATTGGGCGTCATTATACCAACTAAGCGATAGTTTATCGACCTTAAGGCAAAGTTGGTATTAGGAGAAGGCAATTATAGAAAACTATGTGTCTATTATTGTTATTATATTATTAATAGCATTTTTCCTTTTGTTGTTGGCTTCAAGGTTGGAACTCAGAGTAGGGTACCGCTAAGAGTGGTTCATTAATAATATATTTTATTATTAAGATTACTAGTATTCTAGTAGTATAAGGTGTTTCGAGTCATTTCCTCTCTCTCTATATATATATATATATATATTGCCTATTTCATCAAATATAAAGAAATTATCGCCAATTTCTTCTTTAAATCCATAATTTCCATTTCTGTTTTTCCTTTCAAATCCATAATTTTATTTATCAATATCCAATTCTCTCCAATTCTTATTCTCTAATCCCAATCATGTATCTTGTAGAAACTCATGATTCTATTATCGTGACATGATGTAGATGGTGACGTCGAAGACGATGCTAAGGAGATTGTATTGGAGATGTGAGCTAAAGCTAGACATATCTATCATTATATATAAATAAATAAAAAACATTATAAAAAACTAGACATATCTATGAAATGTGCAGCTGGGAAAAAAGACCAAGAAAAGGGATAAGGTAAATAATATATTTTGCTTTCCATTTTTCTAATTTTGCTTTTTTATTTTTATTTTTATTTTCTATGTAAACTAGTTTGTTATTGTTGATTGTGTACTCGGCAAGGTTGTCAACCCGCAGGCTGACCCGGACGCGGTCGAGTTAGTGGGTCAAGGGTTAATGGATCACCCGTTTTAGTCCGGTTTAGCCCGGAAATATGGAAAGAGTCATTATATTGTACTTATTCTGATAAATTATATCAAATCTCATCCAACATATGAGTTATAACATATAATATTCCACCAAAATAACATGCCGTACTTAGATCCATTATAGAGTGAAAATTCACACACTTATATAACATCAATATTCAAATGTTCAACTTAGTATTCCAAAGATTGAGTTAGGCGACAAGAAAAATCGGAAAAATAGGAGCATTTTGCAAACCAAAGAAATAAATGATATAATTTGACCTCCAACCCGTTATCTTGTAGCGGTCGACCCAGCGGTTGCGTGCGGCCCGTTTTTCTCACTGGGCCACAATCAAAGTGGGTCGACCCACGGGTTGACAACCTTGTTACTCAATCAACATAATGAACAACTAATCGATGAGACACTTCAGTATACAATTACTAGATTCGAACCCGGCCCGTTGGCCAGAGGCATTATTTCAAACATATTAGCAATAATTGTTATTGTACGAAGCAAGATATATTTTTATTGGTACAAAAAATTTAAAAATTCGAACTACTCAATTAATGATAAAAATAAAAAAGGAACATACATCATAACGTTTTTTTATATGCTAACCGTTCATCAATAAAAGTACCATACCCGTTGGCAGGATGCATTATTTCAAACACTTAAGCCACAATTGTAATTGTACGAAGTAAGATATATTTTTTTGATATAAAAAGTTAAAAGATTTGAACTATTCAATTAATGAAAAAATAAAAAAGGACTTGCATGATAGAGTTTTATGATATGCTAACCGGTTTATCAACTGAAGTTCTTACTGAAAATATAACATAGAACACATGAAAATGAACTAACTATTAAAAGAATTTATCAAACTACACTTCGATCTACTTCGTGTTGTAAGAAATTGTTGTTATTGTTCTTTAAGACTTCTTTGCTATTGCTTCACCACATGTATCATCATCTCTGACAACAATTGTAGTTTCAAATTCATCATTAAAGCCTCTCTGTCCAGCATCAATAATCTATCCCTTCTGCTCAACAATGTCACTACTTACTATCACTATTTTCGAATTCATTACTCCACCATCAGTAGACTTTCTTAGCTTCTTCACCTTCATTTCATCAAATTTTAATTAAAGATTCTTAATTGGCGTAGCTACTAACCCAAGAGTTTAAAATCCCACACATTTGTTTTCAAACTAAAGGTTAAAATATTTTATTTGGACATATTTACTATCAATGAGTAAAAATATTTAGAGATCGGCATGACTGAACATTGGTGAATTTATGAAAATATAATGGGTAGAAAATTTAGGAAAACTTGAATATTTTTATAGGATTCATCATAAAAAAGCTCCACAGCAGACGCAATATATAAACTAACACCATTCAAGCTTCTTTTTTACATATTGACGGAAATAGGAATCTATTATATATTTAATGTTGTTGGTCAATAATATCTCCTGTGATGTTATTATTTATGCTTTAATAGCTTCGTTTTTAGTGTTGTTCTTGTATGAAATATTATTGATTTAGGAGTCTAAAATATTTTATTTTAATAATTTAAATGAAAAAAATATCCTTCCTACAAACTCTCATAAGGCTGGAAATTTTGAATAGAGTATGTTTTGATGGAGAATCTCCATATAGTAATGGTATAGGAGGATCATATAGAAAAGCATGAACTGTGAATAACAATTTCGGAAAAATCAATATTTTAAGGGCTGATAATCAGTCGGTTCTTGCCTCGGATTTTTCTCCGTCATTATCTTCCTAATACAATCCGCTTCTTGTCTTCTTCCGAAGGAAGCATAGAGGTTAAACATGAGGATATAACCAACAGTATCATCAGGGTTCAACTGGAAGAGGTTCTCAGTCACGATTTCCCCAAGTTCAATATTCCTATGGTTCATAATCCAACAAAACATCATTTGTTATAGGTAATACGTAATACAATTCTTAACATAGTTATACGATATCGATGTCTTACTATAGCGGTAAGAATCGTATCAACCCTAATAAATAGGGTTATTGTCACTATTCTTATTTTAAATTTTCTTCTCATAGAATTTGGAAGAAAAAAAAGTATCGAGGAAAACGATAACCCAACACTGAAAAGAGTTCTGACCTAAGAAGAGGGGGCTAGAGTGCTAACATTTTTTTTGTTAGTATGACTTTTATATTTAAATGAGTTGACCACAATTAATGAGGGGAAAGGAGAATGAGGGACACACTTGGTATTATAAAAAACTAAAAAACTAAGGAAGCAGAGGAAGGAAAGGGGAGGGGAGATGACATGAACCAGACCACAACCTCTTCTTCCAAGCATGCCACAATCTCCAAACCATATCACAATCTCAAAGCATGCCACAACTTACTCAAGTATGATCACAACCTCTTCAAACATGCCACAATCATAATGTATGCCACAAGTCCACAAAGGTTGTCACAAGTCCAAAAAGCACAAGTTTATAAAGCATGCCACAAGTAGTGGTCCTGTTTGTAAATTTGAAAAAAATAGGTACCAAAATGTAAGAAGAGAAATTTTCAGGTACCAAAATGTAATTTCCATAGATATTTTTAGTACCCAGATGTAAAAAAAATTATGTACTAAATATTAATACATATTAAGTTCATGTACCAAAATTGTAATTTCTAAATAAAACATGCAAAAATAACGTCAATGGAACGGAAGGAGAAGGGAAGGGGAAGACAAAGTGGTCGTTTGGATGGATCAAAGTGATGAGTCAATGTGCTACAATTGACTCAAAATGAGACAATTGGGCCAAATTATCCCATTTGGCTGCAAAAAGTAAGAATAAGGCAATTGGACATGAGATAATTGAAATTGGTTCATTATGGGTCAATCACAATTACTTGGGTAGGAGGGAGGTAATCTACATTACTCCATTTTGTGGGTAACTTTTCCCAATCTAACCCCTTTATTTACTATTTTTTTCTTTCTTCATTTTCCCAAGACGGAGAAGGGCAAAAGTATGAGGGCAAATATGTATTTTCAGAAAATGCATGACAGCAATTGTCTCATGCCAAATCACAAGCCAAACAAGACAATTATGTAAACATTTCCTCATACAATTAGCTCATTTTCTAAAATGAGAATTTTGTCCCAAATTGCCTCATTTTGAGAATGTTCCATCCAAACGACCCGTAAAAAGGTTAAAATACTATAATACCTTTAATTAATGTGTTCGTATGGTGCTAACACTTAATGGTGTTAATACCCTATCCAGCAGAAGAGTTACCCTTCTCACTATTGAAAAAAATAATTTTATTTAGGCTTAAACTAAACTGTGGTGTGGGGTTGCTTTGGGCCAAAGGCAGAAGGCCAGTTCCAGCATACATTTGGCTTGTTTGGCAAGATAATTGGGTGGGGGATAGGGAACAAGTTGTAACGCCATGCATAATTCCAAAACTTAAAAGAATTTGAATAATCTCAAGTCGTCGATCCAATCCAACTGACCAGCGTCCTAAAATCATTGTTACAAGAATCAAACCGGATCAATATTTGGGCCAGTAGAACCATCAAATCAATTATAATAGCGATCCGGTTCATTGCTTAAACGGTTATTGATGGACCAAACAATTTTTCACGGTTCAATATAAAACCATATTTATACCGCGGTTTAACTAGCCCACTAGTTCACTATTTTAAGCACACAAGTCCTTAAAAAATACTTGGGTAATGTTTATTTTTTACCCAAACCTTCTCCAGATTCTTTTATTTTAACCAAACCTATTGAATTCCTAAAAATTATCCAAACGTTAACTCTCCGTCAATTTTTCTGTTAGTAATGTTTACTAAATATGACCATAATGAGTTGACTTCCTACGTGGCGGTCAGAATACCATCATTTATTATTTTTATTTAAGATTATCAAAAAATTAATAAATAAAAAAATCCCACCCCTAACCCCTTCTCCCCTCCCCTCTTACCACTTCCCCCTCCGCCTCTCACTCCTCCCAACTCCTCCGATCTCTTTCTCTGATCTCTTTCTTCGCAACCCTCTCTAGTGGCGGCGGACCCTCCACCCACCCTCTTCCTCACCGATTTGGCCTTCGTCGCCGTTGCTGGGGCATACGGATAAACCCCTCATCGTCGTTGTCGGGATCGGAAGCCCAATCATAGAAGGTTGTCGGCTCCTCTTCATATTCCTCCAATACTCCTGCACCAACACCAACGTCAGAGTCAGTCCAAGCAATCCTCCCAATCTCTGCTCCCTTCCGCCGCCCAACCCCTCATCGAACTTGATTCCCCAAAACCCCTATTCTGAAATTTTGCTCTTCGATTCATAGATCTAGATTTCCAGATTCGATGACGGGCAATGGCGTCGATGTCCTCCTTAGTTTGGTGGGCGGGCGGCGGCGGCGGCAGGCGAGGGCAACTACGTGTGGGGTTGGACGATGGGGATTGGTTTAATGGGAATAGGTTTGGTGGTATGGAGGCAGAGGCGAAGATGGAGAATAGAGGAAGAAGATGGAGTTGCAGAGCCAATGAATTCTTTTAATTTCTAATTTTTTGTTTTAGTGATATGAGAAATATAAATTAATGTTTTTTTTCATATCTGAGGTGGACGCTGATGTGGATGTTTACGTGGACGAAATAAGTAACGATAACTGAATGAATGCCCAGACTTTGATAAGTTATAATACGTTTGGATAATAAATAGAATTTCTATAGGTTTGGTTAAAATAAAAGAATCTGGAAAAGGTTTGGTTAAAAAATAGACATTGCCCTAAAGTATTTAACGTAAACTGGAACTATCAAAGCATGATTATTTTTTTTTAAATATGTCTTCTCATTTTTAAACCTTGTTGTCCTTTTTACGTGATCCACTACCAACTGGCTTGAATTAAAAAACTTATGATTTCTTCTGTGAGACGGTTTCATTGATTTATTAGATATTTGGTGATGATATGAATTTGAAATTGTTTATGATCAATGATAACTTCATTCTTAAATTAGTGTAATATATAAGTCTTGTATGTTATATATCATGAATGGTTCTATCAACGGTTTACCAACGGTTTTGTAACGGTTAACCATTGAAATTTGAATCCTAAACTGTAATTTTTTCCGATTCAACCTTCGGTCTGGTTCTGAAAAACAGAGCCTAAAATCCAAACCCCTTATCATATTCCCATTACGATGCTTATCAAATCCCAACTGCGTTCCACCAAATACCAATACTCTGACCTTAATTTGCAGGCTTATCAACTAGATCTTCCCTTATAAACAACTAGTTTTCTACGCGGCCAGTTGGCCGGAGAAGTTCATATTATTATTTATATTAGTTAACTTATCTACATGTTTTGAACTTTTTTGAGCTTGTATACATTTTCTGCTTTTGCTTCATAAGTGAATATGTGGTATGTCTATATCAAAAATATTTAATAGTTAGCACACTCGCTTGTGATGTATTTATTCTCTGATCATAAATCATGTCGTAAAGGTTTATCACGTCTCATTTAGGATTGTATATAATTTTTTTTCCCACCAAGACGCTCAAATTTATTATCTTATACAAAATATATCAATTCATGATTCTCGGGTTTGTACGAGCTCTCACCCAATTAATCAGAGTTCAAATTATTGGAAAAAGATACTTGATTACTGGATAAATTATGTTTATCCCAATTGAAATTTGACACACATCGTATCCCTTAAAATGATTAAATTCTCCAAACCTCACTCATTTTTATTGTAGATGTTCATGAAGTCTTTGTATAGCAACTTATTACAATGGCTAATATTTTAAGTTTGTACTAACCCTCAACCCATGCCTTTTGTCTAGATGTTGGTTTAGAATCCGAATCCAAGGATTCATATACACTATCGAAGGTTCTCATCTTAACATGTTCCTTTAATGTATAACTTTTCAACTATTTGAATGTCCATTCGCTAAAATTTCTTTATATTTGGTGTTTGTTCTAGAACAAAAATTTTATTACTTATATTAATAATTAGTAAAGTGTGTATATGACCGATAAATATTTCAGGTGCATTCAAAATTATGTATTCCTTGAATAATTAACTTATATTTTTTTAACAAAATATTTTGTAGCAAAATTTAAAAGTTCATACAAACATTGTGACTTTCCATGTGTATTTAAATTATTGGATGTATTGTAGACACATCTATTATTAATTTCTAAACATATATATACAGAGAGTTTATTTTACTTTCTACACTAATTAATACCTTTGAACTCAGCTCCTTGGGTGGAATATGATATCAATTTTTTATTATTTCCAAAATTTGATATGAAATCACAAACTCACAATTATACAGACTTGTTACAATTTTCTTACTAAACACATATTTATTAAATATTATTCTTTTGACCCAATAGCTCGGTTTACACTATTGTAACTATAAATTTTTTTTTTGTTATATATGTGAAGTAAAACATTAATATTTATTTATTACCTCAATCTTCGAATTTAGATTTTTCTTAGCATGAAATGTGATGTTTAATGTACATCCTTAACAAAGATTTCTCTAAATTTCACACATTTCATTTTTCAAGTGATCTCGTGTCTCATCCTAGAATATGAAGTCAAAGTTCATCAACTATTATACTCAAGTCATTTTGGAACTTCAATCTATAATCTTTAACAATAAATAACTTCAAGTCTATAAAGAAAATATCTTAGCATATGATGTAAGACCTCAATAGAGCTTGCTCAATCAACATGACCTAGAGAAAATATTAGTAATGTGAACTTAGGATACATTATAAATACTGCACATGCGATTCATATGTTTTCACTTGATCAGAATGAATAAGAAGCTTTTTTAATAAATAACTATTATTTCTTGGTCAAGTTTCTTTTAGACCTTATCGACAAAATATTATCATTTTTGTGTTTGTTTAATTATTCATCAAAATGTAAATTATTATTAAGTTTTAGTAAAAATGAGCAGAAATTTACATAGTAATCTTTAATTATATATTTTTTTGGTTCAAAAAATGTGATATATATGTCACTCTACGAACATTAGTATACTGTTGCGTACATCGATATAATGCAAAACCAAAATGTGATATATGTCACTCTCCATCATGATTGCCACGTCAGCCGGCATGCCACCGGTTGAACCATTCAACCGGTACCGGTCATGAAATCGACATGACACAATCGGTATGACCAGTATGATCGTTTTACGAATTTCTAAGTAAATTACGTAGTTTTAGTGAATTTAAGTATGCGTACATGTACTTTTATTTGAAATAGCATATTTTATTCAAATATCAATATGAATTGTACGTAAATTATCTTCAATTATGGTTTATATATGATTAAATTCATTTGATATTAATAATTTTTATATTTCTACATATTTTATTAACCGGCATGAAACGACACAAATCGGTTGTACCACTGGTAAAACCATTCCACTTGCTAAACCCGTTTGATAACCTTTCTCTCCATATATTATTTATAGATATAATTAAAAAAAATTATTGGATAAAAGAGAATTAAATATTAAATGAAGAGAGATGGACAACTCCATAAATAGGTCAATAATTATTTTTTTGATAAAAAAATAGTCCACCTTGGCAACTTGAGATCTCTCCAAATGCTTATGTGGCAAAAATTTAATTTTGAATTGCTATAATATTATGTATGTATGTATGTATGTATGTATGTATAGATAGATAGATAGATAGATTCCCCAATATTCTGCAATGCTTAGGAAGCCATCACTCAGCCACTTATAAATACACAAGCTAAGCACACATATATACATCATTACACAGACTACAATAACAATATGCTGACGAGGAGCTCGGTACGTATCTACATCGTTGGTTCCCATAGTCTCTTAATTAGGAGACTGAATAACAAGAAGCTGTAGGGAGAGTTACCTGTTGTCCTGCTAAACCTTGTCAACGCAGGGGAATTGAGGATCCTGTGCGGAGCCAAGGGTGTTTGGGTTGGGACACCCCTAAATTTTGGGAAAACAATTTTTCAACCCCCGGTGGTAATTTACGAATGAACAAAAAATTATAATTGATAGTGGGAGACACTTCTGAAATTTGAAAAAATGATTATCCTACTGTCATTTTTTAGTTTGCGTATGTGAATATAAGTGGTAATTTGGGTAATTCAAACCTAGAACACTATTACTAATAATAAAGATAATTTCTATTAGACTACAACTCATTTGTTGTTCAATTTTAAACACTGTGTAATAGTAAACTGTCATTTTCAAGCTACCCTTACTTTGCATTGATTAATATGTACTTTTGAAAAAGGTTTTAACTAAAAAAAGGTTTTTTTTTCCTCTGAAATCAGGGTTCGAGAAGAGTGCTTCGCGAGACCGGCCGATGGCCGCGCAGGGCGCTCTAGCTAATTGGGCGCAGCTGTTCGGCGTCGGAGAGTCCAATCGCCTGCAATATGTTGCTCCAGATAATGTCAATGGTTCTTTAGTCATTCCAAGAGTGGTGCGGGAGGAGGGTGCTGCACGTTGGCGACATGCATGCTCTGGTAGGGCAATTTTTCTCGTCGGCGCAAGAGATCGAGCAATTGAGGCGCTGGGCATGCCGGTTCTGGGGACGAGATGGTATGGTAAGAGTCTCTCATTTTGGGGATAACATGTTTCTCTTGCAATTTTATGATCTAGATGCCAGCACTTGGGTGTTTGAAAATGGACCTTGGCACTATAACAACAATCCCCTCTTCCTTCGATGCTGGGTTCCGGGAATCCAAACGGTTAAAATGAGTCTGAAGTCACTTCTGATCAGTGTTCGTCTCAGTGGGTTGTCGCTTGAGTACAGTACGGTGGAGGGTTGAGTAGAATCGCTAGCGTGATGGATCAAGCAACAAGGTTAGGAGCCCAAGCTGGAATTGCACGAGTTTGTGTGGAGATTTTTGCTGATTTTGACTTCCCAAACGCAATAAGTGTTCCACCGGAAGGGGAGGAGCCGATGTATCTGGTAGTTCGTTATCTTCACGTTCCTATGATGTGCAAGCAATGCAAGGAGTTTGGTCATTGTGAGGGGGAGGGTAAGGAGTGCAAAGAAGTGCAGGTTATCACAGATAAAGAGCTAATAAGGGCAGAGGATATGACAGATGAGGTAGCTTGGGTATCTAAGGCCAAGGCGAACTTGTCTGGTAGGTCTAATGAAGGAGAACCAGTTCCAGTAGTTGGCTCCATTAGTGGAGGAAGTGCAGTGGCTACTCTGTCAACTGAAGGAGGTCCAGTTCCAGTAGTTGGCTCAACTGAAGGAGGTCCAGTTCATGTCACTCGCTCACTTGTAGGAGGTCCAGTTCCAGTAGCTGGCTCACCAATTGTAGGAGGTCCAGTTCCAGTAGCTGGCTCAAGTTCAGGAGGGACGACTACTCCTCTTAACACCCTCTCTGGTAAGCTGATTGATGAAGACGGTTTTCAACCTGTTACAAGAAAGGGAAAAGGAATTGCCTATTATACTACTCTTAAGGTCTTTCCTTCTACTACTCTCAATGCCCAAGGGCATGCTCTGGTTATAAGGGGGCCTCCTAAGAAGGGGAGGGGTAAGAAGCATAAATGAAGGTTCTGAGTTGAAATCTCAAGGGTTTTAATGCCCCTGAGAAGCATAGATATATTAGTAAGCAGTTAATAAAGTTGAATATAGATTTTACAGCAATTTTAGAAACTAGAGTATTAGAAAAGAATGCATCAGATATTATACAGTGTCATTTTATTACTTGGAAGCATTTAGATAACTATGCACATTCAACTTCGGGGAGGGTTTGGCTTTTCAGGAAACCTAGTCTGAAGGTTCAGCTAGTTAAAATGGGGGAGCATTTTATACAGGTCAGGGTTGAAGGGTTATCAAAGTGTATTGTCACTGTTATATATAGTCCAAACAAAGCAAGGGAGATGCTGGCAATGTACTTTGAGTTACTGCCCTGAAAAGTTATAGGTGAATCTAGTGTCTTTATGGGGGATTTTAATGCTATTATGGATGTTAGGGAGGCTTCCAATGTTGTTGCAATGACTCAGGGGGGTTTGGATTTCATGGATTGGATTGCAGAGATGTGTTTGATTGATCATAAGGTCCTTGGCTGCAGTTTACATGGTGGAACAAGCAGTCAGCGAACGCCATAACAAAGAGACTTGATCGTTTCCTTATGAATAAGGAATGACTTCTTTCCTTTCCTCAAAGTGCAGCAAAGACTTTGGCTCCAGGGGTCTCAGATCATTGTGGTTTGGTACTATTTTCGGCACCTTTGCTAGGCTCACTTCCCAAGCCTTTTAAGTATTTCAAGTACTGGCAGCAGCATCCACAATACTCATCACTGTTGGAGGAAGCTTGGGGGGGGGGGGGGGGGGGGGGGGGGAGGGATCAATTAGGGGGTTATTTTATCAACAATTCTACAGCAAGTTAAAAACATTCAAAAACAAGCTAAAGAAGTTAATCGCTTTGAGTATTCTGATATATCTGAAAGAACTAGAGCAGCAGATGAAACACCCTAACCTGGTCGGGTACTACTTTTACTAAAATGCCCTTGATAAATAAAATACTCAAATCTTAAATTGTAGCGGGAAAAATTTTCACAAATAAAATACTGAAAACACACACTTGTAGTTCAAAGCAAAGCCCTAACATGTGGGCAAATTGAACTCAAACTTTAACATCTCAATCTGATCTCCAGACTATACTCATAATCATATATTGCAAATAACTAGGTAGTCACTGTCGTTGTCGCTACTGAAAATCTTAACTAGGCATCCTCCGTGACGCTTACACTGCCCTTCTCTAGCTGGCTACCCTTGAACTTGCTGCTCACTAACTACGCCTCTAGCTCCTTCTCTAGCTCGTCAAACTGGTGAGTGAGATGGGGTCAGTCTACGCCCTTATGTTTTTAACTTTCTAATAAATTTTTTTTTGCACTTCTTCTCAAACACTTAAACTCAAACTGAGGGAAGTTGTTTGTACTTCCATTCTGAAAAATCTTAACTCTTAAAACTGTATGGGAGTAACTGTTACTCTCCATTCTTAAAGCTTAAATCTCAACTTAAATACTTGACTGACACTGGGATCCCCCACTAGCTAGTCCAGTTGCCAACTCATACGTATGAGAAGCCATCTAGGCTTTCCTTAAACTTAAACTTAGTTAGGGAAGTCGTAACGATTCATCCCCCTAACATCTTAAACTTATCGTGGTGGCTCTTCACCACGATTCTCAAGAGCATAACTCCTGCTCATCTTAAATATCTCAAGAGCATAACTGTTGCTCTGTCTCAAAGATCTCAAGAGCATAAATGGTGCTCTATGTGAAAATCTCAAATGGCAACGGACTGGCGCTAGTGACTGAAAACACTTAAAACGACTTCACCTTCCTGAAGGTGAGTTACTTCTTAAAAAGAATTTGTTTCTTAAACTCTAACAATAAATTAAACATAACGCTTTAAAGTAAATAGCACAAAATCACCTTAAATCCCATCAAATAGCACAAATCACTTCAAACCATAACTCAAGCAAAGCACAAATAATCAATCATACACATAACCAAGCAACGGTAACCAATTCGCTAAAATACTTAAAATCATAATACTTAAAAGAATATGTAAGGCGTAGAATTTACCTTCTTAACACTCACCTGACTGTGTAGCTAAATCCATCGGCTTCATGAACTAGGTACTCCAAAATCCATCGGCCTCTGTCTCTATGAGGCAAAATATCAAACACCTTAAGCTCAATTATGTTACCTCCTTCTTGGTGTCGTAAGCTTGACTACAGTCAATATGCCAGTATCCGTATACATTGGAAAACAGAGAAGCCACTTATGCATCAGAAATTAGAGAAGCTCCCTATGCATAAAAACCATTCGAGGGAACGAAGAAGAGGGGAAATGGAGGACGCTAGAAGAGGAATGAGTTACCGGCAGATTTGGGCATGAAGCGAAGGGAGATGAAGAAGTAGCGACAACGCTGAGCTCCAAAATTGAAAAAGCACTGGCGAGTCGATCCATATTCCTTCATCGTCTTCTGCTGCTTAGGATTTCTAGCTTCTCATCTCACATAGACTGAATCTATCGGCAAAGCTCGCAGCTATGGAACTCGCTTCGCATTCGACAATAATTTTGGATTTTTGTGCTATGGAAGAAGAAGGGGAAGAAGATAGAAGAGCGGTGTGGAGCTTGACTTGGGATTTGTTTTCTTTCGACCCGAGAGCAAGTTGCTTTCGGTGGAGAATTAATGCGAGGGTTTTATGGTGAGGCCAAGTGGGTAGGGTTCTAGGGTTTTAATTAGTCACAGGGTTATTTGTGGAAATTCATACTTGCGGGTGAGTTTAATCCGAAACTCAATTAATGTCCGTAACCTTCTCATTTTTTGTCGAAATTCGACACCGCTTGAACCGATAGTTCACATTTTAAGTCCTCCTCGACATTACGGTGAAACTTGACCCAAGGGTATAATATTCATTTTGACTTTTTGGAAGAGCGGGGTGTAACATTTCCTCCACCCTTATAAAAATTTCGTTCCCGAAATTTGATCAGGCGCATCCTTTCATACTCCTCATTCTCGTGCTTCTTTGGCTCAAGGTTTCACTCTTTCTATATGAACTTCAATGGCGTGCCCTTACCTTGTCTTGAATAGCTTACTATAGTTCTTATATGTACTCTTGACCATAACAGGTATTCTCATCTAGCTCGGTAGAATCGAATGGGTTTGAGTGATTCATTGCCCTTTTCAAAATTTTCCAACTTGAGCCCACGGTGTGATGGGACCAATTTTGGCTCAATTTATTTGGTCCAACTGATTCAGTACTTGATGTTGAACCTAAATCGAAGTCGAGGTATCACATTTCCTCCCCACTTATCGAAATTTCGCCTTCGAAATTTGTCCACTGTGATTACCCTATGCATCGCTTGTGGTAATCCTTTTCATTTCGCGGATTTTTTATTTCCTTCAACTTATACGCCATGACCTAAAATCCTTCTCTCCATTCCCTGCAACTTCAATGTTGTTGTGGCTTCTTAACCCCTCACATTACCTCGGTTGCACCTTGTACATAAATAGGAACGATAACTATCCATTGTTGGGTACATGAGAAGTTAATGCCCCTCTCCAACCCCAAGTTCACTGACGGCGGCTTATCCTCCATCTAGTAAGGTGGTAAAACTTTTTTTTAACGTAACTCTCGTCTGGGGTTGACCTCATAGGTGACCTAGGACGTTATACCTCCTAACGTTGTATCTCTTAATTTCTTCCTTGATGCTTCCCCTTATCCTTTAACCATAACTGAGTGGCCATCTCCTCGTTACTTCTTGCTTAACTCTGAAACCTCATATTACAGCTTTTACCTCCTGTATTCATTAGAGGCATCCTTTGCATCTTTCTCTAGCTTGCGATCACCTTTATGATTCCTTTCAAGAATCATGGCATTCTCTCTGGCTTACTCGTTCACTCTTGGCGCCTAACCTAGCACTTACTTATCGGTGCTTGAATTTTATGTTCTTGTACTATCCATTCTGCTACTCTTAGACCCTAGTTGAAATTCCTCATGCGGTTTACCCGTCCAGTAGAGTTTTACCCGAGAGATTGACACCTTTCACCAACATAGGCAACCTTGGTTTCACTTTGGGGTATTCTAGCAGGTTCCCTAAACTTATATCCCTCTTACTTCATTACTCGTGACTCTTCTTCTTGATATTACTCGCTCGTTCTAGATGATGTCCCTTATTCTCGATGTAGTCGTCTAGGTTCTCATATTTTTTTCTCACTCATATACCTTGACCGATAAGGTTTTCCCTTCGACCGTTCTGGACCACCACACTTCTACTTTAAAGTTGACCATTGAGCTTCTCAGTTCTTGATGGGCTTCATATGGTCCAACTTATTCTCCACTGGCAATCACCTTAACGCCTCCTTGTTGAACTTCGTATTCTTTCACCGGCTCTTCCTAACTATCTTTCTCCCTGAATTTGTCGTTTTATAAACTACCGCCCTTTTCACCATAACTTTCATTATAGCTTGTGGTTTCATCCTTACTTCCACAACTCTTTCATCGATGCTTGGTACTAGCTTTGATCTACTCAGTTTAGTAGCTCCTCGCCATACCTCAGAGCCAACATTTCCACTAGAAACTTTCTCTAGGTAGACTTGACAGATGACACCCACGACTTCTACTCACGATGGTGCTTGACCACGTCCCAACTATCTTCCTTCACGCATTCATTGTCCGGTCGACACCACCTTTTTTATTTCCTATAGCGTCCTATGGTGTTCTTCTTGCTTCTTTACTTTTACTATCCTTCTATTGATACTTTGTACTATTTTCGGTCACCCAACTCTGTTGAGTATCTTCTCGTTGTTGTTTTGGGTCAAAGTTTCCAATAGTGGCTTGCCCTTGGTAGGCTTGAACAAACCTCATCCACGTCATATGTCTCGATTGATGCCTGCATATGGCCTCATAGTCTGGGTTCTTAGTGGCTTAACTGAACGTGTCTTACTTATCCTTAACTAGCCGCTTCCTCTGGATGACACCTTACACTATGCTGCTCCCACTCAGAGTGGGGCACCTTGGGTAAGGTAACTTAATGATTTCCTCCTCTTGGTAATGTTTTTCCTCTTCGTACTGCACTATGCATTTTCTTGAACCCGAGTCACCTACACATATTCTCTTCCTTCATCGGAACTTTCATGTGCTTCCTCGAATTCTCTGCCATTCACTAGAACATTTATTGAACATTCCACTTACTTGTCTATACTCGGTTGGCTTAATGACTTACTCTATAGCTAGTTCCGAGACCTCACCTCTTAGCCCTCTAGTTCCAACTTAGTGGAGAGGTTCCTCCTTCTGTCACCCCTCATGTACCCTAGGAGGCTAGGTGTTCCCTCTATTTAAGAGAGGACAATCCCATAACGGATCATCACGAAGTCTTGCATTCCCCTTTCAACGGTCCCAACGACCTCATGACCTTTCGTGATCTGGGTAGTTTGTAGGGTCTCTACTATCCTCCTTCCAACTTGGTGTTATCTTGGTATCCAACTCACGCACTTCTGAGAAGTGGTTCTCTATTCGTACTGCCATCTACTAGCTAACTGTTATTCTCTCTCACATTCCATGTCTTTTATTATGTATTTAATCCCCACTGTCTTCTACCAGGCATGCTTTAGCATTTGGTGGCACTTTCCTCCACGTCTCGTCCAATGGTGATCTTACTGAGACCATAACTTTCCCTCTACATCATTTATCTCGTTGCTTGTCTTGTTCCTTCTAAAGGCTTGTCATCGGCCTAACTCCCCAGGATTATGTACCCTCTTCTCCAGTTACGGGGTTTATCCATAGGGGTTCCTTCATCGTCATATGTAAACAACCATGCGTCCTATCCTTCTTAAACTATTGAATTTTGACGTCCTTTCAGACCCCCCCTCTAACCTACTTATTTCCTCCTTTACCTCATTTATACTACCCTAGCTTGTCTTGAAGTCTAAGCTTTCCACTGCTCTTTGTCACTGTGTTGTAATAGCGTTGAGCCATCGACCACAAAAACTAGTTGAGGGACTTCTCGGGGTATGACTCACTTCTACTGTCACTCTAGGAATTGGCCAAGTGAAACCACTTCCTAAAGTGTAGTATAGCGGGTTTGGGTTTAAATGTCAACCCGGGTCCTAGATTTGATGACTACTCGGTGAATTCTTGTTATCTAGCAATGAAACTTTAATGCAAGTCTAAACGAACAAACAAGCAAAGCAACTAAACGGTTGTTTTCAGGTTAAGAGAGGTCACCCGTATATGGTTCCCCCTAGACTGCAGTTAAGCCAGATTGCAATTACCAAGTTCAGTTTCTATGATAGTTATACTGCGGAAGGTTCTTAAGCAGCCTGAAGTCTCGACTAAAGGTCTTCAGACCCTCTCAATCTGAGTCTCTAGCGGGCGACTAACCTCCACCGGAGTAAACAGATTGAGGCCCTACGAACAAAACCTCCACTACCGAAGTGAATTCGGTACAGAATAGTGAGTTGGCTCCTTGACTAAAGTCACCAACTCCCTACCTTCAATCAAGGATGCTCTATCAACCTAGGCAGATATTCTCATTCTAGGTTAAAGCAGAAACAACAGGAATTTGATCAGGATTCAAGCCATTCAAACCTCAATTGAATATAATCAAATCATAGAATCAGTACTTGGGTTCATACAATCAAACCTAACATACAAAACTAGGGTTCTCCATACCCAGATGAATGGGAGAACTACTCCATGGAGAAAGAAGCAAAAGCAGAATCAGACGCGGAAATCAAACTATGAAGGATGGATTTCTGCTCCTGGACGTTGATCGGCACTTCTCCAAGCTCAAGCCAAGCTCCAATGGTGATGAAGATCAAGCTAGGGCACTTGGGAACTCTTGCTCGTCGCTTTCTCTCTCTAGGAATCGCTCTCTCTCTAAAACTCGAATCCCCTTCTGTTTTGGCTGAAATCTGCTTAAAAGGGCATCACTGGGCAAAACACGGTCGAGGGCACGGCTGTGCTTTGCTCCAGCCCGCCCGTGCTTTGCCAAGGGTTAATTACACGGCCAACCTGTTGGGAGAAACACGACCGTGCTTTTGTGGGACACGGCCGTGTTCTGTCTCAGCCCTGCCCGTGTTTTGAGCTCGTGTTTGCCAAACTCAGATCAAGCCTCGGCAGTAAAAGCACGGTCTAGGAACACGGCCGTGTTCTGATTTAGGCGTGCCCGTGTTTTGGCTCCAGCTCGACCGAATGACTTCCGAATGCCCCGAAACTCGTGCTTAGCCTTTCCTTTGACGCCTGGGACCTGAAATATGACAAAGTAGCACAACCCGGCGTAAAATAGGCCAAAAATACACGACTATGCCCCTCAAATGGATAAGAACTAGGGGTGCAAATACGTGCAATTACATCATTATCAAATTCCCCCACACTTAACCGTTTGCTTGTCCCCAAGCAAACCTAACTCAAACCAATGCAACTCTCCAGACCTCTATAGCAACAAACAACCCAGATCGTAGGTAGAGGACTTCCTAGATCATTTAGCAGCTTACGAGGTCAACCGACGCACAAGTCATCTCATAGCTTCTTCGGTGAGAGCACTAGTATCGAGTCGGCATCATGGCAAATAGTGAACAGAGGACAAATGAATCGTGGATGAAGAGATTCTAAAAAACAAAGGATCATGGACTCACATTTCTCAAGGTGCTCTATTTTCTTCTTGAAGATGGTTGGAACCCCTTTTCTTTCTGTTTTGCTTGTTTTCTGTTAATTTTTTCTTTTCTTTTTTTTCAAGGGTCCCAACCTGCATTTCAGAAAATGGGGGCTCCCACCTAGCAGAGGTATTGCGGGAGCCCGGTTCTTACCGGCCATGCCAGGAGCGGATGTCTCGAGCCTCGTGCGGGGGAAAGACATGTAAGGGGGCTGGAGGTAGTAGGTGGAAATTGGGAACGAATTCCCGTCTCCCCTTACACACTTTCGCCCTATTCGCACGCGAGACGTTATTTTAAAGCACATTTTTGAGCACCTGTTAAACTCAAAACATGAAACAAGAGTCCATGACAGGTAGAGAGTCCACAACACCACACAATTCAAGGGTCTTAAGATCACTAATTCACTCAATCAACCAACACAATATGAAGAAGAAATGGGACTTCTTAAATGCATCAACATCTTCCATAGTGCTAAACTACCTCCCTAGGTTGCATATTACTATAAAGACTGTCAATTCAAAGCATACTGAGCAGGCAATTGCAAGGAACACGTACTTGGAGCTCTCAAATTAAAAAAATTGGACAATGGACTAGGCTCCAAGCACACAAACAGATCTAACGCAGTCAAAAGATAAACATCCCCCCACACTTAAGATCGACATTGCCCTCAATGGAGAAGAGGGAAAGAAAAGGGGAACGATGTTACCGGTATGCACGGACTGCAGGAGACTGGAAGCGGACCAGTCGGAGTGAAGCGGACCAGTCGGAGTGAAGCGGACTGGATAGAGGACCAGTCAAGACAAGCATAGCTAAAGGAAAACAAAGAGCTCAAACACAATATGTTAGGTCCAATGGTCAGCCCAATAATACATCATCCAAAACAAAAGAAAACAAACCAAAACCAAACCGGTTTACAATCCGACTCAAAACACAAGAAAGAAAGTCAAACCGTGGTGGGGTTGCCTCCCCACAAGCGCTTCTTTACCGTCTTTTAGCTGGACGCCCATGGTGGATACTCAGGGAGGTGCAGGAATAGGTGCCTCCAAGAGCGGATCCACGTCGCTCTTGAGGTACAGCTTCAGGTTGTGGCCATGCACCCGACGGATGCGACCACCATCATCGGTCAGCTCGACCTGGCCATCCGGCAAGATGCAGGCGAGTGAGTACCCTGACGGACAGGGTGGTCGTGGTGCAGGAGGTGGGACCAGCTCGTAGTGGTCTCCACCCTTCTTCCGTGCAGGCTTAGCAACCTGCTGCTTCGGCCGCCACTCCTCCTTGATCTTTTTGTTCGGAGGCGAGAATGGATGGAGTGGCGGCGAAGGAATGATAGGAGGGTCCTGCAAAATGAGAGGTGCAGAAGGATACACGACAGGCTCGTGTACCTGATCAGAAATGGCATGCACAGGTGTGACAGCAATCATAGCACAGTGATCGAATTCAGTCACAGAAAAAGTAGCCTGTTCATTCCCAGCATGCAGGATCAGTTTACCATCATGCACATCAATAAGTGCCTTGGCGGTGGCAAGAAATGGTCTACCCAGAATCAAAGGCACATCCACATCCTCATGTATATCAAGAATAACAAAATCAACAGGATATGTGAATGCACCTACATTAACTAGCAGATCCTCTATGATCCCCCTAGGATGCACAATGGAACGATCAGCTAGCTGAATGCTCATCCTAGTAGGGCTAAGTTCACCTAGGTCTAGCTTTTTATACAACTTATATGGCATGACATTTATGCTAGCGCCTAGGTCCGCCAAGGACTTGCCTACATGCATGCTGCCAATAGTAAGAGGGATAGTAAAACTCCCTGGATCCTTGCGCTTTTCGGGCAGCTTGTTCTGCAGGATAGCAGAACACTCCTCGCTCAGCAACACTGTCGAGAGATCCCCAAGTTTCTTCTTGTTGGTAAGGAGATCTTTCATGAACTTCGCGTACTTGGGCATCTTCGACAGTGCCTCCACGAACGGTATGCTGATGTTGAGCTGCTTCAACATTGCCATAAAATTGGCAAACTCAGTCTCCAACTTGTCTTTGTGTAGGCGAGTGGGGAAGGGAAGCTGGGGTACATGCTCCTTAACCACTGGTTGTGGCTTGGGAGCAGGGGCTTCCTTCTCCACCCGCACTTCTGCATCGTCGGCTGGAAGTGCTGAAGCAGGTAGTGGTTCCTTGATAGACCGTTAATTACACATGCTTTTACCCCTATTCTTACACCGTTTGAGATGTGATTTCTCGTGTTTTAGGCCGATTTCACGCTAGGTTGTGCTTGTTTGTGATCTTTCAGGTCCTAGTACGTGAATGGAGGCTTGGGAGCGAGTTTGGGGTCGATTGGACGAAGATCGGGCGCGAGGCAAGTCAAAAAGGAGGCCACACGGGCACACCCACAACTCACACGGCCGTGCAACTCATATTTGTGGCCGTGTGAGATTGTGCGAGAGCAAACACGGCTTGCCCTGATATCCACACGGCCGTGTGAAGGAGTGGTCTGGTCGTGCGAGTTTCTCCGAGAGCAAACACGGGCAGATGGAAATCTCACACGGCCGTGCGACCCTGGCCGTGTGAGAAGCCTGAAGATCGAACTAATTGGAACGCAACGTTTTGACTCACATGGGCAACTGGGTATGCCACACGGCCGTGTGGCCCTGCCCGTGTGAGTCGGGAATTGCTGGTTAAAACTCGATTTTCAGCCAAAGGAAAGAGGAGAGCTGGGTTTTTGGTTCCCAAACATCCAAGGGACGAACTCGTAGAGAGAGAGAGCGACTTGGGAACATTCTTGGAGCTATTTTGGAGGATTTCTTCGCCATTGGAGCTCGGGAATCAAGCTTGGAGATGGAGATTGAAGATCTAGATCAGATTTCTGCAGTCTCTCTATTCTCTATGGAGTAACTTCCCTTCACTTAGGTTTTGAGGAACCCTAGTTCCATGAGTTAGGATCTTTCTTGTATGAAGTTTTGGATGCTATATTGTTTGATTATAATCGAATGCTGCATGTTTATTGAGTCAATTGAAGTCTGATCAACTTTTCATGATTCCTGCTGCAATCTGAGATAGATAGAATCTGATTAGGTTGCTAGAGTCTCATCATTCGGTAGTAGGAGATTGGCTATACGAGAGTTAGCCAGTTTACTGCTTTGTACTGGAATCCAATTCCAGTAGTGGAGTTCTATGCTTATTGCTTCGGCTTTCTATCCCGGTGAAGACTAGTCGTCTGCCGGATAGTTAGACTGAGAGGGCTTGGTCAGCTTAAGAGATTCCAAGCTACTGTCGGATCTTCCACAGTTTAATCAACAGTAAAACAACCAAAAGGAATTACAACTTGGACCTAATTGAGGAGCTAGGGGGAATCATACCTAAGTGAGTTCCCAACCTGTAATTAGTAGTTTTACTTAGTTTAGTTAGTAGAGTAGTTTAGTTAATCAATCCTTAATCTAGTTTGCTAGATAATGAACTGAAGCTGAGTAATAGTAACTCTAGAGACCCGTGGATTCGATATTTATTACTTGTGCCACTATACTGCAGTCCCTTTCATTGGTTACACTTGGCCATTGTTAGGTGTTGTGTTTTAGCGTGTCATTCCTCCTGCCTGGCCGGGACAGGATCAGCAGATATGGGCTTACCGCTCCTGGTAAAAATGGCATCCAGCTGCTGGTGCTGGTGAGGATCACAAGGATTCGAAATAGTGGTGGCAGGCAGAGTCCCCGGTGCCCTGGTAGTGTTTTGGCGGGCCAAGATACCCACCTGGTGCTGCAGATCTTGCAAAATGGCACCTTGGTTCCTCTGACCTGCCTCCAGTGAGGCTATGCTCTGGTCCAACCTCGCGACAGTTTCCTGAGTGCTAGTCATGAATGAAGCGAGAATATTTTCCAGCTTCGTTATCTGATTATCTGGAGCCGGAGCTGCTGTTGGCTCGGCAAACTGACGCTGGGGCTGCTGGAATGGTTGCCCCTGCCTAGGCTGGTAGGGCTGCTGCTGTGGGGCTGACCCCTGTCTAGCCTGGAAAGGCTGCCTCTGCTGAAAACCACCAGCTGGTGCTGGGAAACCAGGTGGTTTAGTGGTGTTGCTGCTCCAAGCGAAATTGGGATGCTGGCGCCACCCCTCATTATATGTATTGCTGTACGGGTCGAGGCGCCGAGCATTGGCGATGAAGTCCAACTGCTCCTGGGGAGTAGTAGACTCCCTCATAGCCTGGCAGTATTCCACTAAGTGATTTGAGCTCTCACACCACTGACATTGAGCTACTGGAGGTTGACTCGCTATGACACAACACCTAACAATGGCCAAGTGTAACCAATGGAAGGGACTGCAGTATAGTGGCTCAAGTGATAAATATCGAATCCACGGGTCTCTAAAGTTACTATTACTCAGCTTCAGTTTATTATTTAGCAAACCAGATTAAGATGAAAGAACTAAAACTACTCTAGCAAACTACAGTTAAATCTAATTACAGGTTGGGAACTCACTTAGGTATGATTCCCCCTAGCCACTAGCCAGACTAACGATTGATGATTTCTAACTTGTTTCACTTTCATTCACAATGCGGAGAATCCTTGACTAGACCTTGAGTCTCGACTAAAGGAACAAGGCCCTCTTGAGTCAATTGCCTAGAGGGACGTATCCTTCTCTAGAACAACTGATCAAGGCGTTCTGAACTAGACTCCCTCTATCAAAAGAGGTTCTCAATCGATACAAAGCAGTGAATCAACCCTCGACTAAAGCAATCAATCCACTACTATCAATCTATGGTGCTCTATTGACCTAATCAGGTATTCCCTCTCATAGGATCGAAGCAGAATCAATAATCTCGACTTAAGCAGAATTGAATCATGAAAACATGCATAGATTGAATATGAACTCAAGATTATCAAGTCAGAGTACTCATACAATCATCCAATCAAACAAACATAGCTAGGGTTCCTCAAAACCTAAGTGAAGGGAAGTTACTCCATAGAGAAGAAAGAGACTGCAGTAAGAATCTTCAGATGATCAGTCTTCAAGTCCGGGCTTGTTCCTCGAGCTTCCAAGGCGAAGAAATCCTCCAATTCCACTCTTAGAATGCCCTCAGATCGCCCTCTCTCTTTGGTTCGTCCCTTGGGTGTTTGGGATCCAAAACCCAGCTCTCCCCTTTCCTTTGGCTGAAAATCGGGTTTTAACCAGCAATTTCCGACTCACACGGGCAGGCCGCATGGCCGTGCAGCTCACCTAGTTGCCCGTGCGAGTCAAAACGCAGCGTATCGATTAGTTGATTTCTAGGCTTCTTACACGGCCAGGGTCGCACGGCCGTGCAGCTCACCTTGCACGGCCGTGTGGATTTTCTGCTCTGCCCGTGTTTGCTCTCACACAATCCCACACGGCCAAACTGGTCACTTGCACGGCCGTGTGGGTTGTGGGTGTGCCCGTGCGACTTCCTTTGTGACATGCCTCGTGCCCGATCTTCGCCCAATCGACCCCGAACTCGCTCCTAAACCTTCATTCACTTGCCAGGACCTGAAATATCCCAAAAAAGCACAACCTAGCGTGAAATCGGTCTAAAACACGAGAAACCACATCTCAAAGGGTGTAAGAACAGGGGTGAAAACATGTGTAACTAACGGTCTATCAAACAACCCAGATCGTAGGTAGAGTACTTCCTAGATCATTTAGCAGCTTACGAGGCCAACCGACACACAAGTCATCTCATAGCTTCTTCGGCGAGAGCACTAGTATCGAGTCGGCATCATGGCAAATAGTGAACAGAGGACAAATGAATTGTGGATGAAGAGATTCTCAAAAACAAAAGATCATGGACTCACATTTTTCAAGGTGCTCTATTTTCTTCTTGAAGATGGTTGGAACCCCTTTTCTATTCTGTTTTGCTTGTTTTCTGTTTTTTTTATTTATTTATTTTATTTTTCAAGGGTCCCAACCTGCTCTTACCGGCCATACCAGGAGCGGATGTCTCGAGCCTCGTGCGGGGGAAAGACATGTAAGGGGGCTGGAGGTAGTAGGTGGAAATTGGGAACGGATTCCCGTCTCCCCTTACACACTTTCACCCTATTCGCATGGGAGACGTTATTTTGAAGCACATTTTCGAGCACCTGTTAAACTCAAAACATGAAACAAGAGTCCATGACAGGCAGAGAATCCACAGCACCACACAATTCAAGGGTCCTAAGATCACTAATTCACTCAATCAACCAACACAATATGAAGAAGAAATGAGACTTCTTAAATGCATCAACATCCTCCATAGTGCTACACTACCTCCCTAGGTTTCATATTACTATAAAGACTGTCAATTCAAAGCATACTGAGCAGGCAATTGCAAGGAACACGTACTTGGAGCCCTCAAATTTAAAAATTTGGACAGTGGCCTAGGCTCCAAGCACACAAACAGCCAAACATTCACCCGCATACATAATCAAACATCCCCCCACACTTAAGCACGACATTGTCCTCAATGGAGGAAAGATAAGGAGGGTAGAACGAAGTTACCAGATCAAGGGTGAATGATGATGAACGGGTCAGGCGGTGCATTCCAGAAAGAGAGAGTAATCAGAACACAAACACCACACAAAATCTCACAAAGGTTGAGTTATTGACTCTAAAATCAAATAGCAAAACTGACTCAACCGAGGAGAAATAGAGAAAGAAATGCAAACCGACTGGTTGGGTTGCCTCCCAACAAGCGCTTCTTTCACGTCGTGAGCCGGACGATGGCTCCTAAGTTTCGGTCCATGCTAGAACCTCCTTGAAGTTGAGGTTCTCGTCGATGAGGTGGAGTCTCAAGTCACGAGCATGTGGTGTGGCAGGTGATGAAGGCTCATGTACTTGATGCAGATGAAGTCTCCACCCTCGAGACCTCTTCTTCTCTTCTCTCATCTCATTGCCCCAAACCAGATAAGATAACATCGATTGGCCACCATCGCGTCCACCAAGAGGGACCGATGTTGATGTGGCCTTGGTCTGGCAAAGAGACACTGCAAATGGGTCCTTGCTAAGCAGTTCCTCGAAGTTTGGTGGGGATATCACATGTAACTCATGGCCGGTGCAAGCCTCTTCCACCTTAACTCCGTCCTCAGCCTGGACGCCAATTTCTTCTTCAACCTCCCTTCCTTCTTCATGTGGTATCACCCCTGGGAAATGATCAAGAACTCCTCCAGCTTCACTTTCGTCATCCTCCACAACTTCTTTCTGCACCCTTTCTTGCTCTTCTTCTTCTAGCACGGATTGGAGAGCAAGTTGCCAAGCAATTTCTTTCATGAGATTTTCTTGCATCTCCTCACTCATGCCCGCCTCTTCGAAGCTCAGTTTGGGGTGTGGGAAGGTGTGGTCGGCTACGACAGGACATTCCTGATGATGACCATCACGGGAGCTCTCCGTGACAACTTCTGTGTGTTCCACAATGTCCTTGTAGCCTTCTTCTTCCTCCTCCTCTTCTTGTATGGTAGCAGAAGGTTGATCTGGAGCAGGTTGTGCCCAAGATCGCTCAAGATCATCGACGCTCTTCTTAAGGCTCAGGAGGATCTCCTCTGTTTCACGAAAGGCCTGGACACAATGATCCATCCTGGAGCATGATCTCTCCATAAGAAGCCTCAAATCGTAGGTTGGATCTGGCTGTGGAGTGTAGCATGGCTCTGCAGAATGGCCCGTGAAGGCCGCCATGGGTAACTCCAGCGCCGATGGCCCTTCTGGTTGTGGGAGAAATTCTTCTTGGTAATGAAGTTGTTCTTGATATGCCCAGGGGTCCGGTTGTTCTCCGTAGTAAGGGGGTTGGTACTGGAACCCGAATCCATAGTCTTCTCCTCCTTGATTGCTCCAGGGAGTCTCGGGGTAATACCACTCGGGTGGTGGTGGATACCCCCAATGATTGGAGAAGCCATTAGGATCCATGATTCAGATCTGCACCAACAAAAACAAAAACACCCAAGTGAAAAGCAAGGGTGGAAAAGAAAATAAAAACGCTAAAGTAACAAACTTCTGCCTTTCCTAATACTCTAGAAAGTTCCCCGGCAACGGCGCCAAAAAATTGACTCGCTATGACACAACACCTAACAATGGCCAAGTGTAACCAATGGAAGGGACTGCAGTATAGTGGCTCAAGTGATAAATATCGAATCCACGGGTCTCTAAAGTTACTATTACTCAGCTTCAGTTTATTATTTAGCAAACCAGATTAAGATGAAAGAACTAAAACTACTCTAGCAAACTACAGTTAAAGTTAATCTAATTACAGGTTGGGAACTCACTTAGGTATGATTCCCCCTAGCCACTAGCCATACTAACGATTGATGATTTCTAACTTGTTTCACTTTCATTCACAATGCGGAGAATCCTTGACTAGACCTTGAGTCTCGACTAAAGGAACAAGGCCCTCTTGAGTCAATTGCCTAGAGGGACGTATCCTTCTCTAGAACAACTGATCAAGGCGTTCTGAACTAGACTCCCTCTATCGAAAGAGGTTCTCAATCGATACAAAGCAGTGAATCAACCCTCGACTAAAGCAATCAATCCACTACTATCAATCTATGGTGCTCTATTGACCTAATTAGGTATTCCCTCTCATAGGATCGAAGCAGAATCAATAATCTCGACTAAAGCAAAATTGAATCATGAAAACATGCATAGATTGAATATGAACTCAAGATTATCAAGTCAGAGTACTCATACAATCATCCAATCAAACAAACATAGCTAGGGTTCCTCAAAACCTAAGTGAAGGGAAGTTACTCCATAGAGAAGAAAGAGACTGCAGTAAGAATCTTCAGATGATCAGTCTTCAAGTCCGGGCTTGTTCCTCGAGCTTCCAAGGCGAAGAAATCCTCCAATTCCACTCTTAGAATGCCCTCAGATCGCCCTTTCTCTCTTTGGTTCGTCCCTTGGGTGTTTGGGATCCAAAACCCAGCTCTCCCCTTTCCTTTGGCTGAAAATCGGGTTTTAACCAGCAATTCCAGACTCACACGGGCAGGCCGCACGGCCGTGCAGCTCACCCAGTTGCCCGTGCGAGTCAAAACGCAGCGTATCGATTAGTTGAATTCCAGGCTTCTTACACGGCCAGGGTCGCACGGCCGTGCAGCTCACCTTGCACGGCCGTGTGGATTTTCTGCTCTGCCCGTGTTTGCTCTCGCACAATCCCACACGGCCAAACTGGTCACTTGCACGGCCGTGTGTGTTGTGGGTGTGCCCGTGCGACTTCCTTTGTGACTTGCCTCGCGCCCGATCTTCGCCCAATCGACCCCGAACTCGCTCCTAAACCTTCATTCACTTGCCAGGACCTGAAATATCACAAACAAGCACAACCTAGCGTGAAATCGGTCTAAAACACGAGAAACCACATCTCAAACGGTGTAAGAACAGGGGTGAAAACATGTGTAACTAACGGTCTATCAGAGGTGTAGCCAAACCTCTGCCCTGAATAAAACTGTTGGGCTGCTTCAATGTCTGCACTAACTCAGCTACCTGCTGCTCGAGCCCGGATCTGGTCTCCATGGCATGCACACCACGGTCCCGGGAATGTCTGCCTCTGCTGCTCTGCCCCCAGGAATGATCTCTGGCAGCCAAGGTATTGATCATCTGGTTCAGTTCGGGTGGATTCTTAGTGAGAATATCCCCTCCTGGGCATAGAGACTCAATCACCCGCTGGCTGTCCGGAGAGAGAGCACTGTAGACGTTCCCCACTGTGAATGCATCACTGAAACCATGATGGGGACACTGCCAGAAATATCCCATGTACCGCTCCCAAGCATCACGAAGTGACTCATCTGGCTCTTGGCGGAAGTGAGTGATCTCCCGCTGGATCTCTGTAGACTTCGATGCCGGATAGTACCTGTGCACGAATTTGTCAGCCAGATCGTCCCAAGAGGTGATGGACAATGGGGGATGGGTCTCCAACCACCTCTTAGCATTCCCCGCCAGAGAATGGGGGAAGAGGTGAAGGCGGATTGCATCATCGGGGACACCGTTCAGCTTGAACCCGTTCGTCAGCTGCAGAAAACGGGAAAGATGTACCCTGGCCTCATCATCCTTCAAGCCATGGAACTGGATAGTGGATGTAATGAGCTGAATCCAGCATGGCTTGATCTCGAAGTTGTTCGCTGCAATAGGGGGGTAGAGGATGACCGGGCGGATGTCAGCAATTTGTGGAGTGTAGTAGTACTCTAAGGTGGGACCCGGCGGCGGGTGATGATGATGAACCCCATCTGCCTGGGGTATGGGGTTGTTCCCCAGGACCTTATTAACCGGGGGAGCCTGCTGAGGATTCCCCTGGTGTGGATTGTAATCGCCGTCCATCCCGTACTCTTCCGCAGAATCGCTGCTCAAGTGGCCGTCTATGCGCTCTTCAGTAGCCAGTCTAGCTCGCTGTTGTCTCCTGAGTTGGCGACAGGTGAGGTCAATCTCTGGATTCAACGGCAATAAACCTACCGAATGGCTATGGGTCATGCACTACCTACACACACTCAAGCAAGCAAACCCGTGAAGGCACAAGTGGGACAAAGCAAACAATGCGAAAAGAAAAGCTAAATTAACAGAAATCACTTTTCTTCAACAACCTAGCCGTCCCCGGCAACGGCGCCAAAAACTTGACTCACTTCTACTGTCACTCTAGGAATTGGCCAAGTGAAACCACTTCCTACAGTGTAGTATAGCGTGGTTTGGGTTTAAATGTCAACCCGGGTCCTAGATTTGATGACTACTCGGTGAATTCTTGTTATCTATCAATGAAACTTTAATGCAAGTCTAAACGAACAAACAAGCAAAGCAACTAAACGGTTGTTTTCAGGTTAAGAGAGGTCACCCGGATATGGTTCCCCCTAGACTGCAGTTAAGCCGGATTGCAATTACCAAGTTCAGTTTCTATGATAGTTATACTGCGGAAGGTTCTTAAACAGCCTGAAGTCTCGACTAAAGTTCTTCAGACCCTCTCAATCTGAGTCTCTAGCGGTCGACTAACCTCCACCGGAGTAAACAGATTGAGGCCCTACGAACAAAACCTCCACTACCGAAGTGAATTCGGTACAGAATAGTGAGTTGGCTCCTCGACTAAAGTCACCAACTCCCTACCTTCAATCAAGGATGATCTATCAACCTAGGCAGAATTCTCATTCTAGGTTAAAGCAGAAGCAACAGGAATTTGATCAGGATTCAAGCCATTCAAACCTCAATTGAATATAATCAAATCATAGAATCAGTACTTGGGTTCATACAATTAAACCTAACATACAAAACTAGGGTTCTCCATACCCAGATGAATGGGAGAACTACTCCATGGAGAAAGAAGCAAAAGCAAAATCAGACGCGGAAATCATACTATGAAGGATGGGTTTCTGCTCCTGGACGTTGATCGGCACTTCTCCAAGTTCAAGCCAAGCTCCAATGGTGATGAAGATCAAGCTAGGGCACTTGGGAACTCTTGCTCGTCGCTTTCTCTCTCTAGGAATCGCTCTCTCTCTCTAAAACTCGAATCCCCTTCTGTTTTGGCTGAAATCTGCTTAAAAGGGCATCACTGGTTAAAACACGGTCGAGGGCACGGCCGTGCTTTGCTCCAGCCCGCCCGTGCTTTGCCAAGGGTTAATTACACGGCCAACCAGTTGGGAGAAACACGGCCGTGCTTTTGTGGGACACGGCCGTGTTCTGTCTCAGCCCTGCCCGTGTTTTGAGCTCGTGTTTTCCAAACTCAGGTCAAGCCTCGGCAGTAAAAGCACGGTCTAGGAACACGGCCGTGTTCTGATTTAGGCGTGCCCGTGTTTTGGCTCCAGCTCGACCGAATGACTTCCGAATGCCCCGAAACTCGTGCTTAGCCTTTCCTTTGACGCCTGGGACCTGAAATATGACAAAGTAGCACAACCCGGCGTAAAATAGGCCAAAAATACACGACTATGCCCCTCAAACGGATAAGAACTAGGGGTGCAAATACGTGCAATTACATCGTTATCAAGGTACGTCTTTGTTTCTTCACCCGTTGCCCACTTTCCACTGCTTAGGACCAAAGACCCTAACATCATCCTATTATCATAACTACTGGCATCTGGTGATTGTTCCTCTTCCTTTGGAGATTCATATTTCTCCCCTTTGTTTGTCTTAGCTTATTAGATCATCCACTTGTTTCCTAGTAGTAAAATCCTCGTACTACTCTCTCAACTCCTTCAAAATCCTTGAGGTATTCCCTTTCAATTGGCACCTCTTTGCTGGTGTTTGGAGTTGAACTCCTCGCACATTTGATTCTACCTCCACAGACCTTTGCAACGTTTCTCCTTCCTTCTCTAGGTTGATGATGATTATCTGTTTGCTAACGTCCGAGTAGTTGGTTAACTACTTGAAAAACTAATATTCATCATGTCGATGAGATACTTGTTCTTGAGAGCCTTTGAGATTCTACTTGGTTTGGTCACGTTTCTTTCATCCTTTCTTTCTTACTGGAGATCACCATATGCCTAAATCTCTCATTAGACAAACCATGGCATGTTAACTAAATTGCGTCCTAGCCTATTCTTAAACAATCGCACCCCGGGCTACCATCCTTTCGTGTCGTGCTGTCATAGTTATTCACCTTAATATAATTAGAGTACACTGGAGATTCTATAAACTCTTAAAAGAAGATCCTTGACTCGTTTTCCTTTCCTTTAAAACAAAAGCATTTAAAACTGAGACCGATATTCCAGTATTCCTTGGAGACCAAGGAACAGAGGAAGACCGGCTCTGATACCAAAATGAAACACCCTAACCCGGCTGGGTACTACTTTTACTAAAAATGCCCTTGATAAATAAAATACTCAAATCTTAAATTGCAGCGGGAAAAATTTTCACAAATAAAATACTGAAAACACACACTTGTAGTTCAAAGCTAACATGTGGGCAAATTGAACTCAAACTTTAACATCTCAATCTGATCCCCAGTTGATGACTCGGTATTTGCACATATTTTCCCCTTTGTTTCTTGATTGTTTGAGCTTGAATTATTGCGTCTTTGTCCTTTTTTATGCTAGGTTGTGTTCCTTTGTCACATTTCAGGTCCTAGCACATAAAGTGAAGCATAGGCGCAAGTTTCAAATCAATCAGAGATCAATTGACGATTCGGGAGAAGAAACTCGGGCATGACCTGAAGAAGAATGGATTTCTACCTCAATTTATGGACAAAGAATCATGCTAGCTTGTCATGAAAAGAAAGAGGACGAGACTACGAGCTTCTGGGATCAAACGAGGACTGATTCGGAGTCCGGACGAGGGAGAAACGAAACATTAAACAGAGGCCGAGCAAGCCACACGGGCATCCTGGAACTCCACACGGCCGTGTGGGTCGTGGCCGTGTGGAAATCATCGAGCCTTCACACGGGCAGCTGGGAAAGCCACACGGCCGTGTGGCCTGGCCGCATGATCGGGAATTTCTATTTAAAACCCGATTTTCAGCAAAAGGAAAGGGGAGAGCTGGGTTTTTGGTTCCCAAACACCCAAGGGACGAACCCTAGAGAGAGAGAGAGCGACTTGGGAACATTCTTGCAGCTATTTTGGAGGATTTCTTTGCCATTGGAGCTCGGGAATCAATCTTGGAGATGAAGATTGAAGATCTAGATCAGATTTCTGCAGTATCTCTCTTCTCTATGGAGTAACTTCCCTTCACTTAGGTTTTGAGGAACCCTAGTTCCATGTGTTAGGATCTTTCTTGTATGAAGTTTTGGATTCTATATTGTTTAATTATAATCGATTGAGGCATGATTTATTGAGTCAATTGAATCTTGATCAAATTCTCTTGATTTCTGCTTTAACCTATGATAGATAGAATCTGATTAGGTTAAGAGAGCTTCCTTGATTGATAGTGGTGAAGTGGTTGTGCGAGAGTCAACCAATTCACTGCTTTGTACTAGAATTCATTCCAGTAGTGGAGATCTGTGTGAATCGCCTTAGGAGTCTATCCCAGTGAAGGCTAGTCGCCTTCCGGGTATTCTGTCTAAGAGGGCTTGGTCAGCTTAAGAGATTCCAAGCTAATTTAGGATCTTCCGCAGTTTAATCAACAGTAGACCAACCATAAGTAACTGCAACTTGGACCTAATTGAGGAGCTAGGGGGAATCATACCTAAGTGAGTTCCCAACTTGTAATTAGTAGAGTAGTCAGTAGAGTAGTTTATAAATCAATCCTTAATCTAGTTTGCTAGATAATGAACTGAAGCTAAGTAATAGTAATTCTAGAGACCCGTGGATTCGATATTTATTACTTGTGCCACTATATTGCAGTCCCTTTCATTGTTACACTTGGCCATTGTTAGGTGCTGTGTCGTAGTGAGTCAAGTTTTTGGCGCCATTGACGGGACTTTCTAGATTATTAGGAAAGGCAGAAGTTTATTACTTTAGCATTTTTCTTTTCTTTTCCACCCTTGCTTTTCACTTGGGTGTTTTTGTTTCTGTTGGTGCAGATCTGAATCATGGACCCTCATGGCTTCTCCAATCATTGGGGGTATCCGCCACCATCCGAGTGGTATTACCCCGAGAATCCCTGGAGTAACCAAGGAGGAGAAGACTATGGAGTCGGGTTTCAGTACCAACCCCCCTACTACGAAGAACAATCAGACCCCTGGGTATTTCAAGAACAATCTCCTTATCAAGAAGAATTCCTCCCACAACAAGAAGGGCCATCAGATCTTGAGTTCGCCACAGCCTTCACGGGCGATCCGGCAGAGCCATGCTACACTCCACAGCCAGATCCAAACTATCACTTGAGGCTTCTTGTGGAGCAGATTGCTCGAGTATCTGAGAGATCCTTTCCCGAGATGGATCCTCATATCCAGGCCATTGCCGAAACTGACTTCTCATTTCCCCGTGAAACAGAGGATACCCTTCGGAGCATAAAGGAGCACATAGAGGTCATTGAGAAAGCTTGTTCACAGTTTTCTCAAGACAACCTTTATGCTGCCATACAAGTAGAGGTGGAGGAAGAAGAAGGCAATCATGAGGATGTTGAGGAGCATACAAAAGTTGTCAAGGAAAGCTCCCATGATAATCATGATTAAGTGTATCCTCTGGTGGTAGATCACAACTTTCCCCATTTCCGCTCTGACATGCTGGGCCCGAGCGAGGAGATGCAAGCTGAACTTATTGAGAACCTTGCATGGCGACTTGCTCTCCAATCAATTATGGAAGAAGAAGAGAGAGAAAGGGTGAGGAAAGAAGTTGTGGAGGATGAGGAAGAAAGCAAAGAAGAGGTAGTTCTTGATCTTTTCCGAGGAGAGAGACCACATTTTGAAGAAGGAAGGGGGGTTGAAGAAGCGAGTGGTGTCCAGGCTGAGGATGAAGTTGAGGTGGAAGAGGCTTGCACCGGCCCTATAATACAAGTAATATCCCCACCAAACTTCGAGGAATTGCTTAGCAAGGACCCATTTGCAGTGTCTCTTTGTCAAACCAAGGCCACATCGACATCGGTCCCCCTTGGTGGACGCAATGGTGGCCAATCGATGCTGTCATATCTGGTTTGGGGCAATGGGACGAGAGAAGAGAAGAAGAGGTCTCGAGGATGGAGACTTCATCTGCATCAAGTGCACGAGCTTCCATCACCAGTCATACCACATGCTCGTGACTTGCGACTCCACCTCATTGACGAGAACCTCAACTTCAAGGAGGTTCTAGCATGGACCGAAACTTAGGAGCCATCGTACGGCTCACGACGTGAAAGAAGCGCTTGTTGGGAGGCAACCCAACCAGTCGGTTTGAATTTCTTTCTCTATTTCTCCTCGGTTGAGTCAGTTTTGTTACTTGATTTTAGAGTCAATAACTCAACCTTTGTGAGATTTTGTGTGGTGTTTGTGTTCTAATTACTCTCTCTTCCTGGAATGCACCGCCTGCCCCGTCCATCATCATTCACCCTTGATCTGGTAACTTCGTTCTACCCTCCTTATCTTTCCTCCATTGAGGACAATGTCGTGCTTAAGTGTGGGGGTGATAACGATGTAATTGCACGTATTTGCACCCCTAATTCTTATCCGTTTGAGAGGCATAGTCGTGTATTTTGGCCTATTTTACGCCGGGTTGTGCTATTTTGTCATATTTCAGGTCCCAAGCGTCAAAGGAAAGGCTAAGCACGAGTTTCGGGGCATTCAGAAGTCATTTCGTCGAGCATGAGCCAAAACACGGGCAGACCTAAAACAGAACACGGCCGTGTTCTGTGGCCGTGCTTTTACTGCCTAGAGCAAATTCGAGTTTGGCAAATATTGGCTAAAAACACGGGCTGAAAGCACGGCCGTGTCAACCAAAGCACGGCCGTGTCCTCTCCAAAACACGCCCGTGTTTCCCCCATTGCACTGGCCGTGTAATTAACCCTAGCCAAAGCACGGGCGGGCTGAGGCATTACACGGCAGTGCCCTCGACCGTGCTTTGGCCACTGATGCCCTTTTAAGAAGATTTTCAGCCAAAGAGATGGGGATTCGAGTTTTAGAGAGACAGAGCGATTCCTAGAGAGAGAAAGTGACAAACAAGAGTCTCCAAGTGCCCTAGCTTGATCTTCATCACCATTGGAGGCCAGTTTGAGCTTGGAGAAGTGCCGATCAACGTCCAGGAGCAGGAATCCATCCTTCACAGTATGAATTCCGCATCTGATTCTGCTTTTGCTTCTTTCTCCATGGAGTAGTTCTCCCATTCATCTGGGTATGGAGAACCCTAGATTTGTATGTTAAGCTTTGATTGTATGAACCCAAGTACTGATTCTATGATTTGATTATATTCGATTGAGGTTGGATTGATTGAATGACTTGAATCCTGATCAAATTCCTATTGTTTCTGCTTTAACCTAGAATGAGAATATCTGCCTAGGTTGATAGAGCATCCTTGATTGAAGGTAGGGAGTTGGTGACTTTAGTCGAGGAGCCAACTCACTATTCTGTACCGGATTTACTCCGGTAGTGGAGGTTTTGTTTGTTAAGGCCTCAATCTGATTACTCCGGTGGAGGTTAGTCGCCCGCTAGAGATTCAGATTGAGAGGGTCTGAAGACCTTTAGTCGAGACTTTAGGCTGTTTAAGAACCTTCCGCAGTATAACTTTCATAGAATCTGAACTTGGTAATTGCAATCCGGCTTAACTGCAGTCTAGGGGGAACCATATCCGGGTGACCTCTCTTAACCTGAATACAACAGTTTACTTGCTTTGTTAGTTTGTTAGTTTAGACTTGCATTAAAGTTTCATTGCTAGATAACAAGAATTCACTGAGTAGTCATCAAATCTAGGACCCGGGTTGACATTTAAACCCAAACCCGCTATACTACGCTTTAGGAAGTGGTTTCACTTGGCCAATTCCTGGAGTGACAGTAGAAGTGAGTCAAGTTTTTGGCGCCGTTGCCGGGGACGGCTAGGTTGTTGAAGAAAGGTGATTTCTGTTAATTTAGCTTTTCTTTTTGCTTTGTTTGCTTTGTCCCACTTGTGCCTTCACGGGTTTGCTTGCTTGAGTGTGTGCAGGTAGTGCATAAGCCGTAGCCAGTCAGGAGGTTTACTGCCGTTGAATCCAGAGATTGATCGCACCTGTCGCCAGCTCAGGAGACAACAGCGAGCTAGACTGGCTACAGAAGAGCGCATAGACGGCCACCTGAGTAGCGAATCTGAAGAAGAGCACGGGATGGACGGAGACTACAATCAACACCAGGGGAATCCGCAGCAGGTTCCCCCGGTGAATCAGGTCCTGGGGAACAACCCCATACCCCAAGATCATGGGGTTCATCATCCACCGCAGCCGGGTCCCACCTTGGAGTACTACTACACTCCTCGGATTGCTGACATCCGCCCGGTCATCCTCTACCCGCCTATTCCAGCAAATAACTTCGAGATCAAGCCTATTCCAGCGGGAGATCACTCACTTCCGCCAAGAGCCAGATGAGTCGCTTCGTGATGCATGGGAGCGGTACAGGGGATACTTCTGGCAGTGTCCCCATCATGGCTTTAGTGATGCATTCACGGTGGGGAACTTCTGCAGTGCTCTCTCTCCAGATAGCCAGAGGGTGATTGAGTCTATGCCCAGGAGGGGATGTTCTTACTAAGACTCCACCAGAACTGAACCAGATGATTAATACTTTGGCTGCTAGAGATCATTCCTGGGGACAGAGCAGCAGAGGCAGACAGTCCCGGGTGCGTGGTGTGCACGCCATGGAGACCAGATCCGGGCTCGAGCAGCAGGTAGCTGAGCTAGTGCAGACATTGAAGCAGCCCAACAGTCTTATTCCGGGCAGAGGTTTGGCTACACCTCCAGTTGCTCAATGTCAGTGGTGTGAGAGCTCGAATCACTTAGTGGAAGACTGCCAGGCTATGAGGGAGTCTACTACTCCCCAAGAGCAGTTGGACTTCATCGCCAATGCTCGGCGCCTCGACCCGTACAGCAACACCTATAATGAGGGGTGGCGCCAGCATCCCAACTTCTCTTGGGGCAGCAACACCACTAAGCCACCTGGTTTCCCAGCACCAGCTGGTGGCTTTCAGGAGAGGCAGCCCTTCCAGGCTCGACAGGGGCCAGCCCCACAGCAGCAGCCCTACCAGCCTAGGCAGGGGCACCCATTCCAGCAGCCCCAGTGCCAGTTCACCGAGCCTGCAGCAGCTCCAGCACCAGATACTCAGATGACGAAGCTGGAAAATATTCTAGCTTCATTCATGACTAGCACTCAGGCAGCTATCACGTCACTGGAGGCAGGTCAGAGCAACTAGGGTGCCATCTTGCAAGATCTGCAGAACCAGGTGGGTATCTTGGCCCGCCAGAACACCACCAGGGCACCAGGGACTTTGCCTGCCACCACTGTTCCGAATCCTCGTGATCCTAACCAGCTCCAGCAGCTTGATGCCATCACTACCAGGAGTGGCAAGACCACATCAGCTGCTCCTGCCCAGCCCAGTCGAGATGAGCCACCACCTGCTTCAACACTTCCAGCTGATACTGCAGAAGTGGGGGAAGACACAACAACGCCTGCTCCCAAGCCACAACCAGTGGTTAAGGAGTATGTACCTCAGTTTCCTTTCCCACTCGCCTGCATAAAGACAAGCTGGAGACTGAGTTTGCCAAGTTCATGGCAATGTTGAAGCAGGTCAACATCAGCATGCCGTTCGTGGAGGCACTGTCAAAGATGCCCAAGTATGCCAAGTTCATGAAGGACCTCCTCACCAACAAGAAGAAACTTGGGGATCTTTCGACAGTGATGCTGAGCGAGGAGTGTTCTGCCATCCTGCAGAACAAGCTGCCCGAGAAGCGAAAAGACCAGGGAGTTTCACTATCCCTCTTGTTATTGGCAGCATGCATGTAGGAAAGTCCTTGGCGGACCAAGGCGCGAGCATAAATGTCATGCCTTATAATTTGTTTAAGAAGCTAGGCCTAGGTGAACCTAGAACTACTAGGATGAGCATTCAGTTAGCTGATCGTTCTATCATGCATCCTTGGGGTATCATTGAGGACTTGCTTGTTAATGTGGGTGCATTCACATATCCTGTTGACTTTGTTATTTTGGATATAAATGAGGATGTGGATGTACCTTTGATTTTAGGTAGACCGTTTCTCGCCACCGCCAAGGCGCTTATTGATGTGCATAGTGGTAAATTGATTCTGCGTGCTGGTGATGAACAGGCTACCTTTTCTGTGTCTGAGAATGGGAAACACCCTCATTTGCATGATGACATAGATTACTGTGATATGCTTGCTGATTTTGAGACCGCACTCGCTATAACGAGTGCGGGTACTGACGATGTTCTTGAGCGCTGTATTTTGCTAGGTGAGCAGGCATCGCAGGAGCCACAGCTGGCGGAGTAGTTGGCCGAGTTGGAGAGTGGCCCCTTCTTGGAGGGCGACAGGCTGTTCAAACCGATCTCATCCTCCACCCGCATCGCTACTTCCTTGGAGGAACCACCAGAGCTGGCGCTTAAGCCCCTCCCTCCTCATTTGGAGTATGCATTTATCCGGGAGGGGAATAAGCTGCCAGTCATCATCAGCTCGACCCTCACACCCGAGCAGAAGATCAGACTGGTGACCTTGCTGAAGCGGTACGAGCGAGCTCTCGCATGGAAGATCACAGACATCCGGGGGATCAGCCCTTCTTTCTGCTCCCACCGGATACTGATGGAGGATGAGATGCGGCCAGTGAGACAGCCGCAGAGAAGACTGACACTGAACCTAGAGGTTGTGGTTCGGGCAGAGATCGTGAAGTTGCTGGACGCGGGGATCATCTTCGCCATTTCCGACAGCGAGTGGGTCAGTCCCACCCAGGTGGTACCCAAAAAGGGTGGGATGACTGTGGTGCCTAATGCGAAGAATGAGCTGATCCCGATGCGCACGGTGACTGGGTACCGTGTCTGCATTGATTACCGGCGTCTCAACGACCCCACTCGGAAGGACCACTTCCCGCTACCATTCATTGATCAGATGCTGGAGAGACTGGCGGGGCACGAGTTCTACTGTTTCCTGGATGGGATGTCCGGTACTTCCAGATCCCTATTGCACCGGAGGACCAGGCGAAGACCACTTTCACCTGCCCCTTCGGCACTTTTGCCTACCGGAGGATCCCATTCGGGCTATGCAATGCCCCGGCCACTTTTCAGCGTTGCATGCTCGCTATCTTTGACCGTCTAGTCGGCGAGATTATGGAGGTGTTTATGGACGATTTCTCGGTTTATGGAGTCTCATTCTCTCACTGTCTCCATAACCTGGAGCTTGTCCTTAAACGGTGTGAAGAAACAAACCTGGCACTGAGTTGGGAGAAGTGTCACTTCATGGTTCGAGAAGGCATAGTTCTTGGGCATAAGATCTCCAAGATGGGGATTGAGGTGGACAGAGCAAAGATCGAGACGATTAGCAAGCTGCCTCCTCCTACATCTGTTAAGGGGATCCAGAGTTTTCTTGGTCATGCAGGGTTCTACAGGCGATTCATCAAGGATTTCTCGAAGATTGCTCTGCCCTTGACTAAGCTTCTAGAGAAGGATGCCCCCTTCCAGTTCACTGATGCATGCACAGCGGCTTTCACGACCTTGAAGGAGAAGCTCACACAAGCTCCTATCATGGTTGTTCCTGACTGGTCCCTACCATTTGAGATTATGTGCGATGCCAGTGACTTTGCTGTTGGAGCTGTGTTGGGGCAGAGGCGAGATCAGCATTTCTGACCTATTTACTACGCCTCGAAGACCTTGAATGATGCCCAGGAGAACTACACCACCACGGAGAAGGAGCTGCTCGCGGTGGTGTTTGCCTTCGATAAATTTCGTCCTTATCTGGTCTTGTCCCATGTGACCGTGTATACAGATCACTCCGCGATTCGATACTTGATGAGCAAGGCTGATGCCAAGCCTAGGCTCATACGATGGATCTTACTACTGCAGGAGTTTGACATTGAGATTCGAGACAAGAAGGGAGCGGAGAATGTTGCTGTCGATCACCTCTCCCGGTTGGACGCACCCCCTGCGGACAACCTCGAGGAGGAGATCAATGACTCCTTTCCAGATGAGAGACTGATGATGATGTGCCTGGTGGAGAGTGTCACCCCCTGGTATTCTGATTTTGCAAATTATCTTGTGGGCCAGAAGCTGCCCAAGGGGATGACAACTCACGCCAAGAGGAAGTTTTTCTCCGACCTGAAGTACTACTTATGGGATGACCCTCATCTCTTCAGGGTCGGAGCCGACGGGATCATCCGTCAATGTGTTATGGAGAGTGAGATGGAGGGAATTCTATCTCACTGTCATGAAGGACCTGCTGGCGGTCACCACGGAGGAAACCGCACGGTGAGGAAGGTGCTCCAGTCGGGCTTCTACTGGCCCACACTCTTCAAGGACGCAGACGCCTTCGCACGCAGGTGCGACCGATGCCAGAGGTCAGGTAACATCTCTGCCCGTGATGAGATGCCCCAGAATGTATTTATTACTTGTGAGATTTTTGATGTCTGGGGTATCGACTTCATGGGCCCCTTCCCTCCATCTTTTGGTAATACATATATCCTTGTTGTTGTTGACTACGTCTCTAGGTGGGCTGAGGCGCAAGCTTTGCCCACTAAAAATGCTAGACGTGTTTGTGGTTTTCTGAAGCAGCTATTCTCCCGGTTCGGGACACCTAGAGCCATCATAAGCGACCGAGGCACCCATTTCCAGAGTCAGTTCGATAAGTTGTTGTCTCGCTATGGTGTAACTCATAAGGTGTCCGTGGCCTACCATCCTCAAACCAGTGGCCAGGACGAGCTGACGTGTAACACCCTACCCTATACGTTTTGCCTAATCATATTGTTCGTACAATTGCGGCGGAAATAATCTCGGGTGTGACATTAATTATCAAAATTTACCAAAATAAAATTTCGACATGAATTAATCGCGTAATGGGCTAACAGTTCTTGCAACTTATCCTGCAAAATAATTCATCACAAACATATATACTCACAACCATATCCATTGGCTTTTCTTAGCCATAGTCACACTTTCATACTCCACAACTGCACACCATACTTATACATACCATAATCGTCACAACTTACACAGTTACACAACATATACACATATCATCAACTTTCCACACCTGTGGATATCTCACACTACATCAGAAGCTAGTATGCACATGAAAAACGTTCTCAAAACATTTTTACAAAAAGGTGTAGATCACTGGCCAAAATCCCGAGTAGTAGTCCAAGCACAGAATGGTTGAAGACCATACCTCATCTTGCCTTCAACTCTTGCTCAGCTCCCACCTATACACCTATCTACTGCTGCTGATGATCTGCTTACACATGGCATAAGCAGAGAAGAAGAATAAAAGAGGGTCAGCTCATAGCTGAGTGAGATAATCATAGCATCGTGAGTTCAGAACAGAGCATACCCCTACCATACATCTAGCAAACAAGCCAAAGCACTAGGATCAGACCTCAGGCATCTGACATCCCAATAGGGAAAAGACTCAACCACCTCGACTTATGCATATGCATCTTATCATGTTTTACTTATAGGCGTCTGGCTACTCCCATGCTAATAACTCTCCCGGGAAACATACCCCACATCCCGTCGGATGTAGTCATACATACCCCAACATCCCGTCGATGTGGTCATACATACCCCACACCACTATGGGTGTAGTCATACCCCGACACCGCTCTGGGTGTGGTCATATCTCATAAGAATTCTTCAGGCACCACCACATGAGAGGTGTGACTATCATACATATCATAATAGAGTAATAGCATAGGGAGCCCTAATTACTATGTAGTTGACCGTGAGACCACAACACTCATATTTGGTATCCTTATACATGATTCATATCTCATCTTGCTTAATCATAATTCATTACTTGCACATGTACTTGACCTGGCCATAATTGGCTCAACATAGGTAAATCAGGAGTTGTATAACTGCACTTCCTCGGGATAAACCCTCGTGCAAGTCATCCTCCTTAAACGTCATAATATCACCAGGGAATATATATTTTCCCACATGTGCATCCAAATACAACAATCATGAAAAATCATACCCAATCAATCACCTTTTCGAACCATCATAAGGCATATCCACAGTCAAGCCCACAATTTGCAACATATACGAAATCATCATCATAAACAAGGTCCATATCGGCTAGGGCAAGTCAATAATATCATACAACAATCCATGATTCATCATATTGCCTAAAAGTCCATACACCCCTAATCATGCCATTCTAGTTCACCTAGATCAATTCTAAGCATCAATATAATTATCGTGATACGACAAACCCGGTATGCCGTGCTAATCCCTCACCAGTTCTGGTCGTTCAAACACCGGTTTAACCTTCCCGTACTAAAACGTCAATTTCTCAAACGAACCCCGAATTAAAATCCGAGACCATCCTAATATCCCCTGCAGTATCCCCGTCAATATTAGTTCTAGGCTCCGGGTCAAATTCTTGATAAAAACAGATCAAACCCTGGCCGGAGCTAAATTCAGCGGTTTGGACCCCGGCCTAAATAATAGCCGAAATTCAGGAATTAGAACTAGAGGATTGATTACGTCGCTGCAGGAAGCTCGTATATGAAATTTGGGCTCAATCCGGCTTCCGGATACTCCGAAACCCTAATTTGGCTTATCGGGAATTCAAGAAATTCCTGAACCAAAAACTCGTTTTAAAGCTCTAAATCAATAAATCACGATGTATAGATGAATTAGGCATTACATACGGGGTTTTTGGATCACTAGGGTTCAAGAATTGAGCTATGAAATTTTTCCCCAGGCGCTCCGTGCGCGGCTCTGCTTCTCTGCTATCTCTCGGTGAAGAAAAAGAAAGAATAAAACGATGATGAGGGGAAAGAAAATGGACCCGCCGCTTAATATATATATATATATGGTTCAGGCTAGCATACACCTGGCGTATGCTATATACCTGTGTTCACATTTATTAATTAATATGAATTTAAATTAAAATAATTGTTACTAACTATTATAATTACAGTAAGATCCACTATTTTTTTTATATGAGTCGTACAGACCTTCCTTTTTTTAATTCCGACTTTCTTAATTCAACATCGGCAGATCGGATCCTCTCTCTCTTCCCTACCGACAGTGGAAGAAAAAATTGAAAAAGAAAGATCCAAACATCGATGTTACGGCTTGCAATAAACGGATTAGTGTTCTCAGTCTTGTCTAATGGTTCACTCTTCTCCACGATGAAATCGTTGCCGAGCGCAGCCCGATTGCTCAGCTCTCAATCTGGAACTAGTAACGGATCGGCCTTTGCTTTGGATTCCCGCCGCGATGCGAGGGAGAGGAGTGTGTTTTACTAACCCAAACACCTGAATATCTATAAAAGATACAAAGATCTGTATAACTGTATTAGGGCCTTGCAATAAACAAATTAGGTTTCTGGATGATTCACTCTTCTCAATGGGACCATCACTGGGATGTGCGGGGTTGGAGTCGTCGTTGTTGCCGACGAAGGCGGTAGAGGCGACGCATGTATTTCTATAATGCAATTAAGATTGAGTTGTGATTAAATGACGAATAGTTGCATGAAAAAGCATCGTGTAATATGTTGTTTTTAATTCCATGGTGATGGATAGTAATTTGGATTTAGCAATCTAGAGTGGTAGAGTTTTATGGTGAACGTGGCCGGGAGCAAATCCCTAAACTTAAAATAACGAAGGATAAGAATCGCTGGATTAAAATGTAAATAACAATTAATTAATTGGTATGATTATAATTATAATTAGTATTAATAATTAATTTAATTATATTTAATAATTAATTGTTAGGTGTGAACACAGATGTACAGTGTACGTCAGGTGTACACTAGCCTTTGCCATATATATATAATTAATTAATACGTATACTTATCCGATCGATCGATAATCCGATTTTCGTCGAAATAGTGTTGAAATGCTCGATTTTAAATCGCGAACTTTCTAGCGATCAAAATATGGGTTTAGCCGAAATGGGATGTTACAATTCTCCCCTCCTTAAGAGATTTCGTCCCCGAAATCTAACCTTGAGTCAAACTCTAACTCCTCTTACTTACCCTTAACATGGTCTATCATAGATAAACCATTACCTAACTCTTAGAATAGGCGAATCATAACATAGAAAATAACACATAACACCTCAAGTTCCCATGTTTAGGTTTCAAAAACCTATACTGGGCTATCACAACAAAAGCACATCAACAAGCTGAAAACATAACTTATTAGGCAAGATTGTTAACCTGCAAAGTAGGTTGCTACTAACTCAGGGTACTTCTCTCGCATACTTGCTTCAGTTTCCCAGGCAGCACTCTCACTTTCTTGATTCCTCCAAACCACTTTCAACATTGGGATTTCCTTCCTACGAAGATTCTTAATCTGAAAATCAACAATCTCAACTGGAACCTCCTCAAAAGTCAAATCTGAACCCAACTCGATCTCTTCTGGTTGTATAACATGGGAAGGATCCACTTTGTACCTCTTCAGCATACTAACATGAAATACATTGTGAATTTGGGATAGTTCTGGAGGCAATGCTAACTTATAAGCCACTGGTCCAATCTTCTCTGTGATTTCATATGGCCCAATATACCGAGGTGCAAGTTTCCCTTTCTTACCAAATCTCATTATGCCTTTCCAGGGTGACACTTTGAGAAATACTTTCTCACCCACTTCGAAATTAACTTCACGCCTATTCGTGTCAACATAAACTTTCTATCGATCTTGAGCCACCCTTATACGCTCCCTGATTTCCTTGACCTTATCAACTGTGATCTGAACTATCTCTGGCCCTGAGATTTGCCTTGCTCCTTCTACATCCCAACATAATGGTGTTCTACACTTCCTCCCATAAAGTGCTTCATATGGTGGAACACCCAAACTACTATGGTATTGATTGTTGTAAGCAAACTCAATCAGGGGCAAATGGTCAATCCATGATTCCTCCCATTGCATTACACATGATCAAAGTAATTCCTCCAAAGTTAGGATAGTTCGTTCACTCTGCCCATCTGTTTGAGGATGATAAGCTGAAGTAAAATGTAATTTAGTTCCCAAGGCATCATGTAAACTTTGCCAAAACCGAGATGTCAAGCTTGGGTCTCGATCAGAGACAGTAAAAATTGGCACACCATTCAATCTGACGATCTCCTTAATATATAGTTGAGACAAAGTCTCCAGTGATGGTTTCCATCTAATTGGTAAAAAGTGAGCCGATTTGGTCAGTCGGTCCACAATAACCCATACTGCATCTTTTCCCCTTGATGATGGGAGACCATATACAAAATCCATTGTGATTCTTTCCCACTTCCATTCTGGAATTGGAAGTGGTTGCAGTTTTCCCACGGGAGCTTGATGTTCTGCCTTAACTTTCTGACATACTAGACATGTGAAAACATGTTCAGCCGCTTCCTTTTTCATCCCACGCCACCAAAAATATGGTTTGATCATGTGATACATTTTAGTTGCTCCTGGGTGCATAGCATAAGCAGAAGAATGAGCTTCATCTAGGATCTCTTTCCTCAAGTTATCAACATTAGGAACACATGCTCTTCCATTCATCTTCAACATGTCATCTACCATTTCAAATGGGCTTTCTTTTCCTTCCTCAATGTCTTGAATGATTTTTGCCAACTCTGGATCCTCCTTCTGCTTCTCAATAATTTTGTCGTGCAATAAAGGTCGAATGTTCAACCGAGCTAGTAACCCTGTTACACCATCCACTTCCAAATCAACATTCATTGCCCTCAAATCAACCAGATCCGTTATATTCTTCTTGCTTTTTCTGCTCAGAGCATCAGCAACTACATTAGCTTTACCTGGATGGTAATCAATGGTACAATCATAATCTTTCAACAACTCTATCCATCTCCTCTGGCGACTATTTAAATCCTTCTGATCCATAATATACTTCAAGCTTTTATGATCAATGAGGATTTTAAAAGTCTCACCATACAAATAATGTCGCCAAATCTTGAGAGCAAATACCACCGTTGCCAATTCTAAGTCATGAGTGGGATAATTTACTTCATGACGACGCAATTGCCTAGAGGCATATGCGATAACTCTTTCATCTTGCATTAACACACAACCCAATCCTTGATACGAGGCATCACTATACACCACAAACTCTCCCTGACTTGAAGGTAGTGCAAGTACTGGTGATGTGGTCAATCTCTTTTCAGTTCATCAAAGCTCTTTTGACATGATTCATCCCAAACATACTTAGTATTCTTCCTCAACAGTTTGGTCAATGGTGCAGCAATTTTAGAAAATCCTTCTACGAACCGCCAATAGTAACCCGCCATGCCAAGAAAACTTCTCAACTCGGACACATCTTTTGGTGGAGCCCAACTCACCACTGCTTCCACCTTTTTCGGATCCACCTCGACACCTCTTCCAGAAATTACATGTCCCAGAAATATTACCTCCTTCAGCCAAAACTCACATTTTGAGAATTTTGCATATAACTGTTTCTTCCTTAGAATTTGCAACACAATTCTAAGGTGAGTTTAGTGCTCCTCCTCGCTTTTAGAATAGATGAGAATATCATCTATGAACACAATCACAAACTTATCAAGATATTCATGGAAAACTCTGTTCATAAGAGCCATAAATACCGCTGGTGCATTAGTGAGTCCAAAAGGCATTACCAGGAACTCATAATGCCCATATCTTGTTCTAAAAGCTGTCTTTGAGGTTGCTCCATCTGCCACTTTCAATTGATGGTATCCAGACCTCAAATCAAGCTTAGAAAAGACCGATGCACCCTGCAATTGTTCAAACAAGTCATCTATTCTTGGAAGGGGATAACGATTCTTCACTGTCGCGTTATTCAACCCCCGGTAGTCAATGCACATTCTCATGGAGCCATCTTTCTTCTTGACAAACAAAACCGGTGCACCCCAAGGTGAGATGCTAGGTCGAATAAACCCCTTGTCTAGCAATTCTTGTAATTGTTCTTTAAGCTCCTTCAGCTCAATTGGTGCCATTCTATATGGTGCCATTGAAATTGGTGTTGTGCCAGGTACCAATTCAATATCAAACTCTACTTCCCTTTCTGGTGGAAGGCCGGGAAGTTCTTCGGGGAATACATCAGGAAACTCCCTTACCACCTCTACATCCTCAACCTTCTTATCATTTACAACAGTAACTTGAGCAAGAAAGGCTTCACAACCTTCCTTCACTAACCGAAAAGCTTCCAAGGCAGAAAGAAAACCATGAGTCTCCTTTTTCTTAATGCCTCGGAATACAACAGGACCTTTATCAGGTGTGTTAAATAACACTTCTTTCTTTTGACAATCCACAACAGCTCCATGTGTTGCCAGAAAGTCCATTCCAAGGATGACATCAAATTCATCAAAAGGTAGCAGAATTAAATCTGCTGCTAGGAAAGCTCATTCCACACAAATGAAGGAACTTCTAATAACTGAGTCTACCTTCAAGGTATCTCCCACAGGTGTTTTAACACATAAGGTATAACCTAGCTTATCTGGAACTAAGCGTAGCATATGTGCAAATGTATATGACATGAATGAGTGAGAGGAACCAGTATCGATCAAAGCATATAATTGCTTTCCAAGGATAGAAAGCATACCAGTCACAACTTATGGTGCCACTTCTGCCTCACCTCGAGTCATTGCATAAACCCTCGGTGCTCCCTATGCTCTGGTACCCTGCGTACCACTTCCTGATGGCTGATTACGACCACCACCTCTACCACCCTGTGAACCACCACGACCACTCTGAAATCCACTACGGCCTCCCTGGTAACCACCCCTGAATGGGGCTCTACTAAATTGCACTGAAGGCTCGGATTGTGTAGCTCTTACTTCTCTCGAATGCGGGCAATCCCTCATGATGTGCCCAGGTTGGCCACAGTGAAAGCATACACTAGAAAATCTCCTACACTCTCCAAGATGCCTCTTCTGACAAACTTGACAAAATGGAAATTGTGTTGCTGAGGAAATTGGTGCCCTGTATGATGTTCCCGACATAGATTGACTATGTGTTCTCCCAACACTGCTAGGACCTCTCCTGTGTGGGTAACGAGGTCCAGCATAACTCTAGAGACTGAGGACCACCAGCTCCTCGCGTACCCCTTTAGGAGAAAAACAACATATTGTACTTTTTCCTATGGGGTCGCACAAAGATATTCAAACACATCTTCCATCTCCCTCAACCACTCTACCACAGCATCCGGACTCACGTCTCCTTTAAAGTCCCTACCACCCAAACTCTTCATCTTTGCATAGTCTAATACTGGCGGTCTTGCATCAACCGCCCCCACTCCTCTCGACTGGTCAGTAGGAACATTTTCACAACTTCCGTGCGAGCTACAAGGAAATATTGGCCTTAGATTGATCCACACAAAATTCATTCCTCACCAAATCTCTCACTTGGTTAAAACGAAAATTTTCCAAAATAATTACTTGAAAACAAATAAGTTCAAAACTCAATTTTGTAAACCATGATGCAGGTAATTTCATCCAATATACCAATACACATAATCATGTAAAACTCAATTTCCAGTTTAAGTCATTATGGGGTACTCCCCTCCTTAGGAGTGTTTAACCTCCCATAGGGTATAGTACGCCATAACAGCAAAAAGAGGGAAACCGGGCTCTGATACAAAATTGTAACACCCTACCCTATACGTTTTGCCTAATCATATTGTTTATACAGTTACGGTGGAAATAATCTCGGGTGTTACATTAATTATCAAAATTTACCAAAATAAAATTTCGACATGAATTAATCGCGTAATGGGCTAACAGTTCTTGCAACTTATCCTGCAAAATAATACATCACAAACATATATACTCACAACCATATGCATTGGCTTTTCTTAGCCATAGTCACACTTTCATACTCCACAACTGCACACCATACTTATACATACCATAATCGTCACAACTTACACAGTTACACAACATATACACATATCATCAACTTTCCACACCTGTGGATATCTCACACTACATCAGAAGCTAGTATGCACATGAAAAACGTTCTCAAAACATTTTTACAAAAAGGTGTGGATCACTGGCCAAAATCCCGAGTAGTAGTCCAAGCACAGAATGGTTGAAGACCATACCTCATCTTGCCTTCAACTCTTGCTCAGCTCCTACCTATACACCTATCTACTACTGCTGATGATCTGCTTACACATGGCATAAGCAGAGAAGAAGAATAAAAGAGGGTCAGCTCATAGCTGAGTGAAATAATCATAGCATCGTGAGTTCATAACAGAGCATACCCCTACCATACATCTAGCAAACAAGCCAAAGCACTAGGATCAGACCTCAGGCATCTGACATCCCAATAGGCAAAAGACTCAACCACCTCGACTTATGCATATGCATCTTATCATGTTTTACTTATAGGCGCCTGGCTACTCCCATGCTAATAACTCTCCCGGGAAACATACCCCACATCCCGCCGGATGTAGTCATACATACCCCAACATCCCGTCGGATGTGGTCATACATACCCCAACATCCTGTCGGATGTGGTCATACATACCCCACACCACTATGGGTGTAGTCATACCCCGACACCGCTCTGGGTGTGGTCATATCTCATAAGAATTCTTCAGTCACCACCACATGCGAGGTGTGACTATCATACATATCATAATAGAGTAATAGCATAGGGAGCCCTAATTACTATGTAGTTGACCGTGAGACCACAACACTCATATTTGGTATCCTTATACATGATTCATATCTCATCTTGCTTAATCATAATTCATTACTTGCACATGTACTTGACCTGGCCATAATTGGCTCAACATAGGTAAATCAGGAGTCGTATAATTGCACTTCCTCGGGATACACCCTCGTGCAAGTCATCCTCCTTAAACGTCATAATATCACCAGGGAATATATATTTTCCCACATGTGCATCCAAATACAACAATCATGAAAAATCATACTCAATCACCTTTTCGAACCATCATAAGGCATATCCACAGTCAAGCCCACAATTTGCAACATATACGAAATCATCAGCATAAACAAGGTCCATATCGGCTAGGGCAAGTCAATAATATCATACAACAATCCATGATTCATCATATTGCCTAAAAGTCCATACACCCCTAATCATGCCATTCTAGTTCACCTAGATCAATTCTAAGCATCAATATAATTATCGTGATACGAAAAACCCGGTATGCCGTGCTAATCCCTCACCAGTTCTGGTCGTTCAAACACCGGTTTAACCTTCCCGTACTAAAACGTCAATTTCTCAAACGAACCCCGAATTAAAATCCGAGACCATCCTAATATCCCCTGCAGTATCCCCGTCAATATTAGTTCTAGGCTCCGGGTCAAATTCTTGATAAAAACACATCAAACCCTGGCCGGAGCTAAATTCAGCGGTTTGGACCCCGGCCTAAATAATAGCCGAAATTCAGGAATTAGAACTAGAGGATTGATTACCTCGCTGCAGGAAGCTCGTATATGAAATTTGGGCTCAATCCGGCTTCCGGATACTGCGAAACCCTAATTTGGCTTATCGGGAATTCAAGAAATTCTTGAACCAAAAACTCGTTTTAAAACTCTAAATCGATAAATCACGATGTATAGATGAATTAGGCATTACTTACGGGATTTTTGGATCACTAGGGTTCAAGAATTGAGTTGTGAAATTTTTCCCCACGCGCTCCGTGCGCGGCTCTGCTTCTCTGCTATCTCTCGGTGAAGAAAAAGAAAGAATAAAACGATGATGAGGGGAAAGAAAATGGACCGGCCGCTTAATATATATATATGGTTCAGGCTAGCATACACCTGGCGGATGCTATACACATGTGTTCACATTTATTAATTAATATGAATTTAAATTAAAATAATTGTTACTAACTATTATAATTACAGTAAGATCCACTATTTTTTTTATATGAGTCGTACAGACCTTCCTTTTTTTAATTCCGACTTTCTTAATTCAACATCGGCAGATCGGATCCTCTCGCTCTTCCCTACCGACAGTGGAAGAAAAAATTGAAAAAGAAAGATCCAAACATCGATGTTACGGCTTGCAATAAACGGATTAGTGTTCTCAGTCTCGTCTAATGGTTCACTCTTCTCCACGATGAAATCGTTGCCGAGCGCAGCCCGATTGCTCCTCTCCGCTTGGACCTCTCAGATCCCACCGACTTCGCTTGCCAGGCGTACTTTCAGAGCATTTGCCTGCCGGACAGTGTGGATGAAGAGTACGTGGCCAGCCAGACGCGGGCTGCTCTCCTCCGTTCGGAATGGAGGATCCTCAACCACCTGATGTGCACTTCTTACACACCCAGCCAGGGCTCGTCCAACCGGGTCACACTCCGGACTCTTTGGTTGTTGCATGCGATGGGTCGTTCTGAGGATACCATCCAGCTGGGCTCTGTGCTTGCCCGGACGTTCACTAAGGCAGCCATCAGCACGACTCGCAGCCTCGTTTGTGGCCCGGTGATCACCGCCTTTGCCCGCAACTACGGGGTGGACTACACAGGGATGACATTGGTCCGCGGACCAACCCCACTCGGCGAGCCTACTCTCCGCCACCAGCACTTGGTTGCTCGCCACGGGCGTGTGCGCTGGATCGTGGGCCTTCCTCAGCCACCTATACCTGCAGAAGGCGACCAGGCCGAGTCGAGCGCCGCTGGTGGGCGCCGCGTTCCCCTTCGTGCCCAGGCTCCCGCGAGCCCCTCTCCTGCTCCCCGGTCTCCTTCTCCAGGGTCACCTCCTCCAGTGGTGGTGCCCATCTCCGACCAGCTGGAGGCGATCTCGCAGCAGAATGAGCGCATCCTGGCCGGCTAGGAGCGCATCCACACCCGCCTTGATCGTGAGCGGGACCGAGGGCGTCGTCTCATGTCGGGGCAGCACTACATCATGTCCTACTTGGGCTTGGACCCGAACGCGGTCCACTACCCGTTCGTGCAGTCCCCAGGGTTCGAGGATGAGTACCCTCCACCCACCGGCGATGGTGGTGATACCTTCTAGAGCGGGTTTTGTGCTTCCTTTGTTTTCCAGACTGAGACTCCGTGTTTTGTGGTATTGTTTTTTTTATCTTGGATTGTAGACTTGGTACTCTGATTCCTATCACCCAGTGTGTGTGTTTTTGTTGTCTCTAGCTCTGTGCCTCCTTCTTTTGACTGGTCCGCCATCCAGTCAACGTTCCTGACCACTGTTTCACGGTAACATCGTTCCCCTTCTCTCTGCTCCATTGAGGACATTGTCGCGTTTAAGTGTGGGGGGGTTCTTTGTATGAATTGGAACGTATTTATGTGTGCTTGGAGCCTAGTCCACTGTCCAAATCTTGAGATTTGAGGGCTCCAAGCACGGCTGTTTGCTTGATGATTGATCGTATTGGCACTGTGGATGTGATTAGTGAATTGAATGGCTTTTGACTTGATACATGACAACTTGAGTGTGACTTAGACAACTTATTGTGATGACTGAGATGTGCACTAGAATTGTGTAGGGGTTCAGTTTTTCAACTGTCTGCTCACCAAATGTGACTTGGTTTGATCACTTGCTTTTGACAGCCATTTATGCATCTAGTTCAGGGAATCAGAATGAGAGATAGAGCATATAGGTAGCCATGTGAGATTTGAGCATGCTCGTTTCTTTCTTGTGCGATAGTTCCCTCTTCCATGATGTGCAGCATTCACGTTGTCATTAGCTAAGATGATGGAGGCATAGGATTAGCCCACAACCAAATTGACTGTCCTGGTGTGTCATACCCCTAGTCAGCCCCTTTGAGCCGTGTGTTTTCTTTCTTTCGGTCTTCAATGAAAAGTCACCCTTTTGCATCTTTTAGAAGGTTCCACAGAGTGATTTTTACATGTTCCCTGCTGTTTCTGCTAAATGTAATGTGAGGGTTGGAGGTAGTGCTTAAAAGTTGGGCAGGTGTTTGAAATGTGCAGAGGCGGTGGTTCTCTTATGAAATGAAAAACATAATGAGAAAAAAAAAATGAAAGCAAAAGAGAGCCACCACCAAAATTCTGAATAATGCCCATGTAGTAGTGTTTCTTAGCAGTCTGGCTTAGAAATACTAGCATTTATGTAACCTCCTTCGCTCTTGTGCTCTGAACTTGAGTAATGCAGAATAGCAAAACGAAAGTTATTGGTTTGATTGATTGTGAGTCTGTTGGGTTTGGAAATGTGGAACCTTGTGCTGTATGAATACTTCCACCACCTAAAAGGCCTTTTCCCCATGTCCAAGACCCTAGCCAGTCATCTGAACCTGTGTCTAAGACCTCCGGATTAGTTAGTGATGACACCCCATATGTGAACTCTAGCACTTAGAGGCTGCATTCATGATGAAGAGATGTTAGGGATTGAGAGATTAAGCATGCGCATTTTTTGCATCATATTGTCCTGACCCCACTGGTCGAGAGTGAGCGATTCATTTTCTCTTATTCTCTATACTCTTTATCCCGGTGAGGACCTAGATTGCTCGGTCTTAATTCTGATATCTTGAACTTTGTGCATGATGTGACTGTTTTGAACAAGTGGTTGAGTCAAGTCTATGTTGGTTGGTGAACAGAAGGGAGACTCTTCTTTTGTTCGATTTTACTGCATTCGAATGTCATCTGTGGTGGTTGTCTAGGTTGTCATTGAAGTTTTCCATGTGTTACTGATCGAAAGCCAGTATGATCCACGTGTTTTGTGCCGATATGTCATGCCTTGTTGTTTTGAGCTTACCTTGTGTCTGACTTGGTTTGCTTGGGGACAAGCAAATGGTTAAGTGTGGGGGAATTTGATAACGATGTAATTGCACGTATTTGCACCCCTAATTCTTATCCGTTTGAGAGGCATAGTCGTGTATTTTGGCCAATTTTACGCCGGGTTGTGCTATTTTGTCATATTTCAGGTCCCAAGCGTCAAAGGAAAGGCTAAGCACGAGTTTCGGGGCATTCGGAAGTCATTTCGTCGAGCTGGAGCCAAAACACGGGCAGACCTAAAACAGAACACGGCCGTGTTCTGTGGCCGTGCTTTTACTGCCGAGAGCAAATTCGAGTTTGGCAAATATTGGCTAAAAACACGGGCTGAAAGCACGGCCGTGTCAACCAAAGCACGGCCGTGTCCTCTCCAAAACACGCCCTTGTTTCCCCCATTCCACTGGCCGTGTAATTAACCCTAGCCAAAGCACGGGCGGGCTGAGGCATTACACGGCCGTGCCCTCGACCGTGCTTTGGCCACTGATGCCCTTTTAAGTAGATTTTCAGCCAAAGAGATGGGGATTCGAGTTTTAGAGAGACAGAGCGATTCCTAGAGAGAGAAAGTGACGAACAAGAGTCTCCAAGTGCCCTAGCTTGATCTTCATCACCATTGGAGGCCAGTTTGAGCTTGGAGAAGTGCCGATCAACGTCCAGGAGCAGGAATCCATCCTTCACAGTATGAATTCCGCGTCTGATTCTGCTTTTGCTTCTTTCTCCATGGAGTAGTTCTCCCATTCATCTGGGTATGGAGAACCCTAGATTTGTATGTTAGGCTTTGATTGTATGAACCCAAGTACTGATTCTATGATTTGATTATATTCGATTGAGGTTTGATTGATTGAATGACTTGAATCCTGATCAAATTCCTGTTGTTTCTGCTTTAACCTAGAATGAGAATATCTGCCTAGGTTGATAGAGCATCCTTGATTGAAGGTAGGGAGTTGGTGACTTTAGTCGAGGAGCCAACTCACTATTCTGTACCGGATTTACTCCGGTAGTGGAGGTTTTGTTTGTTAAGGCCTCAATCTGTTTACTCCGGTGGAGGTTAGTCGCCCGCTAGAGATTCAGATTGAGAGGGTCTGAAGACCTTTAGTCGAGACTTCAGGCTGTTTAAGAACCTTCCGCAGTATAACTTTCATAGAAACTGAACTTGGTAATTGCAATCCGCCTTAACTACAGTCTAGGGGGAACCATATCCGGGTGACCTCTCTTAACCTGAATACAACAGTTTACTTGCTTTGTTAGTTTGTTAGTTTAGACTTGCATTAAATTTTCATTGCTAGATAACAAGAATTCACTAAGTAGTCATCAAATCTAGGACCCGGGTTGACATTTAAACCCAAACCCGCTATACTACGCTTTAGGAAGTGGTTTCACTTGGCCAATTCCTGGAGTGACAGTAGAAGTGAGTCAGGGGGGATGTTCGATTATGTATGCGGGTGAATGTTTGGTTGTTTGTGTGCTTGGAGCCTAGTCCACTGTACAAATTTTATTTTAAATTTGAGGGCTCCAAGTACGTGTTTCCTTGCAAATTGCCTGCTCAGTATGCTTTGAATTGACAGTCTCTATAGTAATGTGCAACCTAGGGAGGTAGTGTAGCACTATGGAGGATGTTGAAGTATAAGATTTTTCCTATCTAGCTCTCTGCTGTGTCAGTTGATTTTGTGAATTAGTGGAGCTAAGACCGTTTCATGTGGTAATGTGGACTCTGTTTGAATTGTGTTATGGACTCGTGTATTGAACATGGTGCTCATGTGGCAAATGAAAAGCAGTTGGTCCTCCTTGTCGAAATCATCAAAAATCTTAAACATGGGGTAAGCCCAACGTGTGTGGCACCATTCATTGCACAAAATCGGGTTTTGGAGGAGATTTTAGTGATCCTTAGTGGGGTACTCCTACAAGGTGAAGCTAAGCTGTCTCCAGTACAAGTAAAACTTCCACCCGTTGAACGGTTTGCCTACTTGAGGGCATGGATAGAGCTTCCGACCCCCCTTGATTTCATTGACCCTCCACACGAGTTGAGGAAAAGGAGTTAAAAGAAGTACTTTGGCAAGCGCTAGATGTACAAAAATTGCTCTTGCTCGCCTAATAAGGGTCGACCGTGCAAAAGACTGCAGTTGGAACCCCCGCCAAGTGAATGAAGAAAAAAAGAGAAAAAGAAATGTAAATGAAAGTGCAAAAAGGGGTTCCAGCGGTGAAATGAAGTGAAAGAGCACCCCGGTACAACGAGTCCTTGGTTGTGAATGGTGTTAGTCCCTTTGTCCATGAACTGACTTTCTTACTTCTACTTCTTCTCATGTTCCTGGCTTGAGTCTAGTACTCGCATTGAGAGAGATAGGGGACGTCTTAGAAGACCAGTTGACCTCGTAAGCTGCTATATGATCTAGGAAATCCTCTACCGACGATCGGGGTTGTTTGTTGCTATAGAGTTCTGGAGAGCTGCATTGGTTTGAGTTAGGTTTGCTTGGGGACAAGCAAACAGTTAAGTGTGGGGGATTTGATGACTCGGTATTTGCACATGTTTTCCCCTTTGTTTCTTGATTGTTTGAGCTTGAATTATTGCGTCTTTGTCCTATTTTATGCTAGGTTGTGTTCCTTTGTCACATTTCAGGTCCTAGCACATAAAGTGAAGCATAGGCGCAAGTTTCAAATCAATCAGAGATCAATTGACGATTCGGGAGAAGAAACTCGGGCATGACCTGAAGAAGAATGGATTTCTACCTTACTTTATGGACAAATAATCATGCAAGCTTATCATGAAAAGAAATAGGACAAGACTAAGAGCGTCTGGGATCAAACGGGGACTGATTTGGAGTCCGTACGAGGGAGAAACGAAGCATTAAACAGAGGCTGAGCAAGCCACACGGGCATCCTGGAACTCCACACGACCGTGTGGGTCGTGGCCGTGTGAAAATCACCGAGCCTTCACACGGGCAGCTAGGAAAGCCACACGGCCGTGTGGCCTGGCCGCGTGATCAGGAATTTCTATTTAAAACCCGATTTTCAGCAAAAGGAAAGGGGAGAGCTGGGTTTTTGGTTCCCAAACACCCAAGGGACGAACCCTAGAGAGAGAGCAACTTGGGAACATTCTTGGAGATATTTTGGAGGATTTCTTCGCCATTGGAGCTCGGGAATCAATCTTGGAGATGGAGATTGAAGATCTAGATCATATTTCTGCAGTCTCTCTTCTCTATGGAGTAACTTCCCTTCACTTAGGTTTTGAGGAACCCTAGTTCCATGTGTTAGGATCTTTCTTGTATTAAGTTTTGGATGCTATATTGTTTGATTATAATCGATTGAGGCATGATTTATTGAGTCAATTGAATCTTGATCAAATTCTCTTGATTTCTGCTTTAACCTATGATAGATAGAATCTGATTAGCTTAAGAGAGCTTCCTTGATTGATAGTGGTGAAGTGGTTGTGCGAGAGTCAACTAATTCACTGCTTTGTACTGGAATTCATTCCAGTAGTGGAGATCTGTGTGAATCGCCTTAGTAGTCTATCCCGGTGAAGGCTAGTCGCCTGCCGGGTATTCTGTCTAAGAGGGCTTGGTCAGCTTAAGAGATTCCAAACTAATTTAGGATCTTCCGCAGTTTAATCAACAGTAGACCAACCAAAAGTAATTGCAACTTGGACCTAATTGAGGAGCTAGGGGGAATCATACCTAAGTGAGTTCCCAACTTGTAATTAGTAGAGTAGTCAGTAGAGTAGTTTATAAATCAATCCTTAATCTAGTTTGCTAGATAATGAACTGAAGCTGAGTAATAGTAACTCTAGAGACCCTTGGATTCGATATTTATTACTTGTGCCACTATACTGCAGTCCCTTTCATTGTTACACTTGGCCATTGTTAGGTGTTGTGTCGTAGCGAGTCACCAGTCTATACTCATAATCATAAATTGCAAATAACTAGGTAGTCTCTGTCGTTGCCGCTACTGAAAATCTTAACTAGGCATCCTCCGTGACGCTTACACTGCCTTTCTCTAGCTGGCTTCCCTTGAACTTGCTGCTCACTAACTACGCCTCTAGCTCCTTCTCTAGCTCGTCAAACTGGTGAGTGAGATGGGGTCAGTCTACGCCCTTACGTTTTAAACTTTTTAATAAATTTTTTTTGCACTTCTTCTCAAACACTTAAACTCAAACAGAGGGAAGTTGTTTGTACTTCCATTCTTAAAAATCTTAACTCTTAAAACTGTATGGGAGTAACTATTACTCTCCGTTCTTAAAGCTTAAATCTCAACTTAAATACTTGACTGACACTGGGATCCCCCACTAGCTAGTCTGGTTGCCAACTCATACGTATGAGAAGCCATCAAGGCTTTCCTTAAACTTAAACTTAGTTAGGGAAGTCGTAACGATTCATCCCCCTAACATCTTAAACTTATCGTGGTGGCTCTTCACCACGATTCCCAAGAGCATAACTGCTGCTCATCTTAAATATCTCAAGAGCATAACTGCTGCTCTGTCTCAAAGATCTCAAGAGCATAACTGCTGCTCTATCTGAAAATCTCAAATGGCAACAGACTAGCGCTAGTGACTAAAAACACTTAAAACGACTTCACCTTCTTGAAGGTGAGTTACTTCTTAAAAAGAACTTGTTTCTTAAACTCTAACAATAAATTAAACATAACGCTTTAATGTAAATAGCACAAAATCACCTTAAATCACATCAAATAGCACAAATCACCTCAGACCATAACTCAAGCAAAGCACAAATAATCAATCATGCATATAACCAAGCAACGGTAACCAATTCGCTAAAATACTTAAAAGAATACGTAAGGCGTAGAATTTACCCCCTTAACACTCACCTGACTGTGTAGCTAAAATCCATCGGCTTCATGAACTAGGTACTCCAAAATCCATCGGCCTCTGTCTCTATGAGGCAAAATATCAAACACCTTAAGCTCAATTATGTTACCTCCTTCTTGGTGTCGTAAGCTTGACTACAGTCAATATGCCGGTATCCGTATACATTGGAAAACAGAGAAGCCACTTATGCATCAGAAATTAGAGAAGCTCCCTATGCATAAAAACCATTCGAGGGGACGAAGAAGAGGGGAAATAGACAGCGTCAGAAGCGGAATGAGTTACCGGCAGATTTGGGCATGAAGCGAAGGGAGATGAAGATGTAGCGACAAAGCTGAGCTCCAAAATTGAAAAAGCACTGGCGAGTCGATCCATATTCCTTCATCGTCTTCTGCTGCTTAGGATTTCTAGCTTCTCATCTCACATAGACTGAATCTATCGGCAAAGCTCACAGCTATGGACCTCGCTTCGCATTCGACAATAATTTGGGATTTTTGTGCTATGGAAGGAGAAGGGGAAGAAGATAGAAGAGCGGTGTGGAGCTTGACTTGGGATTTGTTTTCTTTCGATCCGAGAGCAATTTGCTTTCGGTGGAGAATTAATGCGAGGGTTTTATGGTGAGACCGAGTGGGTAGGGTTCTAGGGTTTTAATTAGTCACAGGGTTATTTGTGGAAATTCACACTTGCGGGTGAGTTTAATCCGAAACTCAATTAATGTCCGTAACCTTCTCATTTTATGTCGAAATTCGACACCGCTTGAACTGATAGTTCACATTTTAATTCCTCCTTGACATTACGGTGAAACTTGACCCAAGGGTATAATATTCATTTTGACTTTTGGGAAGAGCGGGGTGTAACAGCAGAAATAACACTTGAACAGCAGCAGCAGCAGGAATTTCTTCAAATTCCAACTGCAGAGAATACACAAAAGGAGCTTGGGTTGGCTGCTTTGTGCCATGATTTGCAGCTGGCAGAGGAGAGTTTCTTCAGGTAGAAGTCAAGAATTAAAAATATACAGGAAGGTGATGCAAACACATCATATTTTCATGCAATGGTGAATATTAGGAATCATAAGCATACCATTATGAAGCTGATTAAGGATGATAATACGGAAGTGACATATGTTAAGGAAATGGGGGACGAGGCTGTTAGGTTTTATAAAAACCTTTTAGGGGAGGTTGATAAGGAAGTTCAGATCCTTCCAGCAGCAGTTGAGGAAGAGGTTAGACTCAGAAGGTGTCCAAATTTTGTTGACTCCAGTTACAAGGGAGGAGAGCAGGGAGGTGTTTAAAAAGATGCCAAATGATAAAGCCCCTGATCCGGACGGCTTTAATGCTGAGTTCTATAAATCAGATTGGTATGTTGTTGGAGAGTTGGTGGAGGAGGTGATTCTGGAATTTTTTCAAACAGGTGTAATGCAACAGCAGGTAAACTCCACTATTCTATCTTTAATACCTAAAGTGGTTAATGCAGATAGAATGAAAGATTTTAGGCCCATCTCCTGTTGCAATGTAATCTATAAAGGCGTATCTAAAATCCTATCCAATAGGTTAGCAGCTGTGCTTCCTCAGGTTATATGTAAATCTCAGTCAGCTTTCATAAAAGGGAGGTTAATTAGTGACAATATTCTGATGGCTAGTGAGCTAGTAAAAGATTATCATATGAAGAATACTACATCTAGGTGTGTGCTGAAAATCGATCTAATGAAGGCTTTTGACTCGGTGAGTTGGTCTTTCCTGTTTAACATGATTCTAGCTATGGGATTTCCAGAATCATATGTTAAGCTTATAGAGGCATGTGTTACCACTCCTAAACTCAGTGTCTCTTTTAATGGAGGTTTATGTGGCTACTTTTCTGCTGGTAAGGGACTCAAGCAAGGGGATCCCCTATCACCATATCTGTTCATAGTGGCAATGGAGTACTTCTCATGTTTAATACATAGAGCAGTTGTTGATAATCAAGTTCCATATCATCCACGTTGTAAAGCACTAGAGATCACTCATCTATGCTTTGTAGATGAACTTCTAGTGTTTACAAATGGATCCATAAGAGGGGTGGCTGGTGTACAGAAGGTGCTAGCACAGTTCTATGTTGAATCTGGTCTTCGATGCAACCCTACTAAATGTCAATTGTTTTGATGTGGTCCCTGAAGAAGAGAAGCAATGGATTTCCTCTTTATTGGGTTTCCCCTGGGGAGTCTGCCTGTTTGTTATCTTGGATGCCACTTATTTTAGGTAAACTCTCATCCGCTGACTGTTTAGTGCCTGTTGATAAAATAACAAAGAGGATAAGGGCTTGGCAAGCAAAGAAGCTTAGTTATGCGGGTAGATTGCAACTAGTGTCTCTGTTATAACTAGTATTATGCAATACTGGATGGCCTTGTTCCTAAAACCACAAAGAATACTAAAAGATATTGAAAGAATATGCAATCAATTCTTGTGGGGTGTTGGAGGTTCGAATCTAAGAAAGAGATCTTTGGTTGCTTGGGATTTTGTGGCGCTGTCAAAGAATGAAGGAGGTTTGGGGATAAGGGATTTTATAAAATGGAACCAGGCTTGTGTAGTCTGCCACATCCGGAATCTGCTAGCTGAATCTGGATCTCTGTGGGTAGCGTGGTTAAAGAAATATCGTTTAAAGCTTAAATCCATATGGGATGTAGCAGTTCAGTCAGCAAGTACTTGGACCTGGCGGAAAATTCTTAAAAGTAGAACTGGAGTAAGGCCTCATATATCTACCAGTGGTGTAACACTTGCTTGGGATGGTAAGATCTTGCCAAAATATTCTGTTAAGCTTGTCTGGCAAACTATCAGGGCTCCTAAGCCTTTAGTTGATTGGCACAAGGTTGTTTGGGGGAAGCCATATAGCCCAAAGCATAGTCTGTTATTGTGGCTTGTCATTCTTAATCGGGTTGTCACAAAGGATAAGTTGCAAAGTTGGGGTCTTGCTGGTGAAGTTTAGTGTGTTCTTTGTCCAGGTGGAGAGGAGTCAAGAGATCATCTATTCTCTATCTGCCCATACAGTAGGCATGTTTTATGCTCTATTCTGTCTCGCTTTTGTAGTGCCCTTGTCTTTAGTTCATGGCAGGCACATCTAACCTGGGAAACAAGGCTGTGGAATAATGGAGTAGGGAAGAAAGGTGAAGGACGATTGAGGTGGTTTTTATGCATTAGTTATCTGTGGAGAGAACGTTGTTGTAGGACTCATTATGCTGTGATTTGTTCCCCCAACATGCTGGCTAGACGAATTGAAGAGGAAGTTAAATTGATACTTGCTGCCAAACCTTGCTGATGTAAATGATGCATAGATAGCGTCTCTTGTTCTTAGCAGTTTTGATCTTTGAACTGTTGCTATTTCCTTTACGGGTTGTACTTGGAGAGGGGGTTTGCGGTTTGCAACCCTAGTGCTTAATCCAATTTTTGATTAACCATAAAAATATTGCATTGATTTTATTGATGTAGGACAAGTGTTCAAAGAGTATTTTCAGCTTTGGGTTACATCAAGAACAAGCTTAACAATCGAATATGCGATACCGAAATCCACCACAAACAAAATTTGAATGCATTTAGAACGTGCAAACGAAAAGTTCTCACCCTGTTCACAAATCAATACAAGTCTCGACATGAATACGCACCAACCACAACTAAGCATACATAATAGAACATACATAGACAATTTTTTTGAGCAGTATAGACACCAAGTGTATACTACAATTATTCGAAATATGAAAACACATAGTGAACTTTTAGGTATTTTCTTATTTAATAATCAATTAATTATTATTATTATTATTGATTTTTATTAAATTTATTTATTTTAAGAGGACACTCCTATATAAAATTTCTCGGTCCACCACTGCTGTTAGTATGTATATACTAATGTGCATGTTTGTTGTTTCGATGCATTTATAATGGTTCGTATTTTGTTGTTTTTGTGCACCGAAAACAAAGAGAGTAGTGATGGAAGTTTTGGTTTATGTATATAACGACAACGGACTAGGTTCGGGTCCTTAAGTCTATTGACTTAAGAATTATCTTAAGTCATTTCTATTGGTTGATAATAATTTAGGTAGTTAATAGATTATTAGTAGTTAATTGGTGGTTAGAGGTAATTAAGGTAATAATAACTAATTAATTAAAATATTAAAAAAACATAATTACGACCACACTCATCAGTTACCTCCCTAAGCCCTATTAAATGGCGTCCTTGTCAAGTGTGTCAAAACGCAAAATCCCACATATTCGCCTCCGCAAGCATTTCATAATGAGAAATCGTTAATAACGTTATTGTAAAGCATTGATAAGTATTTTGAAATCATTAATAATGTTAGGTAAAAATTAATTTCATATACTCTAAGAATGACAATGTAAATCGATAATAATTGATCACCAAATGTTAATAATATTATTAGAAGTCATTTTAAGAGGTCATGATTGACTAGTTATGGACATGATGTGAAAACATGAATCATTAGTAAAGATATTGTAAATCAAATATAATGTTATTCAAATTATTAATAACGATGTGACATAATTTTAATAATTAATTCTTAAGCGTTGATGATAAAAATATTTATAGGTAATAGTCTAATGTCATTTTTTAATGTTGAAGCCAATTATTACTAACATTTTTCTTTTAATTTTTAACATAATACAATATTATTTTGAACTTTTTAATGATATATGATACTTAACATTGAATTTGGTTATTATTAATAATTTTGTGTTGGTTTTCAACGAAATTCAATTTTCTTTTCAATGACATGCTCATTCATTATTAACCGTTTTCATTACATGTATTAACAGTTTGATGTCATTTTTAATTGTAATATATCATTGTTAATATATTTTCTTTAGTTTTGAACGTAATACAACAATCATATGTACTTTTTGGTTGGTATTTGATACTTAACATTGAGTATGAACATTATATTTTTGTGCTTGTTTTCAACAAAATACAATTTTGTTATCATTGATCGATGAGAACAATAATGTAAACCGATATTAGTTGATTGCAAAACGTCAACAATGTCATTGAAAGTCGTAATAAGAGGCAATGATTGGCTAGTTATAAACATGACATGAAAACATGAATCGTAAAAAAGATGATGTAAATCTATGATAACTTTGTTTAACCCTTTAATGACAATGTGACATAACTTTAATAATTTTTTTATAATTGTTGATGATGGAAATGTATATCGTTAGCAGTTGAACTAAAATCGTAATAGTATAATTGTAAAACATTGACAAGTATATTAAAAATGTTAATAATGATGAGATATATAAATAGCAATTCATTTCATAAACATTGATAATGAAATTGCAAATGTCAATCATGTCATTGTAAGTTGCCACGGAAAGAGAATGTAGGCATTCTAAATTTAAAATTTCCTTTTCTTAAACGTAAAATATTAATTACGAATTTCCATTTTAAAACCAAATTTTATTAACTATAAATAATGATATTTAATTAATATACCTTATTTACCATTTTAGGTGGTTAGACCTCAATTTCTCTCTCTTTATACTATTGGCCAATACAAACTTAAGAAATTTCTTAAGTTTTAGGTTTAAAGACGGAATCCAACCCGGTTATACAACTAACAAGGTTGTCTCTCGCAATCTACTTTCTGGAACTGTCCCGACCCATGACAAGACAGGTGATTGATCTGCTCGATCTGCTTTTATTTCCTTGATTACATTAATTAAGTAGTGTTGTCTAATAATTGGTATGTATGTTATCTTGTGGAGGGACAGAGCTGATAGTTGCAACTTACAACCATCATTCAAGACCCCAAATCAAGCTCGCCCATTCCTCTGAATTAATTAATCCCATCATAGTATCAACCGGATAAGCACCAATCTCATCCACCATAATAACCAAACCGTTGATTTGGGCTATGTTCATCTTTGTATGGTTATTCAGTAGTGTTTTGGTTTAAGATTGATTATGGGTGGCCTGGCCACTCACCACCAATCATGCATGCAATGCAATCGATAAAAGGGCTGAAATGGGTAAATTAATATGTATCCCATGGTTCTAGTTATTACGCCTTTCAATTTTCTCTGCGTTTAGTGACTTGAATCCGATCCGATTGTGGAGGGAAATATGAAAGTATGGAAGCATCATTACATTGTCCTTTTATCTTTCGGTTTGGTGCTGTGGTCAGTGGGTCGATATGTGGCAGGCAACTGTGCTTTACTTGCTGGAGACGACAGACGAGACACAAACCATTTAACTATTAAGATAAATAAATAAATAATCAATGGCGAATGGTCAATGAGAATAGAACTCGATCCACTCCTACTACTGATCTAATCGAGATGATGGGTCAGCACGCAGCAGGCGGTCAACTAATTGGTGGTTTCTTGAAGTTGTACACATGTACTCATTAGTCATTATTATTACTGACGAGACTGAGGCAGTGGGCCACTCATGATACTCGTCGTCGTGTGGCAGTGATTATCAACTCAATGGCCAAATAAGTTTGAAAACGGGTAAGGGGATGGTGTAAATTTGGGAGGGTGTAAATTTTAGGGGTAAATGTGAAAACTGAGAATTTTCTTGTTTGGATAATTTTGATAAGTATTGGTAGTATAACGCTGTGTTTGGCAACAAGGGGGGTGCAAATTCGAGGAGGGTGCAAGTTGAGGAGTAAATTGCAGGAGGGTGCAAATTCGAGGAGGGTGCAAATGGAGGGGTAAATTGTTGTTTGGATGAAAAAGTAGGGGGGTGCAAATTGATTTATTAAATTTATTAAATATTAACATAAAACACAAAATAAAAATCATTATCTAATAAATAATAATATACTTTAATAAAGATAATTATTAATTAATAATGGTAAAATAATAATTAATTATTTTGTCAAGTAAAATTAAATGGTGTAAAATCTTTATTAATACAAAAATATTAATTAATATAATTTAAAAATTAAAACTAATATAATAATAAATATAATTTACCAACTATCTACTATATCTTATCTCATCCCTTCCCCGTTCTAATTCCAACTTCCAAGTTTCTCTTTCTCCCTTTCTGCTTTTACTTTTCCAATTGCCGCTTCATCATTCTAGTCGCCGCCGACAAGAAGCTTGGCGAGCTGAAAGCCGGTGCCGGAGGTGATTCCTCCATCGATCCGCAGGCAAGAAGATCGAAAACCTAATCCCTTATCTTGATTCACTCTTTCTCGTTCATCGAACAAATCTGGCTTCTCTCTCTGTTGACAGCTGCTTGAGGGGTGGCCGGACGGCGAATCTATAGGAGAATTAATGGCGGCGAATCTGGGATGTTGATGAGAGCACAATCTCTCTCTATCTCTCTCTCTCTCTCTCTCATTTACCTGAATTCAGATTGACCACCAGATTCCGGATCGACAAACAACGTTGCCGTCGAGGAATATAGAAGAGATGGTGGTTGCAGATTCAACTTTGGCGAAGTCCAACTCTGGTGATTTGAGGAAGAGAGTTGAAAGAAAAAAATAAAATAAATGTGTTAAGAGCCTTCACGCTTCCTCTCTCCACTTCCGCCCGGATTTGGGGGGTCAATTAAAACAGTAATTTTGCCCCTACAATCCTCCGCCCCCTACTGTTCCAAATTTGCCAAACGAGTGCAAATGCATCGGGGTTGGCATTTACCCCTGGTCTCTTGCACCCCCCCTCACTTCCCCCTCTTCCCAAACAAAGCGTAAGTGTCAAAACATAGTCCGATCCGATTAACCCGCCTGATCAATCCAACCCGCAATCCGACCGCAACCCGAATTAACTAAAAGTCAACAATCCGTAACCCGCCCGACCCGCAACCCGATTGACCCTTAACCCAACTAACCCGCAACCCGACTAACCCGCAACCCGATTAACCCAAACCCGATTGACCGGCAACCCGACTGACCCGCAACCCGATTAACCTAAACCCGATTGACCCGAACCCGACTAACCCGTAACCCGACCGACTCAACCCGAATTTCATCTAATCCACTTGAATAATTATAAAAATATACAATACATAGTTTTTCAAAATAAAGTTTTTCCTTCTAAACTTAAGTAAAATTATTTTTTTCATTTCGTATAAGAAATTTTAAAAATATGAAACTCACTTGATATTACATATTTTAAGAAAATTACAAAAATTGAAACATGAAGGTCACTTGAGATCATGACAATATTAATATAATATATAAATTAAATTTTGATTAATTTAACTATTCAATAAAATTATCAATTAAATATAAATAAAGTAAAGTAATGTATTTGGTAATTTGATGTTTTTAAAAGAAGAGGGAAATTTTGGTGTATTCAAGTTTTTGGGAAGAGAAAGAAGAGGGAAATTTGGTTCTTTGAATTTTTTCGAAAAGAAACAAGTGGGAATTTTGGTGGTTTTGATATGTGGGAAGAGAAAGAATTGGAAAATTTTGATTTTTTTTATTATGAAAGAGAAATAATGAGGGAAACTTTGACTTTTCAACTTTTTGTAGAAGCAAAGAAGAGGGTAATTTGGTTCTTTCAATTTTATGGAAGAGAAAGAGGAGGGAAAATTGAGTTTTTCTAATGTATGGAAGGAGAAAGAAGGAGGGAAATTTTAGTATTTTTGTGAAAAAAAAGAAGGAAACAAATTTGGTGTTTTCAATTTTTTGGTTTTTCATAATTTTAGCTTTTGAAATATGAATCTTTAACTTTTATATGGAAGGCATGACTAGTTAAAATTATTCTTATATGCTTTGAAGGCTAATATGTATATATGTATGTAATTTTTTATGTGCTAATAAATAAATTAACCATTAGTTACAATAATTTATACTAAACTTGATAAGTAATCTTTGACGGTTTGTTGTTTAGGATATAAAGTATATGGTTAGGGTATAAGGTATAAGGTACATATGGTTTAGGGTGTATATGGTTAGGGTATAAGATATTGATGGTTTTGACGGTTTAAGTTTTTTATTAACATATGTTCACTTGAAGTCATTTGAAGTCTTTAACGGTAGGAGATCCCTTTTTAATTTATGTTTATGGTACGTGGTTAGGGTACAAGGTATGTGGTGTAAAGTATAGGATATATGGTTAGGGTATAACAATTAGCAAATATCACTTTTTATCTATGTTTTGAAAATCAAAGTATGAATTTCACTTTTAATTAACTATACTAGCAAAATCACAACTCAAGGACATATGATTAGAGTATAGGTTATGTGGTTAGTGTATAATGTATTGATGGTTTAGGGTATACCATCAACAACATATACTAACTTAATATTGTTGATTGAGGGTAAAGCTAAATGTATAGGATATATGCTATTGAGTAAGTTATGATTGAAGTCATAATAATTTTACTAAATTTGATAGCTAATCTTTAATGTTTCAATTTTTAGGATAATTCGAACAATTTTACAACAGTTTACTAAAGTTATTTGGGCAATGAGTTATTTTGAAATAACTCATTTTATCACTATGCTTTTGGGCAATGAGTTATTTTGAAATAACTCCTTTTATCACTATGCTTTTGCCAAATACCACACGCCAAATACCAGATTTGCATTGTTATACCAAGCGAGATACTTTAATCCAATTACTACTGAATTAATACTAAAATATCAAATAAACAATTAACGGTGTCTTCTGGTTGCAAATATTGATATCACTATTACTATTAGCTATAATACTTTACCAATTATGATTAATTACATAACAAGTTTGCAAGTCATACAACTTGATTTAACATTTTGATTAGTTTTTTTCAAAAAAATAAAGTATCTATATACGAGGTAGAAATAAATTGGTTAAAAAGTTGAGAAAATATTTTAAATTAGTGTAATAAAATGTGTAAGTTAGTAATGAGTAATGATTTAAGTTACTTGATGCGCTGGTCCGAACAACCCGAAACCCGACCCGCCCGCAACCCGCCCGACCCAAAACCCGATGAACCCGCAACCCGATTTGCCCGCAACCCGATTGAATCGCAACCCGACTAACCCGCAACCCGACTAACCCGCAACCCGTTTGAACCCGAACCCGATGAACCCGAACCCGATGAACCCGCAACCCGACTAACCAGCAACCCGTTTGAACACGAACCCGATTGAACCCAGCCCGAACCCGCTCGATTGACACCTATAATTGGTAGTAGGGATGGCAATGGGTCGGGTTGGGGCGGGTTTTGTCAAACCCAAACTCATGGGTTTATCCACCAAAAAAACTCGGGGTAAAACCCGCTGGGTTTGAAAAACTCAAACCCAACCCAACCCGCTGGGTATCCGCGGGTTCATGGGTACCCGTGGGTTTTTGTGGTAAAAAATTTACAATAACAAGTTTCTTTCAAAATAAAAGTTTAACATCAATTTTCTCATACAAATTATTCATACAAAAAAATACCAATATAGAGAATACAAGCAAACCGCAAATGATCAATACAAATTGTTCAAAATTAAAGATAAACATCTATAAACAATAAGATTAATTAAAAGCTTCTTCCTCATCAACTAAGTTTCTTCACTATCCACTTCTTAATATCAACTTCATTCTAAAGAATTAGAAAGAACAAATTATACATGACTCTACAAACATAAATCAAATTAGTTGTTTAAGAAAGATATATTATTTAGAATATTAAATCTGCCGGGAAAGTAATTATATGTGTGTGGATGGGTACCCATGGGGCGGGTTTACCTAAACCCAAACCCAACCCGACCCGGTGAATAGTGTAGCGGGTTTAAACCCGAACCCGGTCCAAAACCCGTCAACACGGGTTTTACCCCGAATTTTTTTTAACCCTTGACCCACTAGCTCAACCGAGTCCGGGTCAACCTGCGGGTTGACAACCTTGCTGCTATACAAAGGGATCCGACAGCCAACCTGTACGACCATTTTCCAATCACTTTTATTTTTCTTCATTTTGTATAGTTGTGACTTCTAATTCCCTGATTTATTATTGGGTATATTTTATATTGTTAGTTCCTCTTCCTCTTCTATTTGGTTTTCTTAGCTCCCACAATTTTATTTCTTTTGGGTGCAAGAAAAAAAACATGGTCGAGAAAGATGAAGAAGCAAGGGGAGAGCTGATTTACGGAAGCAAAGACTAGAAGGGGCGTTGGTTTTGATTAGAGGTGGAGCCATGAAAGACAAAGGAAGGGGGTAATGGCATTCATATCATTTGTTTTTTGTGATTGAAAACACAGGTCCTTAAACATACAAATTATTTCGTCCAAATTTTTGAATGTTTAATTGAGGGATTTTGGTTCAATTTCTCATAAATCATTCACACCTACGTGCCCCCTCTCCTAAGGACCCCTTAAGCGAAAAAAGGTGGTAGTCCAGTGGTAAATCTCTATTGGAAAATGACTCAGTGATTTCAAGTTTGAATCCTCTGATTAGCTAGCATGGTATCCTCCTTGGGAAGCACCATATCTGGCCAGCTATGAATGATCGGGATCGATGATAGACATCTCGAAGTTTGACACGCTTACACTGACACCAAAATGGCGATTGGGATTGGGTGTTCTTCATTATAAAAAAAAAACACTTAAACATACTTCTAGTCAAGATACAATTTTCTTATCAAAAGAAGGTTTAGTTGCACTTTGTTATGCTTGATTTTTATTATTATATAGAGCATATTGTTTATGGGGTTAATACTCAAACTTTACATAAACATACTACATTGGCTTGTGGTTTATGAAATACCCATCTTGGACTAAACTATACACCATCTAGACTAATTTCGCCAAATCTGAGTGTTGACCGTCAAGTTGGATGGTCAACATACCATATCGAAGCTTCAGTTCCACCCATATCTTCAATTTATCGGCATGGAAGCTATGTCGGCCAGTACGGCGGAGGCGGTTTGCTTACGTTGGCAATTGGGTGGGGCATCTCCTGGGAATTGCCACTACCCAAAACACACCACAAAATCCCCTCAAAATTTCAACCAACAAAATCGAGCATGAACCAAAATTGAGCATTCAACAAAGCTCGCAATTGGGCGACTGCTCGAGTTTCCAAAAATGTTGAGAAGAGACTGACAAGTGAGATGGGTTGCGTTATCAAGGCTGTATAGTGTGCCTCAAGAATGAGAGCTTATGAGAAGGCGCTTAATTTAATAGACGTCGGATGATTTTTGTGCAATTGACGGTATTCTGGATGGTTGGTTTTGAGGAGGTGGTGGCAGGAGGGTGCGGTGGTGGTGGGATGGGTCGATGTAATGAGAGCAGGGGAGGAGGGAGAGGGTTAAAGGGTGGGTCCCGACATACACCCTGCATTGGGAGGGAAAATGATAAATTATGTATTATAGTTAATCGGGTATGAAAAATAACACGCATTTAATTGAGGATCGTTGACCTTTCAAATATTTAATATATGACTTATAAGTTGTGTATTGCCATATTCAATATTTTTATAACGAGTAATGGACAAATGACAATGATGCATATGATCCGCCCAAAAATGAAAATATAATTATTCAATGCAACAAATTTCCACCAAATCATAGCTAATTTGTAAAAAATAATTATTTCAATCAAGGGTAGAGAGAGTGTTGAAAACCAATTTGGGGCTTGATTTTAGGGATTTTGATTTTGAAAATATCAACACAGAGAAGAGGAAACGAGGAGATGAGGAAGAAGACGATGTCTTTCTTCAAGCAACTAGTGGGCTTAAAACAAAGGGAAGCCCAAAACAAATAAAGCAAAAAGCTTGCTCCTGTCAACAACTATAATCCCACAAATTAAATATACCAAACTAAACTACCACTCTGTTTGGGAGGAGGGGTAAATGGGAGGAGGGTGAAAATGTGAGGGGTAAACATAGTTTCCAACACATTTGTACTTATTTGGTTAATTTGGAACAGTAGTGGGGTGCAAAACGGGAGTGCAAATTTACTGTTTCGGCTTACCCCCGAATTGGGGTGCAAGGGAAGGAAGGAAGAGAGGGGGAGGGGGGAATTATGGAATGTTGTTTTTCTAATTGTGTTATATATAATTATATAATAATTAATATTATCAATTTCTTTTTTTTATAAATATCATTAATGTAAACATTATTCGGGGTTGACAATTTGACTCTGGAAACAAGTTTATCAATGTTCGTCAAGTCAAATCTAGATCTCTTGGTTGAATCGAATTTGCATTGAAAATTAGAGATACGAGGTGTTTGTGGAAAAGATAGAGAGAAATTGTTTGGTTAACTCAGTTTATTTGACTAAATAGTTAAAACTTACAAATTCGAACGTGTTTGACTAAGTTTGACAATTTAAGATTAAACTAGACGCGAAAACCCTATATAGGATGACCAGTTACGAGTTGAGCTTCGAGTTTTGAGATCGCTCGATCAATGATTATTACAATTGTTATAATTAATTATTATTTGAGCATTATCATATAATAACTATTTTTAGTAAAGTATATTTATTATATAGTAATATTTATTTTATTATTTTATGATAATATTTTATAATTTTAAAATTTATTTTAAAATAATATAATTACTTACTTTTCACTCTATTTGCACCCCCTACTTTTTCATCCAAACATTTACCCCTCCACTTACAACCCCAGCAATTTGCACCCCCCAGCAATTTAGCCCTCAACTTGTACCCTCCTGCAATTTGCACCCCCTTGTTGCCAAACAGAGTGTACGTAAAGGTGGTTAGAAAAAAGAGACCAAGCTAAGTGCTCAAACCCACCAAATCGATTCCAATGAATCGATTTAGAAGTAGAGGCTAAAACTGCAGCTCCTTCGTTCCAACCCCAGAAAACAGAGTATCAAAGGAGAAAACAGAGCATAGTACAGACACGCAAATAGCAGCAAGAAATAAGATCGGCACAGAGGATTTTAACTAGGTTTCCCAAGTTATGAGTCAGTCCTCGTCTCGGAGATAACACCTGCTATTTTCCGAGGAACTCTTTTATTTATTTATTTTTGACCTATCAAGGAGAAAAGAAAAACTTTAGATAACAATAACGATAGAAAGAAACCCGGATCACAATCCGAGCCGTTACAGTCTTGACAATATAGAACCTCTACCTCTATATTTGTCAACCTCTTTGCAAACCCAAAGACAAGCCCTCTACCACTTTCTTTTGGTTACAAAGTTCTACACTTGCATAAGGCACAACCCCACACACACATATATATATATATATATATATGAGAATAACTTTCTAGTCGTTGCTCAGCTTCTTCATTAGGAAGGGAATTTGCACACAAATTCTGCTGAGCTAAATACCTTCCTTTTCTTTCTCTTTCCGCTTTTAGCAATATTGATTGTGCAATCGCTGATTTCATCCAACAATCTCCCCCTAAATCCGAGATTGCAAATTGATAGCTATCCACACACAGACCAACTGCATTTTCCATTATTCTACTGAAAAGAATCTATACTAATAAATGAAGCTAGACCGAAATCATCAGCAAGAAAACAAAATCCCATTAGAATTAACCAGCAATTCAAGTCTCCCCCTGAGATTAAGCATTATCCATCCAACCTAGTTGTACAACATTAACAATAGGAAAGGAAGGAGAAAAAGGTAATTAAATGATAAAGATGCAACAAGAACTTAGTATAGATGCAGGGGGGAAATGCAGCTTGGGATAATCACTCTCAATTTTCAATCACATATATCTGGAACATAGAGAGTTAAAACATAATCATGAGCATTTGGAAAAATCAAGTAAAACATAGCTTATAGTCGTAACAAAAGATATCGAGCAGTTCAATGCAATATGCTTCAAGAATTAAGATCGAAGGCAACAAATATGCACGAGACTTCCTACCTAAAGAACACAATTAGCAAAATTTGAGATACCACAACCAATGATTCTAAACAAAACCTGACTAGTTATGATATAGGAAGGAAAAAGTTGACGCTTTACTCTTCAAGTGGTGGAAGCTCCCACTAAGAGCAATCAAAGGCCTTCTTCAGCTCCCAACTCTGTAACATTAAATATCAGTTTTCTTTTGGACCCAAACTTGTTTGAGTATGGGTTTCAATGCCGTGAATGTAGAGAACGAGCTTGATGATAATTTTTACTAACATGACAAGGCTGTAAACATAGAAAACAATTTAATAAACCAGCCTTATTGTAACTGTTACGATGAAAACAGTTAAGTCCAAGATTTGTCATCTTCTTATCATAGTGCAACCTATTATTCTTGTGGATAACGTTTGGGGTATAATGATTTATACTAACCACTTTAGTAGAATGGGGCTGATAACGGTTAACAAGTTGTTGTCTAGCTTTGGTGGGTTCTTTAAGAGTAGAAACGATGGTCATTTTCCCATCAGAGGAAGAAGTCAAATTTAATTTATTATCTAATGATTTATATAAATGATTCTTATCCTCTCTTAGGGCCACATTCTCATATTGCAGTTCAACAATCTTAATGTTCTTTAATTCTATAGTTCTAGTAAGTTTGACTACATCAGTAGTCTTTTTACGAAGCTCTTCCTGAAGACAACATTACTTAATTTTCAAACTACGACATTCATCCTCTAAGTTTTTCAAGGCTGATAAGAAATTGATAGAATTTTCCTTAGACGATTCAAAGTCTGCCTTTACCTCAATACGATCTACTTTGAAAGGCATATCCTCGTCAGCATCGAATGCATTTGTTTCATTGTCAATAGTGCACGCCATGTATGCTTGTTCATGAATGCTATCATTATCCGATCTAGATTCACGGTCACTCTAGGTAGCCACCATTTCGCATTCTTTTGCCTGTGATCTCTTAGGGCAGTTTGCACGTATATGTCCACTTTTCCCGCATTTATAACAAGCTTGATGTTCCCTCTCCAGAGTACCTGATTCAATATATATGGTCTGCTTGTATGGTAGCCTATCTTGGGAACAATTTTTGTGAGTACCATTAACACTATTTCTGCAAGGCTCATGAGTCATACGCTTCTTATCATTTTTACACTTCATCATTCGATGAAATATATTACTGACCAAAGCAAACTCTTTTTCAAACTGTGAAGTAGCTTCACTTTCAGATTCACAATCACAAACATGAGATGTAAAAGCTAAATTTCTCCTACGCTTTTCATAATCCCTCCCAACTTGTTGTATAACATGTTCATGACTCATCAAAGAACCCATTAATTCATCAACCGACAAAATGTTAAGGTCCTTCGCTTCCTCAATGGCTGTCCTTTTTGGAAGCCATTCTTTCGGCAGGGATCGCAAAATTTTTCTATTTAATTCCTTAGATGAAAAGGTTTTCCCTAATCCTTTCAGCTGATTGATTAAACGAGTAAATATGGAATACATGTGATGGATACTCTCACCTGAGTCCATGACAAATTTCTCATAGTCGTGTAGGAGAAGGTCGATCCTTGTTTCTTTGATGTTGGAAGTTCCCTCGTAGGTGTTCTCCAGAACTTTTCAGATTTCCTTTGTTGATTCACTATGTTCAACCCGCTCAACTTTATCGGCACGCATAGCGCACTGCAAGATGTGCATTGCCCTGCAATTGAGTTGTGCGCTTTTCCTCTGTTCGGCCGTCATGTATTGTGCGCCTCGGGATTCATTTCAAGTGGCCCATCACGGACAATGGACCACAGACCTTCATCGATTCCCCAGAGAAAGTTCTGCATCCGTCTTTTCCATGCCGTGTAGTTGGAACCTGTAAACCACGGAATAGAACCAAACGAAAACGAAGATGATGAAGCCATGGATCGTTTCCCTTGGCAGTAGTGAGCTTTTTCAAGGTGATTCTCTAATACCAATTGAAAACAGATTTGGGACTTGCTTTTAGGGATTTTGATTTTGAAAATACCAACACAAAGAAGAGGAAACGAGGAGACGAGGAAGAAGACGATGTCTTTCTTCAAGCAACTAGTGGGCTTAAAACAAAGGGAAGCCCAAAACAAATAAAGCAAAAAGCTTGCTCCTGTCAACAACTATAATCCCACAAATAAAGGCCCACAAATTAAATATACCAAACTAAACTACTTAAAGGTGGTTAGAAAAAGAGACCAAGCTAAGTGCTCAAACCCACCAAACAATTCCAATGAATCGATTTAGAAGTAGAGGCTAAAAGTGCAGCTCCTTCGTTCCAACCCCAGAAAACAGAGTATCAAAGGAGAAAACAGAGCATAGTACAGAAATGCAAATAACAGCAAGAAATAAGATCGGCACAGAGGATTTTAACGAGGTTCCCCAAGTTATGGGCCAGTCCTCGTCTCGGAGATAGCACCTCCTATTTTCCGAGAGACTCTTTTTTTATTATTTATTTTGACCTATCAAGCAGAAAAGAAAAACTTGAGATAACAAGAACGATAGAAAGAAATCCGGATCACAATCCGATCCGTTACAGCCTTGACAATATAGAACCTCTACCTCTATATTTGTCAACCCCTTTGCAAACCCAAAGACAAGCCCTCTACTACTTTCTTTTGGTTACAAAGTTCTACACTTGCATAAGGCACAACAACATCCATATATATATATATATATGAATAATTTTCTAGTCGTTGCTCAGCTTCTTCGTTAGGAAGGAAATTTGCACACAAATTCTGCGAGCTAAATACCTTCCTTTTCTTTCTCTTTCCGCTTTTAGCAATACTGACTGTGCAATCGCTGATTTCGTCCAACAAGTGTAACGAGTGACTACTAAGGACCAAAATGAGTAAATTAGTATAATAGTGAATTGAAATGAAATTTATGCAAATCTAGTTGAGAATGGTTGACCGAGAGATCATGTGTTCGAATCTTGGCAACCCCATTTGTTAAGCACATGATATTTGGATTTTCAAAAACTTTAAGCAAGTATAAGTGATTTTTCGTTAGTGAGAAAGTGTTAGTAAATAATTAATAGTATAAGATCTATTATTAAATCATTCCCAACAACTCGAGTTATTGATACTAAATGGTCTTGACAAAGAACACCATTCAAAAGCAAATGCGTAACTAAATCATGAATAATTGTTTTACACATATAGAGTGATATTCTGATAGTTTTGACATATAATTTACCCAGTTTTTGTAAATACAAAATTATATCATGACTTATTTAGAAAGCTAACAAAACTATTTTATCGTACATATTTTTTTCTAAATGGACCCACACTCAACAAAATCCTGACTACGCCCCTGAATGGGAGTACGATGAGGACGAAGTTTGAGATTTGGTCGTCGATTGTGAAATTGGGAGAGGTGGAAGTTTGGGAGTGGTGGCGGTATCATAGTTTTTAAATTTTATTTTAATTCATAAAAAAAATAGATATTAGGTAAATTTGTTTGAATTAATTTTTAACATTTTTATTGTGTTTATGGTGATATGGCACGTTGAACGTCCACCTTGACGATCAAGCTAAGGGTTCTGCGAAATTAATATAGATGGTGTATAGTATAGGCCAAAATGGGTATTTCATAATCCACTAGGAACTTTTGCCTAGTATGTTTGTGTAAAGTTTAAGCCAATTTAAGGTATTGACCCTTGTTTATGCCAAGGAACTTTTGCCTATCTTAAAATAGCGCTTGAGGATGGTGGGCTCTGATCTCGTGCCCTTGTTCGATCTCTTCGGATACAGAAGCACCTGTGAACAGGTAATGTCAGTTCAGGCGATCACTCTGACTCCCAAGTTAGTGATGGTTTATGAATAAATGTAAGAAAAGTGTATATATAGAGAGAGAACGATTTTAGAGAGAGAACCATGTGCTAATAATGGGATGGGAAGGAAGTCCCTTAGCTTGAAGGATTAGTAGTTTTTACATAGATTAGAGGTAGGCTTTGATCCTCGGTTTTAACTCTCTTTGAGCCTATCCTAGTTTGGGCTCTAGTTGAGTTCTTATGATTCAAACTTTATGTGCATGGCCCAACACATTCGATCTACGAAGAATATAATCCACATTTTGATGCAAACAAAAAACCTACAATGCACATTTAACTATAACCATTTGGTTGATTAGCACAAAATTGAAACGCCAATGAAACTATGTAGAATTCCTTTCACAAATTTCCAAATTCTTATGCAAATCACATACAAAAGCTACTTGGTATGGCAAATTATGCATGACAACCCCCGCCTAACCTTTCGAATTCTACCATATCATTGAAAGAGGAAAAAAGAAAGAAAAAGGGTTCATAATTAACGAGGAAAGTAAAAGAAACTGGGTTGACAAACCACTTTGTCCTTTGGCTTAGTCAGTTCGCTTCTTTTAAGGAGATTAAAGGAAAAGTAACCAACTTTTCAAGTTACTTATTTCCAATCCAAGATTGTGCAAAAGTTGTTTGATTCTTCTAGTCTTGCTATCTTTTTGTCCACCGATCTCGATTTGCTTCCTCTATGACCAAACGTGCAACGACAAGCTAATTAAGGGCCAAATCGGTTTCAAATCTAATGGCGGTAACCATCATTAACGTCCAACTACCTTTAATTAGTTAGTAGCTTAAAGTTTCTCAGTGCTCATGGCCGGCTGGCCCAAGTGTTTCATTAAAGTTATGACCAGCCAGCAGTACGATGCCACTTATTCATCAATTAGTACATCACACTATGAAAATTACTTGAAAGATAATGCATTAAACTAAATGAGAAACGAGAAAAGCAATGATCACTACTGATTATTCGAGGTTAATATGCTATGGTTTAATCTCGCCTTGATCAAAGACTGTCAAGATAATTTGTGGAGGAATAATAAGAAGGCGACCTTGAAAGGGAGGAATATAATTCCGTCCATAGAACAAAAGAAACCCTATTCATGTAATTATTTTATAATATATTTTTTGGTGAGAATTATCTTATAATATACTATTAAATGTCTTTGGTAGACATTTTTTTTTACGTGTAACCTGTAATTTCATTGCTTAAATCGGAGAGGTTACATTGTCCAGCTGGAGCTGGTCGATAAGAAACACTGGTGGTCTATCTAACCAAACCTCCCGACAATCCCAGTGTGTCTCACTATGTGCCATGACATGTGTTGCGTTGTTTGCTTGCCTCCTTACATGACGTATATGTGCCACATCCAACCCATTATCCTCAAGGAATCTTACCGTACGTCGACATATTATACCAATCTCAGAATGGATTGCTTCCGCCTTCAGAAACTTCTCGATCAATGACAAACAGTCGACTTCAAGTATTGGCCGTGGCAGCTCTAGCTGGCGGGCAAGTTGGGCACCCATTTCTGCCGCGAGAGCTTCTGCCATTTCGACACCAACTACCCCGCGCACTTTCTTTGCCGCTGCTGCTATGAAATGGCCCTATGGTCACGTATAACTGCTCCCAAACCCGCTCCCTCATGCGCTATCAAGCCTGCATCTGTGTTAACTTTAATCCAGCCTTCTATCGGTCTTCTCGAAGCTTCCTCCGACTGCAAACTGTCCTCCGCCATATTACTCCGCTGGTTGTGCTGGTACTCTTCAAGAATTGTTAAAGCTCGGGTTATTATCTCATCCTCCGGCCACTTTTGCCCGTTAAACAACTGTGCATTCAGCTCTTTCCAAAATGTCTTTGGTTGACTTAATGTTCTTACTTGCCACCATTAGTGTTTTCTTTTCTTTTATAAATTGGAATTGGGAGGTCAAAGTTTAAAATGCATAATCTAAACTATCTCATCTCTTCGTGAACAAGTTTTTGAACTAATATGGAGGTTTCAAGTCCAAATATCATAAAAAGCACCTAACATTAAAAATAAACTTATATCATCTTTATATGAAAAAAAAATAATTACCTCATCTCTTCCTCTTTGTAGCAAACGTCCTCTTGGGTTTGATTTCAAAAAGATACATATAATATAGAATTATATTGATGGAATTGAAGATGAGTGTGGGTTTTACGAGCTTATTAAAACTGTCCTTAGGAAGATGAGTTGGTCAAATACAAGAAAGATGATTGAGGAGTTGGAGATCAGTTGACAAGAAACTCAATTGAAAGGGAAATTCAGGTTCATGGAGAGAAGGTCAATCAAAGTAGCATAAATGGAGTTGCAGAAGGAAGATTATAAATTGAATTTTGGTTTAAAACATATACGTCGAGAGATTGAAGATGGAGGGAATAAAAGTTGGTTGTACAACAGAGAGTGGAAACTATTGGATCATTAGTTGTTATGGTTGTTGCAAATACCACAACCTATGTTTATGTTAAAACGAGGAATCATTGATTGATTTACTAAAGTTAAGGTCGATTCACTATTCAAACTACTGGAACCTGTAGATAAGGAGTGTCTAATTTTGTGCCTCATTACTTTGATCGAGTCTATTAGTATATTGGATGTAACTCTAATTTTGTCATTTGCTCTCAAGTTTAATTTTTGACGGAAAAATGGAAGGAAGGATTAATACAATCTAAAGGCAAATATTGTGAAAATATACCCTTTTCCATATTATTAATCCTTTATCCATTAATACTTTATGATTTATATATTTTTAATATAAAAAAATGATATTTGGTATATTAATTGTCAATTATATATATATATATATATATATATATATATAATAAGTATATATAATTATATATAATTTAATAATGACGCTCTCAACTTTAAGTTCTTCTGAAATAGACGCTCTCGCGTTCTCGCTCCCACTCCAGCTCTCGCTCCATGATACCTAAGGCCGGACTGATCGCCTACTCTCCCGCCGCATCTACCCTTCTCATCTACAAGCCAACTGTGGATGGACTAGTGATTTACAACGAACTCACCGCCTGTACCGATCTTCTACACTGATTCATGTGAAGTTTGTGTTTCTTCCCGTTTTGGTGATGATTCATCCACTTCTCAACCCGATTGGAAGTTGTTTCCATACCCCCTCTATCTTTGTTTCTCTCCCGCCGATGAGCAGATCTGGTCGGGGAAGCGTGAAGGAGATTGGGTCGGGAGATCCATCCTCTGTGTTTGCGATTTCCACCCTCCTTCCCGGCGATTCTGGGTTTGGTGCATTCATTGTACTTCTGGTTTTTCCCATGCCATGATAAAATCTAAAGAAATTAAAAACGAACAACACAATTTGGGATAAGAACCGTCGTTTCTGTATTCCTAGAAAATGGTGGTAAACACAGACTCAGCTCCCGAACTGGTTTGGATTAAGATTTTTATCGGGTGTCAGGGAACCATGTGATTATAAATTAGCCTTGATCAAAACATGTCAAAACTTTAAATTCAGCCTGTTTGACCGACCCTCTGCCAAACTCCAATTATTCTTTACGGTCATACTTTCTATTTGAAAATAAAAAATAGTGAAAGAAAAAAGAAGACTGCAATTCGCCAGTTGCGCATCACTACTTCGGGAAAAAACCATAGAAAGTCGACAGAAAAATGAAAATATTTAGGATTGTTTTAATATTAAAAATAACCAAATGCATCTTTCTGTTTAGTTTTTTACTAACAAATACCAAACGCTTCCATATAAAAACTATAATTTAATCATAATGATATCAAATAATTACATAATATATATTTCAAATGATAAAAATTGGACTAATCAAGTTGGCCGAGGTTTAAACATTTAATAACTTGAAATACATTATATTTTAGCCACTAAGATATAAAATAATAGCATGATATAAGTTTCAAATTAGAAAAACTAGGCTTAGCGAGTTGGATCGTAGGTTAACCATTTAACCCTTTCCATGAGTTGATGAATGGATTGTTCCATTCGAATTAATAACTTTGACGACAAGATGAAAGTTTTATAAAGAAAATTAATCGGCCAACGTGCCAAGTAAAAGCTAGCAACGATTGTGAGATGCTCATTCTCAAAGACTAGAGGGATAGGCGATTTTTTATTCGGTTTCTAGAGTTTGGTTTCTATCAACTTACTCCACCTCCTCATATTACCAGAAATAATACTGTTTAGCAATGTAACAGGTACTCGAACTTGGTTCATTAGACTTATTTTTGATCGCATCATTCATGCCTCTTTTTTGCTAAAATTCACTATCTTTATAACGTGTTTCCAAAAAAAACTATACAACAATAATCTATAGACCCAATTGCATTTTCAAAATTTCATAATTCACCTCCTCGGGCCAACTGGCAGGGGCTCCATGCGAGTATATAATAGTAGGCAGGGGAAAACTGTTGCTCCATTTCAAATTTTCTGCAACGAGAGTGAAAGTAGGAAGGACATTTTGGTCTTCACAATTACTTCTTTTATTATTCATTAAAAAGAAATGGACTGGGATTCGAACGATGACCACTTTAAAAAAAATAAAGGAGCATAACCAATCACATTAAGTACATTAGTTGTATCTTTTCAAACTAAAAACATATAATAGCAGAGGGAAAAAAACTCTTCCCTCATTTCAAATTCCCTGCTCCATGAGCGTTTGTAGGAAGGGTTGAATAGGGAGTGTCAATTTGTTTCTCTTTCCTCTGTGGAACGGGCCAACTTACCGTACATATGCAGATTTAAACGGGTCTAGGAGTGTCAATTTTTTTCTTTAAGCCCTTTTATTTCTCGGTGGTGGTAAAATATATATATGAAAAGGCAAAAACAATGCTCCTTTTTATTGCTAAAAAGAAAAAATTTAACAATAAACTAATGCATGGATTCTAATGGGCTAACCGCTAACCATAAAATAAAAGAGTTGAATGGTCTGACCTACACGTGATTTGGCCATCAGGTAAAACAAATGAACATCATGGGTTTGCCATTCTAAAACAAGTTGTTTTCTCTAACATAATATAAATTATGCTATTATGTTATATCATAGTGGCTAAAATATAATGTATTTTAAAGTTATTCAATGGTTCAATCTCGACCAACCCAATTAGTCCAATTTTTATCATTTCAAATATATATTATGTAATTATTTGATATCATAATGATTAAATTATAGTGTATTTTATAGGGAATCGTTTGGTATTTGTTAGTAAAAAACTAAACATAAAGGTCTACTTGGTTATTTTTAACATTAAAACGATCCTAAACATTTTTCGTTTCCTTTCGAATTTCTATGGTTTTATTCTCGAATCAGTGATGTGCAAATGTCGAATTGCAATCATCTCTTTTCTTTCACTATTTTTTATTTTCAAATAGAAAGTTTAAATAGTAAAGAATAATTAGAGTTTGGCATGGGTCGGTCAAACAGGCTGAATTTCAAGTTTTGACCCGTTTGGATCAAGTCTAATTTGTAATCACATGGTTCCCTGATACCCGATAAAAATCTCAATCCGAACCAGTTTGCCAGGTGAGTCTGTGTTTACCACCATTTTCTAGGGATACAGGCACGACGGTTCCTATCTCAAATCGTGTTGTTCGTTCTTGATTTCTTTAGATTTTATCATGACCTAGCAAAAACCAGAAAGCACAATGACGACAAGATGAAAGTTTTATTAAGCAAATTAATCGGCCAACGGGCCGAGTAAAATCTAGGTACGATTGTGAGATGCTCATTTCCCGAAAACCGGCGGGACATGCATTTTTTATTCAATTTTCTGGAATTCGGTTTCTATAAAACTTACTCCACCTCATCATATTACCAGAAACAATATTGTTTCACAAGGTAACAGGTAGTTGATTTTGGTTCATAACGCTGATTTTTGATTCCTTGCATCATTTATGTCTCTTTCCTGCTAAAATTCACTATTTTTATCACGTGTTTCCCAAAAAAACTATACAACAATAAACTATACACCCCATTACATTATCAAATTTCATACCTCACCTTCCTCCGGCCAATTAGCCGGGGCCCACGCTTGTAGAATAAGATGTAATGAGAGCAGTGGCAGATCTAGGATTTCCCTCAACCAAATACCAAAAGTCCAAAACTATATGGTTATATTAGTATGTTGTTATCGATTTTCGTATTGGTTAACCACTGACCAATTAATCGGTAAAGGTTAACCATTAAGCAAAATAGAGCTAACTGAAATCGAACCACTAAGAAATTAGCTGTTATAGTTAATCATTAACCACCGTAGTTTTCGGTTAAAACCGATAACCAACTTACCATTTACCACCCCTATCCAACAAATTTGACAATTTAACTCTAGCAAAATGCAAAACACGCCACAGATGGATTGTTGGTCTGTTTATCTTTGAAATCCCTTCATGATATCATGTGCGTAATTACCAGACATGGGTAAATTTATCAGCAGCTCAATCTCAATTTCAAAATTAATAATGAGGTCATTTCAAGGGCTTGGGAGAATGCAATGTCACCATAAGTAGATGTTTATTTTTAAATTTTGAAAATAGGATGAGTTATACAATAGTTTTTCTATAATGAATGAGTTATACTGTATTGAAAAATACTATTAATTTGTTTAGTTGTTTCGTTTCTAATTCATATTGATCATACAATTTTTGTTTAGATCTTATTTTTTAGTGAAAATGGAACACTGTATACACATTGAAATGTATTATTTATTTTTTATTTATTTTTTAATTAAAATTAAATCTATCATGCTAGAAATTTGTAGTTTGAATTATTTATTTATTTTCTAATTATCTTAAATTAATAAAAATTAATTCAAGAAATTAATTAAATAGCCAAAAGCCCACTAACCACTTTATCCAATAAAATAAAGTGGAAGCAAAATTAAAAACCACTTGCACTTTCCTTCCCTCACCAATGTTGTATTTCCTTTAAATCTTTTGACTACTCTAACATCAGGTCCAGGAAAATGATCAGGGACCTCATCATGAGCTTCAGCATCAGACTCAGCCTCCACTTCCAATCGTACGCCCGCCGCCACCATCGTTCTCGTAGCAAGACGAGCCGTCATAGTGTTTGATTTGCTTAGAAGATTTGGAGCCTCGTGTGTGGACGTCCGACAGCTAGGGAGGTGTGCCTACGTCTTCCACTTAATCTACATAGATAAGTGGCTAGACGGTCAGGCCACATGCCCGATGTGTTGGGGGAGTGTCCTTTGAATCTTTTGACTACTCTAACATCAGGTCCAGGGAAATGATCAGGGACCTCATCATGAACCTCAGCGCCAGACTCAGCCTCCACTTCCACTCGTACGCCCGCCGCCACCATAGTTCTCGGAGCAAGACGAGCCGTCGTAGTGTTTGATTTGCTTAGAAGATTTGGAGCCTCGTGTGGACGTCCGACAGCTAGGGACATGTGGCCACGTCTTCCACTTAATCTACATAGATAAGTGGCTAGATAGTCAGGCCACATGCCCGATGTGTTGGGGGAGTATCCTTGATTCGTAGAGTTCTTTTGTATGCTTAATTTGTGTTTATTTTATTGTTGTAATGAATAAACCTTTGTATGAGATGTCTGCAAGAAAAATCGGTAACTAAAAACACAAATCATTATCAATCAGGCAGCCTGAACGGGATTCAAGATAGGCTAAGTAACCAAGGGTTACTCATCCACAAGTAACTCAATTTGGACCTTTAGAACTAAATGAGCCTAAAAAACTCATATCTAAGGACCTTTTGATCTAAGTGGGCTTAGATATTATTTGGATTACGAGGATATTATTTTGAAAATACAACATATAAATACATGTTATTTATATAACCATGTTTCACAAACCATATAACATGAAAATAAAGTGTTATATTTACCATTAATGTTATTAGTGGGTAATTCATTACGCTCCAAAATGATATTGAACTTAATATAATTATGCAAATATAACATATAATTACATGTTATTAATATAACCATGTTTCCCAAACCAAGTGACATACAAATTAAGTGTTTTATATATATATACCATTAATGTTATTAGTCGGTAATTCATTACACTCCATAAAGTGATGTTGGTCTTTATATAATTATGAAAATATAACGTATAATTACATGTCCTTGATAGAACCATGTTTCACAAACCATGTAACATATGCCAATAAAGTGTTACATTAGTATAACATATAAACAATGAAAGTTACCATTAATTATGCAAATAAAGCATAATAACAAGACCAGAACTTTACGCGCGACTTTATGGGCTCTTTCTACCGTTCACTTATCCGTGGCCGGAGGATGTAAAGCGTGGCGCAACTAAGGGCATGTTTGGAAGTTAGGATTCTCTAAATTGATGTATTTAATCAATGTATGTATTATAATTAGATGCATTGTTTCAATGTATGAATTTGAAAAATACATTGTTTGGAGATTGAATGATTTTGGTGGTCCCTCAAAGAATAAGGAACAAAAAGTAAGACAACAATCCCTCAAACATAATCTCTACTAAAAGTTGAGATTTACAATCATTCATAATGAATGATTCTGGTGGGCCCATCTGCTGTTCAAATACAAGCATTCTGTTTCATTTTAAGCCAAAAAAACGATGAATTCTTCTGATTACATGTATTGGCTAAATACATCATCTGAAATCCCAACTTCCAAACGAGCCCTAAGTGTTGCCTAATACTTTTAGGAAGCCGTTTTGTTTCCTTTGGCTATACGTATATGCTGTCAAGGAAGAGGTATGGCTAGCAGCTTTCAGTGGCATATACCGTACTATTATTTAGTGGATGTTTTCTTCCAATAATTAATAAGGATTTCATATTATTTTCTGTTGCTTAGTAATTGTGATGGTTAATGCAAAACGTTTGTACTAGCAGGTTGGGAAAAAGCAAGCCTACACGTCTGTATTGTCAATGGAATGTATATATGGCTAGTAGTGAAGCACAACCTTCTTCACCGTTTGTTCAATGAGATATCTATGGCCCGCAAAACCAACTTTGTGTGCAGTGAAGCACAACCTGAAACAAGAGACAAGAAAGGCAAGCTAGACTAACTGACATAGGAACCAAATACAATTATACAAGAGGGCTTGTTTGTTTTAATCGATTAAAGACTTTTCGCATATGAATGGAGATTAAAATATGTTAGAGAGCCATCAATCATTCATTCTGCTAGTGTTTAGGGGCGGAATCGTACCTTAGTGAGTCCTAAATTGTAGTGTGTTAGTCTAACCTTTTATGCAATTTGTTAGACTAGTTGTAGTTGTCATTCATATGAATTTCTGATCTCCTAAATACTTAATTGAAGCTTAGTAATACTACATCTAGAGACTTGTGGAATCAATATTTGATTAATTATGTCATTATACTACAATTCCTTTTATTAGTTACACTTGACCTATGTTAGGAGTGTAGTCTGTAGCGACTAATACTTAGCTTGTAAATTACCAATTGTTATTCCTAAGGCTTATCTCGTGTATATATGTCGATAGAGGTGCATATGCACAAAGCGATCAGTCTTGGCATTCCAGAAATACCACACAAAGCGATTGTTTGATTCTTGTGTTTATTTTCGATTGATCAAACAAATGTGTGTATTGTTTACTTGATGAGAAAGAAACAACATTCATGAATGATTGTACAATCACGTCTTTTAGCTAAAATTATTACGATAGTTTTTTTGAAATTATTGTATTTTTTTCCAATTTTATCCTTTAAAAAGTGCTTTTTGCATGGGAAAAAGAAGTGCAAATTACATTTTCGTTCAAATGTAACTTTTAGTTATTAAAAACACAATAGCATATTTCAAACGATGTAACCTATAGACTATAGTACACGAAACTCATTATTATCATCATATATATATATAAAGCGAGTTCTACGGTACCCTGGACAAAATTCGGGGTACCGTATACCTTGAGTATGAAAACACTATCTAGACTTTGAATTGACCGATCTTTCGGACATGATACTATACTCTAACCCTTAAAGATCAAAATCTAGGTCTTAATTCTCCTAATCTTATACTCCAAGATCAATTTAATTAGAAACAATAATCGACGGTTATGATTCGTCCAAATATAGGCACAAAACGGAATGCACCATCTTAGGGTTTATAGATTATGATTTAGATAATTAGGACCCAGGGTTCACTCATTAAGGGTTAGGGTATAGTATCAGACCCAAAAATCCTGCTAATTCGAGGTCTAGATACCGTTTCCATACTCAAGGTATACGGTACCCCAGATTTTACCCGGGGTACCGTAGAAGGCACCATATATATATATATATATGGTGGCTACTTCGGTGCACTCACTTTTTTGGGTGCACTCAGTGCACCCAACTCTAAAAGCGTCCATAATACATCGATTTTGAACTTTAATTAATACTCTCAATATAATATGATGATATGACATAGAATCATAACAAATCAATCCATTACCCTATCCCCTTAACCTTCAATTTTGAATCCCAACCCAAAATCCTTAATTGTAAACCTAAACCCTAACCCTAAATCCCTAATCCTAAATCCTTCGAATTAAAGTGAATTTGGAATGAATTTTTTTCAAATTTATGTGCTTCTTGTTCATAATATCATAAGCTACAATTGATACCGTTTTGATATGAATCGCATGCTCAGAATGATAATTATGAGGCGGGTGCACTGAGTGCACCCGAAAAAGTGGGTGCACCGAATACACCACCATATATATAGGTGGCTACTTCGGTGCACTCACTTTTTTGGGTGCACTCAGTGCACCCAACTCTAAAAGCGTCCATAATACATCGATTTTAAACTTTAATTAGTACTCTCAATATAATATGATGATATGACATAGAATCATAACAAATCAATCCATTACCCTATCCCCTTAACCTTCAATTTTGAATCCCAACCCAAAATCCTTAATTGTAAACCTAAACCCTAACCCTAAATCCCTAATCCTAAATCCTTCGAATTAAAGTGAATTTGGAATGAATTTTTTTCAAATTTATGTGCTTCTTGTTCATAATATCATAAGCTACAATTGATACCGTTTTGATATGAATCGCATGCTCAGAATGATAATTATGAGGCGGGTGCACTGAGTGCACCCGAAAAAGTGGGTGCACCGAATACACCACCATATATATAGGTGGCTACTTTGGTGCACTCACTTTTTTGGGTGCACTCAGTGCACCCAACTCTAAAAGCGTCCATAATACATCGATTTTGAACTTTAATTAGTACTCTCAATATAATATGATGATATGACATAGAATCATAACAAATCAATCCATTACCCTATCCCCTTAACCTTCAATTTTGAATCCCAACCCAAAATCCTTAATTGTAAACCTAAACCCTAACCCTAAATCCCTAATCCTAAATCCTTCGAATTAAAGTGAATTTGGAATGAATTTTTTTCAAATTTATGTGCTTCTTGTTCATAATATCATAAGCTACAATTGATACCGTTTTGATATGAATCGCATGCTCAGAATGATAATTATGAGGCGGGTGCACTGAGTGCACCCGAAAAAGTGGGTGCACCGAATACACCACCATATATATAGGTGGCTACTTCGGTGCACTCACTTTTTTGGGTGCACTCAGTGCACCCAACTCTAAAAGCGTCCATAATACATCGATTTTGAACTTTAATTAGTACTCTCAATATAATATGATGATATGACATAGAATCATAACAAATCAATCCATTACCCTATCCCCTTAACCTTCAATTTTGAATCCCAACCCAAAATCCTTAATTGTAAACCTAAACCCTAACCCTAAATCCCTAATCCTAAATCCTTCGAATTAAAGTGAATTTGGAATGAATTTTTTTCAAATTTATGTGCTTCTTGTTCATAATATCATAAGCTACAATTGATACCGTTTTGATATGAATCGCATGCTCAGAATGATAATTATGAGGCGGGTGCACTGAGTGCACCCGAAAAAGTGGGTGCACCGAATACACCACCATATATATAGGTGGCTACTTCGGTGCACTCACTTTTTTGGGTGCACTCAGTGCACCCAACTCTAAAAGCGTCCATAATACATCGATTTTGAACTTTAATTAGTACTCTCAATATAATATGATGATATGACATAGAATCATAACAAATCAATCCATTACCCTATCCCCTTAACCTTCAATTTTGAATCCCAACCCAAAATCCTTAATTGTAAACCTAAACCCTAACCCTAAATCCCTAATCCTAAATCCTTCGAATTAAAGTGAATTTGGAATGAATTTTTTTCAAATTTATGTGCTTCTTGTTCATAATATCATAAGCTACAATTGATACCGTTTTGATATGAATCGCATGCTCAGAATGATAATTATGAGGCGGGTGCACTGAGTGCACCCGAAAAAGTGGGTGCACCGAATACACCACCACATATATAGGTGGCTACTTCGGTGCACTCACTTTTTTGGGTGCACTCAGTGCACCCAACTCTAAAAGCGTCCATAATACATCGATTTTGAACTTTAATTAGTACTCTCAATATAATATGATGATATGACATAGAATCATCATATTAGACAACTTTTCATTGAGTGGGACTTAGACAACTTATTGTGATGACTGAGATGTGCAGTAGAACTGTGTAGGGGTTCAGTTTTCTCAACTGTTTGCTCACCAAATGTGACTTGGTTTGATCACTTGCTTTTGACAGCCATTTATGCATCTAGTACAGGGAATCAGAATGAGAGATAGAGCATATAGGTAGCCATGTGAGATTTGAGCCTGCTCGTTTCTTTCTTGTGCGATAGTTTCCTCTTCCATGATGTGCAGCATTCACGTTGTCATTAGCTAAGATGATGGAGGCATAGGATTAGCCCACTACCAAACTGACTGTCCTAGTGTGTCATACCCCTAGTCAGCACCTTTGAGCCGTGTGTTTCCCTTTCTTTCGGTCTTCAATGAAAAGTCACCCTTTTGCATCTTTTAGAAGGTTCCACTTAGTGATTTTTACATGTTCTCTGCTGTTTCTGCTAAATGTAATGTGAGGGTTGGAGGTAGTGCTTAAAAGTTGGGCAGGTGTTCGAAAATTTGCAGAGGTGGTGGTTCTCTTAGGAAATGGAAAATAATGAAAGAAAATCAAAGAAAAAAAATGAAAACAAAAGAGAGCCACCACCAAAAATCTGAATAATGCCCATGTAGTAGTGTTTCTTAGCAGTCTGGCTTGGAAATACTAGCATTTATGTAACCTCCTTCGCTCTTGTGCTTTGAACTTGAGTAATGTAGAATAGCAGAAAGAAAGTTATTGGTTCGATTGATTGTGAATCTGTTGGGTTTGGAAATGTGGAACCTTGTGCTGTATGAATACTTCCACCACCTAAAAGGCCTTTTCCCCATGTCCAAGACCCTAGCCAGTCATCTGAACCTGTGTCTAAGACCTCCGGATTAGTTAGTGATGACACCCCATATGTGAACTCTAGCACTTAGAGGCTGCATTCATGGTGAAGAGATGTTAGGGATTGAGAGATTAAGCATGCGCATTTTTCGCATCATATTGTCCTGACCCCACTGGTCGAGAGTGAGCGATTCATTTTCTCTTATTCTCTATACTCTTTATCCCGGTGAGGACCTAGATTGCTCGGTCTTAATTCTGATATCTTGAACTTTGTGCATGATGTGACTGTTTTGAACAAGTGGTTGAGTCAAGTCTATGTTGGTTGGTGAACAGAAGGGAGACTCTTCCTTTGCTCGATTTTACTGCATTCGAATGTCATCTGTGGTGGTTGTCTAGGTTGTCAGTGAGGTTGTCCATGTGTTAATGATCGAAAGCCAGTATGATCCACGTGTTTTGTGCGGATATGTCATGCCTTGTTGTTTTGAGCTTACCTTGTGTCTGACTTGGTTTGCTTGACGACAAGCAAACGGTTAAGTGTGGGGGAATTTGATAACGATGTAATTGCACATGTTTGCGCCCCTAGTTCTTATCCGTTTGAGGGGAATAGTCTTGTGTTTTGGCCTATTTTACGCTGAGTTGTGCTATTTTGTCATATTTCAGGTCCCAGGAGTCAAAGGGAAGGCTAACCATGAGTTTCGGGGCATTCGGAGGTCATTTCGTCAAGCTGGGGCCAAAACACGGGCACACCTAAGGCATTACACGGCCGTGTTCCTGTGGCCGTGCTTTTTATGCCGAGAGCAAATTCGATTTGGCAAATTCAGCTGCAAACACGGACACCAAAGCACGGCCGTGTTCCACCAAAGCACGGCCGTGTCCACCGCGAAGCACGGCCGTGTTTCCCCCCAACTGCTGGCCATGTAATTAACCTTGGCCGAGACACGGGCGGACTCAGGCAAAGCACGGCCGTGTCCTCGACCGTGCTTTGGCCACTGATGCTTGTAAGCAGATTTTCAGCCACAAGTCAAGGGGATTCGAGTTTTAGAGAGAGTGATTAGTTCCTAGAGAGAGAAAGCGATGAACAAGAGTCTCCAAGTGCCCTAGACTAATCTTCAACACCATTGGAGGCCAGCTTGAGCTTGGAGAAGTGCCGATCAACATCCAGAAGCAGGAATCCATCCTTCACAGTATGAATTCTGCGTCTGATTCTGCTTTTGCTTTCTTCTCCATGGAGTAGTTCTCCCATTCATCTGGGTATGGAGAACCCTAGATTTGTATGTTAGGTTTGATTGTATGAACCCAAGTACTGATTCTATGATTGATTATATTCGATTGAGGTTTTAATGATTGAATGACTTGAATCCTGATCAAATTCCTGTTGTTTCTGCTTTAACCTAGAATGAGAATATCTGCCTAGGTTGATAGAGTATCCTTGATTGAAGGTAGGGAGTTGGTGACTTTAGTCGAGGAACCAACTCACTATTCTGTACCGGATTTACTCCGGTAGTGGAGGTTTTGTTCTTAGGGCCTCAATCTGTTTACTCCGGTGGAGGTTAGTCGCCCGCTAGAGATTCAGATTGAGAGGGTCTGAAGACCTTTAGTCGAGACTTCAGGCTGTTTAAGAACCTTCCGCAGTATAACTATCATAGAAACTGAACTTGGTAATTACAATCTGGCTTAACTGCACTCTAGGGGGAACCATATCTGGGTGACCTCTTTAACCTGAATACAACTGTTTACTTGCTTTGTTAGTTTGATAGTTTAGACTTGCATTCCAGTTTCATTGCTAGATAACAAGAATTCACTGAGTAGTCATCAAATCTAGGACCCGGGTTGACATATAAACCTAACCCGCTATACTACGCTTTAGAAAGTGGTTTCACTTGGCCAATTCCTAGGGTGACAGTAGAGTCGAGTCAATGTCTTCATGTCTGATCACATGCTCAGGGTTGGATCGATACGCCCTTAGCATGCTGACATGAAAAACATCGTGGATCCTCGACAGACTAGGGGGTAAGGCTAATCGATAAGCCATACAAAACCTCATTTGGAGCAGCTTGTATCGAACTGTGATACTGGTTATTATAAGCGAACTCTAGCAGAGGTAAATGTTCATCCCAAGCTCCCTCCATGGTCATAACACAAGCCCTCAAAAGATCCTCAAGCGCTTGTATCGTCCTCTCGAATTGCCCATCGGTTTGAGGATGGTATGCAGTAGAAAAATGCACCTTTGTACCCATAGCCTTCTGTAGACTGACCCAGAATCGCGATGTGAAGCTAGGATCATGATCAGAAACGATACTGAGCGGCACCCCGTGCAGTCGGACAATCTCTCTTA